CGAAATGTCAGTTCTTTCATCTTCATTCAGAGCACCTTCCTACAGAGTCCCAGCTGCGGCGTTCAGTAGATCCCCTAATTTAGGGCCCTATACTGCTAAGGGTACTTTATAGGAACCCCCATTAAGGGATCTACTTTCTGGATCCCCGACGTAAACCCTAAAGCCCTAAACCCCTAATCCCTAAACCCTAAACCCCTAATCCCTAAACCCCTAACCCCCTAAACCCTCAACCCTACTTTTTGGATCCTCCCGGTGGTCTGGGCACTGAAACCTCGAAGCGTAAGACTCCGAAGCCCTTACAGTAGAAGCCAGACAGTTGGAATATCATTATCGTAACCCCTTTAAGGTAAATTATAGGGGATCCTACCATTCTTCCATATTCCAACTTTCTGGAGTTCCCTGTAGGGCCTGACAGGCCCTGCGTGAAACCACGTAGCCCGACGGTTCTAATCCTGAAAGGGGAAAAGGAGGGACCCTTAATGGGGACCCCTACCCTATAATGGGCTGTATAATGAGTACATAATAGCTCTATTAAGGGTATATTCCTAGGGGTAAGGATAATCCCAAAACCTCAAACCCTAAATCCTAAACCCTACAAAAGCCTACATAAACCCTAAGGCCAAAAACCCCCAAACTTAACCCTAAATCCCCAATCCTAAATCAATCCTCGATTTAGGGGAGGCCTGGGTACTTCTTGTTGATGTCGTCTTTGCTGACGATTCGCAGTGTCTGATCCTCAGGACCACGAGCCCGGGTCCAAAGGGCTTGACTTGTGTGGGGCGGCCGAAGCGGGAGCATCCTCTACTAGGTTTAGGGGTTTAGGGTTTAGGGGTTTAGGGTTTAGGGGTTCATGTGTTTCGGTTTTAGGGGTTTAGGCTTTAGGGGTTCAGGGGTTTAGGGGTCTAGGATACCCAGTAACCTAAGAATAAAAAGGCCTCTCTTTTTGGTATTGGGTAACTTTATAAGGAACCTAGGACTACAACAAGGGAATAAGGGTACTACTGGGCATCCTAGTCTACGCAGAGAGCATCAATATCCATAGCGCTGCTGAAAACCTTCAAATGATTTGACAGAGCACTCGACGTTTGGCCTGACTGCTTCTCTGGGTGTTGGCCAGAGTTGCCACACATTGAAGTGCCATCGGGGCCTTCAGAACTAAAATGGGGTCCGGGGGAGGGAAATTACACATACTGTAACTGTAGTAAGGAACTCCCCACATAGTAATATTGGAATGTATTTCGGGCCCCATGCTAGCCACCCAATGCCGTACAGCCTGAATCCCAGGCGCTTCAAGCTTTCAGAGCTGGCGCCCTAAAAACCCTACACCCCTAAGCGCCGTGCCCCTCAATCCTGTGGCCCCAATCTCTCAAGAACACATTGGAGGAGTTCAGGGCTGAGGGTTCGCTGGCTCGGGTTGAAAGTTTGATAGTTTGTGAAGCCTCTGGTCCGGTACATCACTCCTTTAGGGTTTTTATAGGGTTTAGGATTTAGGCCCTTTCAGATCTTCCTAACGAAACCATATTTGATTTCATATAGTTCCTCTGAAAATTAATTATTCCAGAGGGCAGGGCCCTATGCAAGGGACGGTGGTTACTAATTTAGGGTCTGGGTATCATGTCATGGCCATGTATGGACTCTTACAAGGGCGTAGAACTGGACATCACATTGCTGACTGCTCAATCTGGTCCAACCCTACCTAGACCCCCCCCTCAACAACCCTCTCATCTACCCCAAAGACCCACTATTGAGGGCCATAGGGGCTCTATTGAAGGGCCTTCGGGGGGGGTCCTGGTACATCCCCGACTCCCTACTCAACCCTGAATCGCAAGCCGACCTTCCCATAGCGTTGGCCCCGCTGCAGGCACTTGGACCCCTGGGGGGTAAGATAATCGAGATGGAGTCATGAGGCTTCTGCAGCTGTCCCAGTCCCGGGCTTCAATGCCCGAATGAAGTCACGAGCTTTGTCTTTCCATGCCCCAGCACCATCTCCACCATGATAATTTGCCATGGCAAGGACACCGTCGCCAATCCGGAGAAGGGCAGTGAAAAGCCATCGAGGTGATCGAGGATACCGTCGCCAATCCGAGGAGGTGGCCATAGTTGTGACCCGATGCCCTTAAGGTAAAGTATAGGGAACCCCAGCATGAGTAATCCTAAACCTCTGTTCCAATTTTCTGGGCTTCATTATAGTAAGGACCCCCCTTAACCTCAACAGAAAATCCGAAGTACTCCCAAAGCCATCGCTCCGGGATAGACCTTCTGAGAGCCGAGCATAGAAATCTTGCTTCGCCTGGGCAGCAACTATAAAAGTGAGGAAGGGTAGCTTTCTCAGAGGGTGTAGGGCAGTGTAGGGTTTAGGGGTTTTTGGGTCTGGCGTTTGGTGCCTGTTTTTGCCTTTTTTTTTTTGTAAGCTCCCTTTTCCGTCTGCAACACGTTTGGGGGGGGGGTTGAGGTGTGAAGGGCTTAAGGTAAAAGCCAGAAAGTTGGAATATGGAAAAATGGTAGGATCCCCTATAATTTACCTTAAAGGGGTTACGATCATGATATTCCAACTTTCTCGCTTCTACTGTAGAGAGCTTAGAGGGTTTTGAGGGGTTACGAAGAAGTCAACTTCAGGCTTCCATCGTCTTCCCAGCTCCTGCTCCCTATCATGCGAAACCTGAAACTACGAGGATACCCAGTAACCTAAGAATAAAAAAGGCCTCTCTTTTTGGTATTGGGTAACTTTACAAGGAACCTAGGACTACAAAAAGGGAATAAGGGTACTACTGGGCATCCTAGACTAGGAACACTAAGCTCTAAAGCTACACACACAACAACTAGGAGCCAAAAACCATAGGATGTGGGCCTCGTGGGGGCAGTGTCGATTCTGGCACTTTTTGTCAGGTCACAAACCCTCGCAGCTCTCGCTTAAAGGGTTCTGGCTCATTTAGGGTTTAGAGGGTTCGGGGTTTAGGGCTCGTTTAGGGTGTATCAGGTTGAGAATTCAGGGCTCATTTGGGGTTTACAGTCTTTGAAGCGCCGCACACTCTTCAACCCTACAGTGAAACCTCGGGCTCTGGACTCTGGGTGTACAGGACACGTAGAACACGCTTCAAAACAATCATCCCTGCAAAACGCAGCGATAAAGGTGTTGAAACCGAGCTTCGCCCCGGAATCGCTTGAAGTCCTCCTGCTCGTTGTACCGGTTGGGCAGATTTGGTGATGCTTTCAGCACATCCTCAGCAAGGCGCGGTTGCGTCTCACGTTTTGAGTTTGGGGTTGGGAGGAGTACGTTGGGTTGCAGTGGATCGTATAAACAAATTATAATTAAAATTAAAATAGGGTTCGGCCCCATTATACTATAACCATACTAATAAAGGAACCCCCCCAAATAGTATAGGGAACCATTTCAGGCCCATATATTATGAGTGAACGTTCAGGGTTCAGCTTTCAGGGCTGCGTATCAACCCTGGTTGCGGCTTGTCTGTAAAGGGAACTCCAGAAAGTTGGAATATGGGTTAATGGTAGGATCCCCTTTAATTTACCTTAAAGGGGTTACGATAATGATATTCCAACTTTCTGGCTTCTACTGTAGAGCATGGCGATCAGTAAGCTTCCGCAGGTCTGCACGTCCACCGAAAAACCCCGAAGCCCCAAGCACCCGCTTGAAATCGTCCTACACGCCGAACCCAGGACTCTAAACCTTAAACACTATAGAGCTACAAAAATTATACAATAACTACAATAAGGAACCACCAAAATAGTATTGGTAAGTGTTTTGGCCCCTATATTATTAGAGCTCTAAATGTCGCTAGGGTATCCAGTCGAAAACCCGTCATGCAAACCAAGAAGCATGTTCCTCCACGCTGGCGCCGGCCCCCATGGCTGCACCAAGCAAGTCGAAGCGCTACGCTCCGTTCTTGGCTTCCCAAACTCCACACCTACGAAGTAGAGGTGAAACTGAGAGGAGGACAATGAAAGTTCTAGCAATCTCATCAGAGGATTTGATTCTCCGTGGGATTAGAATCCGAACAGCAAGTCGGTCCGGAAATTAAGTGGCCTTGTGGGCGAGCCGTACAGCCTGCGAGCCCAGTGCGAAGTGATTGCCAGGAGTCAAGTCTCCTAACATAGGGGCCTAAATAACTGATTACCCCTACTATTCTGGGGGCTCCTTATTATAATCATAGTTGAACGGGCACCAAAACCCTATTCTAATGATTAAGGCCCGAATATACTCAAAACTCTAAACCTTTCAGAGCTCTAGAAGTATGACGGGGTCGGCCTCGGAGAGGACCCAAGGACCCAAGCCCTGAATCGCATCCGACAAAGCATAGGGTTTTGAGATCCGAACATCTATGCCCGATTCTTCCAAAAACGACTGTCGAGGCTTGGGCTGTTCCGTGGATCCGAATCTCCCCTGACCCTAAATCGCCACGTTGCAGCGATCCATGCGGTTTATGCGGCCTAGATTTGCGGGTTCGGGGCCTACCATTCAGAGCTGGAGCGAACCGACATGCAGTTGAGCCTGGCCTAGTTGCACTACCACAGCAGTAGTTCTTAAAGTTTTTCCCCTGGTCCAGCGAAAGGCCGTGCTCGAAACTCAAATCTCAGGCCCAGTTTGGGGTTAAGGGGTTTAGGGTCTAGGGTTTTAGGATGTTTTAGGGTTTTTTAGACACACATGACGGTTCAAAAAACCGTGAGCTTCGGCTCGAAAAGGAGCAACCTCTGGCCCTCACCCGCCGTCCAATCACAAGTTCAGGGCAAGGAGAGGATCCATGTACTCAGCAGGGATGCAGATGCTCAGGTTGTAAGCAACTCAATTGGGAGTATCTTGCCTGTTAACTCCAATGATCGTCTGGATACTTACCCTAAGGCTCTAAGGACTCGTACTTTGAGGCTCTTGGGGACTAAAGACCACATTGTATGAGGCTTGTGAGTTGGTTTGAGCCTTAGGGTTAGTCTCCTGGACTGCAACCTACATTGACTCTTGCCCGACAAATATTCCCTGGGGCTTCTGCGCAGACCACGCTGACACGCGGCTCCTGATACTGGCATACTAACTCAAATATACTCATAATTACTCATGCTTATAACCAAAACTAATGCTGATATTGATACTACAGTCATTTGGCCTCGTCAGTCTATTCACAAAGAACAATTCGCCAACCAAAATGCTTGAAATTGTGGAACCTACTTTCCGCCGCCAGCCTCGCAAACTATCACATATCGAGTTGGACATAGATGCACTATAGGAGCCTTATTATACTATACTTATAATAATAAGGAACCCCCAAAATAGTATAGGTCATTGTTAAGGCCCCTATTTTGTCACAAGGTTTCATTTATGAGATGCAGCTCCTTTGGTCCGGGCCCTTAAAATCAAGAGCTGAAGAATCGGATTGTTTCGTTTCGGCTTCCAAGACAACGTATCTTTTCTCGAGTCTTGTCCAGCCTTGAGCCTTTGCGCAAGTGAGAGCAAGTAGTTATGTACTTCAAGAGAAACCTTACTTGCAGTTTCAGGGGTAGTTATAAGTGGGGTTATAAGTCCCCTAATATGGGTTCTAAGTATAGTTACCCTACTTATAACCCTACTTATAACTACCCATGAACTTTCCAAGTAATTTGAAACACAGACCCTCAACCCTCAGCCCTAATTCTCGGTCTCCAAGCCCCTGCGCATAAACCCGCAGTCCTCAGCAACCCGCAGAGGCAATGTGCTCATCAGAATGGCGGGTCGCAGAGATAGGTCGGTTACCTGCACGACAAACTGTTTGGGCTTGGGGCTGCTACCTGGATTGCTCTGGAAGGGCTGAATTTTCAAGCAGGATGCAACAGAGTACACTACAAGATGCCACACTGGCATACTATGTCATACTCTACTATACTATAGCATACTAGGATATACTATGATCGACTCGAAGTCTACTACGATACAGTACCACCTTAGGACCTTAATCAAAGCAATCGCTTTAAGATTCTCATGGGTTTTATATGAACAATAATAAAAACTAATTCCTAAGGAGGCAATAGACAATTACGCACTATCTTTATGCCATGTTTTGTATCTCTCTTCTTCAACAACCGGGCCCCAAAAAGCTCAAACTTTCTAAGATAGAGCTGATATATAAGGCCAAAAAGTTTCAAGTTCCCCCCCCTTCACTATCTAACGTATGGGTCACCCGCAGGAGAAGCTTAAGCTTCTCCTACTCTAGAGGCTTCCTTCCTCGGGTTTCTCAATTAGCTAGACCTAACAGTAACCTAGGAGAATAAGAAAAGATGCCCTTTTTGGATTCAAGGGGAGAATAAGGGAAGCTAGACCCTAAAGAAGGGGATCAGGGCCTTCTCTGGGTCCTACTTGGAGTATCATGGGACTTAGTAAGCAGGGTTATAAGTACCTTAATTGGGGTTAGAACTAGACATAACTATAGTTCCCTTACTTAGAACCCTACTTACTAAGTCCCATGGTCCTCCAAGTAAGGCTCGACGGGGCCCCTCCAGCCTCGGAATCGGCATCACCTGCCGGGATCTTTGGCTTCGATGAGGGGTTTGGGTAGGTGCGATTCTTGCAGAATCATCCCTCTGAGTGCCTTACGATTACGATTCTTGCAGAATCAACCCTCTGACTAATTTTGCGGCACGGTTCAGCCAACAACCCCAATTTCAATCTTTCGGACACTGTTGAGACACAATTGAGGAGCAGTTGAAACCAGCTAAGCCTTGCTGCAAGAACCACTGACCAAAGCAACATACGATCCAAGCAAAACCCCGCACTGAACCCTAAGTTGCGACCCCACCCACACTTTCATTATCCAACATTGACAACCATGACTCTTAGTTGCCGAGTCCATAAGCCCAGCAAAACTGAACACTTTCAGTTTTATAGTGGATAATATTATCCCGAAAAGTGTAAAGTGTATCCACTCGGCTCTAAAGACTTGTTCTTGATGGTCTATTCGTCCAGCTCTGCCTCAACCCTGAAGCTTTTAATTATTCCGAAGGCCCCCAACTCCATACCATGCCACAATTGTACGGATGTGAAGGAAAAACACAACTCTCAATCAACCTGGTTGAAAGGGTTGTGCTTGTCGCAGCTGTGGCTGGAGCCTCAATAAGGGACAGATGTGGTGTTGGCGCGATCCCGCCTCTGAATTAGTGTGCCAAGTATTTATGCCGACTTGCTGGGATGAAGGAGCCCAAAGCGAAAACAAAACAACAAGCACTTACAAGCAGATTTTGCAAGACGGCAATGGCGATGGTTACGCTGTGACGGAACATGGCTTCCGGCTAAATAAAGCTTAACCCCCCGAGTGTTCTTCTGTGGTCTCGCCGTGGCACTTTGACACTCCCTGAGCCCGAAACCCTAACGACTCAAAAGCCTCTGCGCTTTAGGCCCCATGCATGGGTCCGCCAGTAGCCGAAACCCCAAACCAACCCCGAACCCTCGTCCTACCATAGGGGCCTAAATAATTACTAATGCTGTTTCGAGGGGTTCCTTATCAAAGAATAGTATCATGGGCCAAACCCTAGTCTAATTACTAAAGCCCCGATAATACCCACCTCTGAGGGGGTTGGTGTGATTCTGGAAGGTCTTCTGCCGCCGTGAGAGCACCTCGGGGTTTAGGGCTTCAGGGGTTAGGGCCTTAAGGCCGTTTCGTTTAGAGCGTGTAGTCCGCATAGTTTAGACTTTGGGGATCACTGAAACTGATTACAACACTGCTTGCAAAGACGCGGCGGTACAGCCGTAAGCCCTGAAGTGGGAGGTGCTTCACTCTTGTGCTTCGTTCTTGTCACCTTGCCGTTCTACTGCATGGGGTCACCGTAGCGGTTGATAAGCGGCTGACGTCGACTAGCGAGAACTATACAGGTGGTTGCTGTTTTGGTGGAGCCTGCTATGTCTTAAAGTGTAGCTCATACGCTTAGATAAGAGTTTCAGACCAATCACCTCCCGCACATATACATTTGAGCACCCATTAAACAACCTACCTTCCTCCGGCCCAAGTGAAACAACCTAGACCTGGATTTTGCCTTTCAGGTACAGCGACTGAAGCTTTCCGAGCTGGGGCGAACAAGGGCTTAGGGCGATTTCGGGCTGAGGGCCATGGATTCGGGCTTGGGGTTTGGGGTGAAAGATGTAAGGGATTCGGCGTTAAAGCTTCTAAGGTTTAGGTGTGGAGGCAATGGGTTCCTAGCGGCCCTCCAACGGGACAAGAGGAAGGAACCAATATGTAACATAAGGGCCTTGATCGTTGGAATAGGGGTTTGGGGCCCATCATACTAGAGATTAAATAAGAAACCCCCAAAACCCTATTCTAATTATTGAGGTTTCCTACATTAGAAGAATGCCAGAGCGGTCAACGAGATTCCAGCACGTCAGTGGGAGCGCAAGAACAAGAACTACCCTCAGCAAACAACAGTTTCGTTCCTTTGCAAGACTCCAACTCTTGTCTTGTGATCCCTGATTTGCCCAAAAGCCCTCTCTCACTCTGAGACCATAAGCAGTGCAAGGAAAAGTGCAACTCTCTGAATGCTTCTAAAGGCAGTTCATGGACATCGCGTGACGGCTAGCGCAGGTGTGTTTTTGCATCTCAACGCTGTCTGCGCAAGCGGGCCCAGTGTGTGGCGCGAGCCACAAGAGGGCCACTCTTTCGGGACTCTCTGAGTCTCATGGCGCGAGGTTCACTACGCTTACAGGCCTGTGACCTTGCGCCCCTAGCTCGATTCCGAGTCTCTCCTAAACTTCTGGCTGTAGCACTCCTGACAGGTCTCGTGCGAGACGTTGAAGGAAACGAGGTTCCTGCGGAAGACTTCCAAGGCGGCCGCATAGACAACGTCGTCGATGTCATCGTGCCAGCCCTGAAGCTGAATAGTGTCGTAGTCTTCAGCAGCGCTCTTCCCATCATAGCTGGGCCTCGTATCTTCGAACTCGAAGGCATCACATGCACCTCCGAACATCTTGTGAAAGAGGCAGATGGATAGGTCCCACTCCTCTGTAATACCCACGAAGGCAAAGCCGTCATGCACTCTCCGTGCTGCCTCAGTGGCATCCCGGTGCGTCACCTGGGGTCGACGCGGATGCACTGCTGACATGGCTTGGTTGTCGGCAGTCAGCTGATAAGTTACACCCCCTTTCCACGTCTTGGCAAAGTCCAGCAGCGGAATTTTGGGCAAGCCGCTCACCACAGATCCGGTGCAGTTCCCTCCGTTGTGTTGGATCTGGTTGTGTGCCGCGTCGATGAAGAAGCTGCCGTAGTCTTCCGCTGCAAAGTTGTTAGCCTCGTCATGATAGGCAGAAAGGATGCGCTGATCTGGATTGCGAAACATTCCCACCAAGTGGCCCCTCTGGGCGGAGTAGCTGATTACAGGAAGATGCGGCGACGCTGGCCGCTGGCAGACGTAATGGTCTGCGTGGCATTCTTGCGGGCAGCGCTCCTGAAATCAGGTGCAGGGTGTTGGTCAGAGCACTATGTAGGTGCCTTGATAATTAGAATCATAGGGTTTGGGGGCTCAGTGTCCTATACGTATAGTAAGGAACCTCCTAAATAGTGTAGGTACCTATTTGGGCCTCCATGTTAACACTTTTGAGGTTGAGCTCTACCGGACATCAAGACTGCCGGGGCCGCAGGACTGTTTGGGATTCATAAAGGAATTACAATAAGGAGCCCCCAAAACAATATAGGCAAATTGGGTGGTTGTCAAAATTATGGTCCCTTTTTGGGTCCCTATTATAGTACGGCACCTATTATTTAGGGTACCCAAACAGGGACCCTAATTTTGACAACCACCCAATTGTTTATAGGCCCCTGTATCTGATCCATAAGGTTGCTTTAAAGCATTGTGGTCTGAGCTTTCGAGGAGAGCTCTGCAGTGCAGTGCTGAACGTGCATGGGTCGTGTCCAAAGGTTCCAAGTAACAAGAAAGTGGGTACTTTGTGGATATTCGGGCCCCGAAAGTGTATACTTTAGTACTCCTCGGACCCTTTGGGTCTTGGGGCATTCAAAACACCTGGGATATTGGAGTTTCCGAAAATTAGGGGAACCATATTTTGGGGATCCTTATAACAAGGATCCTACTACTTAGGGTACTAGATTAGGGTCCCCCATTTTCGGAAACCCCCATATTACAACGTCAAGCACAAGGTTGCAGCACGAAGCTCTGAGAACCAGCGGGACAGCCAGCAGGCACCGCCGCCGACGGTCTCTTGGTTGATGGCGTGCTTGACGAGGGCTGGGCAAGCGCCCTTTAGGTGGGTGATGGCGTTGACAAAGGAGCTGCCGGTCTTCGGGAAGTGAACCTGGGTTCTTGTTAAGGAATTTAACTTCAGTTTCCGCAATCCGGAAACCCTGTTATTCACTATAGCTCCCTGTTATGGTAACTTGTATAAACTAAATTCTTCAACCCCTAAACCCTTACAGAGCCATTAAAGGAACCCCTATAAGATGCCTTCAAGGAACCCTAAAGATGGTATCTTGGAACTAAAACCATCAACAAGAACCCGGGAACTGGGTTGGCCTCTAAACACACTGAAAATATATATATATATATATATATATATATATATATGTATATATATATATATATACATATATATATTGGGCCCCTTATAAACCCAAATAAGGAAAATAAAAAATGTCCCGAAATCCAACCTAGGGAACCCAGTGGAGCGGCTGAGCTTCCTTCAAGCTTCCTTCCTCTCCTTCTAGGATGAGTCGGTGCTGAAGAAACTGCATGTTCCTGGGTTTTTCTGAAGGAATTCAATTTAAGTTACCATAACATGGGTCTATGGTAAATACGAGGGTTTAATTTGAGTTACCATCGTAGGGATCTACAGTAAATCGTATATAGTTTCTGCACTTTCGTAACTGAAATTATACCCCTTAACTAGAACCCAGGTTCATGATCTCGTGCTCTCCATCGGGCTGTCTCGATGCCATGGATATGGCAGGGAGTGACAGCGACCAGAAAAGAGACAGCATGGCTCGCACGGAAAGGCACCGTGTGGGAAGATCGCCGACTTGCTCATGGACGGTTCGGTTTCGAGCTGGCATGTCGCGGGAGATGGTTGTTCAGCAGGCTTGCACCTGTCCCGAGAGCTCTGGTGCAATGCCTTTCCCGCCTATCCAGAACTATACTGAACTTAGAACCCTAGCAAAAATAATAATTTTAGCTGCTTCTGAGGGATTATAATAACCAAAAATTAAAAACTATTTCTAACTACCCCCAAGAGAAGTGTAGACCTTAACCCACAACCCTGACAAGTTGTTTGCACATCGCTGGGTCCTCGGGTTTGCCTTCAGGCTCGATCTCCGGGATCTCTCTTAGGTACGGCCCCCATACAGTAAGGGTCTATACTAGGGTTACTATTAAGGTATTACTGAGTGGGGGCCGTACCCAAGATCCATCTCTCTTCTTCAATAGTTATAGGTGGGGTTGTAAGGGGGGTCATAAGGGTTCGTTTAAGGGTTCCTTTAAGGGGTTCCTTTGAGGGTTCTATAGGGCTTCTAAGGATTAGGGTTTAAGGTAGTTATACTCTCTTCTTCAACAACCGGGCCCCAAAAAGTTCAAACTTTCTAAGTTAGAGCTCACATATATGGCCAGAAAGTTTCAAGTTCCCCTTTTTCACTATTTAAGCTATAAAGATGACCAGCGTTCCAATTCTGATTTGGGGTGCTCGGACCCGAGATCCTCCGAACAACACCGGCATACTGTAGGAACCTGATTGAGACACCCAGGGCCTTTATCAGGGTTCCTTATCATATGAATTCTACTATTTTGGGGTTATAGGCCCAGGGTTTCTTAATCAGGTTCCTACATTACAAGGAACGAAATGATCCGGATGGGACTTTGGGTGCGGCTCTGCTTGTAGAGTCCACTCAAGCCTATGCCCTCGACCGAAACATCCAATACCTACCTTCTCACGGCATAATGCAATTATTAGCCCCTGCTCTAGCATAGCATAAAATCCCGCTTAATTCTACTCACCGTCCGCGCCCTAGGCCCTAAACCATTCTGGTCAATACTGCCCCCAAGCAGCTAGGGCATGAGCCGGGGCCCGAAGTAGAACAACGGCGCAACCCAAACTTCTAAACCCTTCACCCCTAAACCCTAATAATAAACCCCTACATGCCCCTCAACCCCAATTATCAACCCCTACATACCCCTCAACCCCAATAACAAACCCTTACATACCCCTAAACACCATAATAAACCCCTACATACCCCTAAACACCATAATAAACCCCTATATACCCCTAGACACCATAATCAACCCCTACATACCCCTAAACACCATAATCAACTCCTATATACCCCTAAACACCATAATCAACCCCTATGTACCCCTAAACACCATAATAATCCCCTAAACGCCGTAAACCCCAAAGACCCAAACCACGAAACCCCACTGGGACGGCGACAAGGAGGCGTCCCACAGTCGGATTCGTCCACACTGCCGGCCGCTGCCTGAGGTTTTAGGGCTTTAGATGGGTTTGGGGTTTAGGGTTTATAGGGTGTATGGGGTTTATAGGGTTTTGGGGTTTCGGGTTTGGGGTTAATAAAAATTTTGGGGGTAAGCTTTGAAAGGTGTGTAGGATTTAGAGTTTAGGGTTGGAGTTCAGGGCTATAGCGTTCTTTTGGCTTTGATAGCAATTCGAATCCAATCTGCCTGGCCTGTTTTGGCATGCTCATGGTCAGATCATCCGGGGAACTGTGCAAAAATGCGATTCACCTTTAAGGCTGTCCGGGTGCAGAGATATTCGAGTCCTGGAGTATGGGGGTTGGGGCTTCAAGCTTAAGTTGAAGGCATGCCGTGTCCCTTTGAGGGATTCGAAACATAGACGTCTCAGGAGGTTTTCAGGTCTGACTGAGGGGCTTAGGGTTTAGACCATGCTGAACAGTTGGCAACCAAAGTTGAAAAACACAGTTGGGAGTTTTCCGAAAATAGGAGACCCTAATATAGTGTCTCAAATAGTAGGATCCTTGTTACAAGGACCCCCAAGTAAGGGACCCCTAATTTTCGGAAGCTCCCTGTCTCAGCCACGAAATCTAATGAAGACTGAAACAGAGCACATGCTAGCAAACGGTAGGCTGTTGATCTTATGAATACTGCACACAAGCCTTCCTGAAGGATGACACGAAATAAGACCCTACTTCTCTGGTGAAACGAACCTTGAGCCTCACACCTCAAAACGACAGGTCGCGCACAGGCGCATGGTTCAACAGATTTTATTGATTCGGGCCTGTAGTCCGAACTTTGACACAGGATTGGGACAGTACCATGTCGTCTTGCAGCTGCTCGTTCACAGCCAACATCCCCTTCACCTGACGGGACGTTTGCTCAGATGCCACGTCGTGCATCTGAGGACTTTGCGTGCTAAGGTCGCTGCGAGCATGGTCTCGTCCGTCTGGTGACAGTATACGACACCGCGGAACTGAAGTGCCACGGCAAGTACGTGCGTGGCACCGGGCCTCCAGCAAGCACCATCTTTCGACTGGATGCGTTAGCCCTCTCACTATCGCATCCCCTCCCCCCCCCGACCTGTTACCCCAACGAACACAAGACCCATTGTCCATCACACACTTCGGCTGACTGGTGCCGCTGCCTGGGCTGCGTCAGCATGCCATAATGCTTGGCAACGCGAAGGCTGATCTCGGACTGGCCCTCCTTGAAGTCAACACCGCCCTGTCTCAGCGTCACCGTTCTGACTATGCAGCGATGCCGGCAGGGGACCTGTGCACCGAATAGACGTGCACGGTTGGGTCCTGGTTGGTGCTCTCGCGCGCACTTCTGTACCGGATCGCGACCCACACACAGTTGGACCCACGGGGATACAAGATCAACACCGCCGAGCTGAAAGTTGGACGGCGTGAACAACAATTGAAGCCGAGCGTACGCAAACTCCATGTCGTCCACGGCCCCCAGAAGCCAAGCAGCCGTCGGGGAGGTCAGGAGCGACGACTCGGCGTAATGCATGTGGCCGTCCTCCCGACCAAGGAGGGCCTGCAGCGGCGATGGCCATCCTTGGATCTGGGCGTACCACATTGCCACACGACTAGCTCCCCTAACCCCCCCCTCTTCTTTAGAACGCTCCCTCCAAACATACCAGTGTCAAAATTCTACGGTCAAGTATGGGTGCCTTTTTCTTGGTCCGGTCTTTGTGGGTCCCGTTGGGTGCCGGCGCCGCTTGAAACCCCAGATCCCTCCCCGCCCCCCGCCCCCCCCCACACACAAAAGCCCTAAAGCCTAAAATCGTCGCTCCTTCTGATTGTGAGATAAGGTTGTTTGGGGTCCAGGTAAACCCTCAAAAGCCCCGAAGCCTTAAACCCTAAACCCAAAACCCAGCCGTCAAAAGCCCCGAAACGTTTCGGGCTTCGTAAAACCTCATACATCAAGCCCCTACCTATACCCCCCTTAGAAACATAATAAAAATAATACTTTAACTATTCTCTTGGGTTTTCTATGAACAAAAACTAATTCCCAATGAAACTTAAGCTACACCCTGAACAAGCCCAATTTAGAGACCTAAGAAGCACATAAGCATAAGCATTTTATGGGGATATCCCTGCCTTATTGGGCTTCATTATAAGGGGGTCTATACGGGATATCCCTACCCTTGTTTTTGCTTATGTGCTTTTTGTAGGCCCTGCCAATGGTCCCTGAGATATCGGCTCTGCCGGATCTTTGGGCTCCTCTATCGCGGCTCGAGGGGCTTAGGGTTCTAGGTTTAGGTCCTTATGACGAATTAGAAAAGGATTGTTTGGGGTGTCTTTGTAGTATAAACAAATCAAGGAACTCTTCAGGGTTTCAGTTTTGGGGCTTACAGTAGAAGCCAGAAAGTTGGAACATCATTATCCCCATGCCCTTAAGGTAAAGTATAAGGGATCCTAGCACTAATCCTCCTCAAGCCATGTTCCAACTTTCTGGCTTCTACGATAGGACCTTAGGATGGCGGGGAGGGCGTAGGGAGGTGGGTTCGCCCTTGTCCGAGTTTCGGGCAGAGGGCCCGGGATGCAGGGCTCGATGTTTTTTGGGTGGTTTGGGTTTAGGGTTTAGGGTTTTTGGCGGGTTCTCAGATGGAAACGTTCGGGCAATATAGGGGCCTTAATCATTTGAATTTAGTTTTGGGGCCCAGTATACTGCATTGATAATAAGGAACCCGATAGTATGGTTCCAGGAAAAACTGGGCCCCGCACGGAGCAGTAAACTCCAACAGAACTCCATCCCTGAACCTCATACACCCAAGCACAGAAACCTCAATGTCGAGAGACCAGCGTAATCTAAAGTTGTCCCAGATCGACACACAGACACGCAGCTAAAGAAACCTTAAGAAGCCGAACACGCCCCAACCACTGAGTCCCAAATGCTATACTATCCCTAAACCCTAAGCCCGAAACCCTAAACCATGCAGCCGGGGTGGGAGGGAGAGGTGGCAGGGTCCAGGGCTTCCGTTTGTAAAAGGTAGTGGCACCGCCCGCTGGGCGTACACGACGGCGAAACAACATCGAAGAACTCGTCGTGCATCGTGTAGTCGGGCAGGTAGTGCAAGATAGCTTGTTGGTAGCTACTTGGGAGTTTCCGAAAATGGGGGACCCTCACATAGTACCCTAAATAATGAGATCCTTATTATAATATAAATATTATAAGGACCCCAAAATACGGTACCTCCCCCCCTAATTTTCGGAAACTCCCATTAAAATTCCAGTCCAAGCACCGACAACCATCCACGATGCTGCAGGAGATCGGGGGATGACGACTGGCATCTTTCTCTCTGCAGCTGCTTGGAGGTTCAGGGGTTAGTTATAAGGGCTTAAGGATCCCTTTAAAGGGATCTTTAGGGATTCTATAAGGATATCGGGTGTAGGGTTTACTTGGAGGTTCCAGGGGGAGTCATAAGGGTTTAAGGGTCCCTTTGAAGGGATCTCCATAGGGATATCGGGTTCAGGGTTTACTTGGAGGTTCCAGGGGTAGTTATACTTGGGGCTATACGTCCCCTATTTTGGGATATAAGTATAGCTACCCTACTTAGAACCCTACTCAAAAACTACCCATGAACCTTCAAGTGGCTTCTACCACCAATTGGGGGTTTCCGAAAATTATGGGTACCTTACTGTGTAAGGTGCTATATTGGCGTCCCCTATCTTGGTAAACGCCCAATCGGCCGATGATGCAGGAATTTATAACTATGAACCTCCAAGCTTGGTTTAGGGCCTAAAGTAGGGTTGAGGCCGCTTCAAGCCTGGGTATACACACCAGGGGCCTAATGTAGGAACCTGATCAAGAAACCCTGACCCTATAACACCAAAATAGCATCAGGCACCCTAATAAAGGCCCAAGGTCTGTTAATCAGGTTCCTACATTAGCCGGTCGACCCTGTCACGGGTCGACTTAGTGTCGCAAAACGCCGGGGCCGCGTTTATGGCTCGAGCGAACAGGGCTTCCGTTTAGGGTTTTGGGCTTGCGATTTAGTGTTCATGGTTTGGGGTTTAGGGTTTTTGGGTTTAGGGTGTATAGGGTGTAGGGTTTTGCCTAAACACTGAACCCTAAACCCTAACTTTAAACCCTAAACCCTATCCCCTAAACCCACTAAAGGGAACTCCAGAAAGTTGGAATATGGTTACCATAAAGGGTTTAGGATAATCATATTCCAACTTTCTGGCTTTTACCTTAAAGGGTAGGTTATCCAGGGTTGGACGATCCTCCTTTGGAGATAGCAGCTGCCGGTGGAGGTCGTCTTGAACGGAGCCCCCGACCTCTCTCGCGCTTTAGGATTTGGGGGTTTCCGAAAATAGGGGACCCTAAGATAGCACCCTAAACAGTAGGATCCTTATTATAAGGGACCCAAATTAGGTACCCCGACTTTTCGGAAGCTCCCATTTAAAGGTTTAGGGTTTAAAAGTAGGGTTTATGGTTTAGGTTTTAGGGTTTATGCTTCGGCTTCGGGTCTCAGGGGTTAAAGGGATCTATAGGGTTCCTTGAAAGAAATCTATAGGGCTCCTTTAAAGGGATCTATATGGGGTTTAGAGCTTAAGGGGTCTAGGGCTGAAGATGGTTTCAGGGTTTAGGAAGTTCAGGGTGCTAGAGGCGGCTTAGGATGTAAGGGTTGATGACATCGAAAATTATCCTACTTGTCGGGTATCATGGGGAACTGAAGGTTAACCTTTTTGTTGGTAATATAGGGGTTGTATAGGGACTATACTACCCAAAAAAGGTTAAAGGTTACCACTCTAATCCAAAAAACTATTCAAGGTCGGGTCTCACAGTTCGTGGGTATAGCACTGTGTTCCGAGCTGGCTTCATCAAGGCTGGTCACCGCCACCAATTGCAACCCTCCCAAGCACATAGCGGCAAATGCGAGTGTGTCTATAACCGACCCCACGATCTTTCAAGCAGCTGCGGTGTTTCCCGATTGGATAGCCAGGGGTTTGGGGGGACAGGTCCAACTAGGACAGCGTCTTGGGGTGCCCACTCACCAGGATACAAACCGACACAAACGAACCCCAAAACACAAACTAACAAACTAAAATTCCGAACTTGGCATGAGAAGAATGGCCTGCAGTAGGACGTCCCGAAAAGCCTCCTCGAAAATGCCGGTGGTCCTTCTTCCCATGTGTTTCAGGTCAGTGCGTAAGCTGGATATAAGGGCTTCTCACTGCAAGGTTTAAGATTTACGGCTTAGGTAATCAGGCTTGACTCGATTTTGGATGGGCAAGCATAGATCATCTCAGCAGCTGTCAGGTTGGTGTGCGATGCTGCTACTCCGGCCAAATGAAGCTGAGCCATGAATCGAAGCACCAGCAAGAGCCAGAAAATGAAGACATCATTTGGTTTGGGGTTTAGGGTTTAGGGCTTAGTGCAATACAAAAGGCTTGGCTTCTGCTTCTGCTTCTTTTAGGGTTAAGGGTTACGGTCCAGGAAACACAAAACGGAAATAGAGAAGCTTGAATGTTGCGGCATGCATGTTCAATCTAAGAAGACACACTGCATCACTGGGAATACGGAATATGTGCTGCAGGCTTCGGTGACAACAAAAGCAAAAGCAATGCCAATTCCACAATGGAAGTGGCACCGATGAAACCTAAACTCTGTTGCCCTATAGGCCACATACCCTAAACCCAGAAACAGAACCTAGAAACCTTGAAGCTTCAACACGAAAAACAAAACTGGCTCCTCCTCAGCCCAATTTCACGGCTTTTAAGGACCGTACTGCTAAACCCTGATCATCAGCCGCCAAGTAAAAAGGACCTTAGGGGTAATATGGGAGGCTAGTCAGAATCCGTAAGGAATTGCAGCACTTACCGTGTGGCATGCTACGAATTGTGAAAATGGAAGCGAAAATACTGCATTTCATAATACGCATGATGGCACTGACAACACCCAACAAATAACAAACAACAGGTACAATTAGTAGCAATCATGGTGATAGCGGTAGGTATAACATCAATAGTAGCAGTACTGACAACAACAATAATACTAGGGTTGATACCACTACTACCACTGCTACTACGACGACGCCGAGTACTATTGCTACTGCTAAACATGGTATTTTTCCAAACTAATACTACGGGAAACCACGGAAGAACTTATAATCTTAATCATCATCATCGTGCTAATAGATGATAACAGTAATCATACAGCTAAAACAACGGTAATGACAATAATACTAACGCTTGCATTCTCATATTGAACAAAACCAAAACTAACTAACGAACAAACAAACACATCAACAAACATGTCAATACAATATACCAATGCACTCTCAAAATCCCGTCAAACTGGCGACAAATCGCTCCAACAACCCAATAATAAGCCTGCCTTTACCACAAATCACTACAAACCACTACATTTCCTCATTTTGGAGCTCAGAAATAATGACAGTAACCTTAAGATAACAGCCATCATGTTTATAGTTGTAGCAGCAATTATTACTATCGGGCATCTCCTCACGCCGCGTTGCCGCCACACCTGCGGTGTGAAGGGTGTGGGTAATGTCATGATGTAGTGGCCAAAAAATTCACCAATACCATTTTATGACAACTTTGTAGGTTCCTTATTATAATTCTGGTGCACTACATCGTAATTTCTAAGGCCCCTATACTATATAGTACCCTTGCGGATCCCTTATAGAATCCAAGAACCCTCAAAGGAGCCCAAAAACCCTCTTCTAAGTTCTCAGGCCCCTCTCATTTTGGTGGAGCTTAGGGGCAAGCCGGGAGCTACAGCTTAGGCTTTGGGACTTTCATGGTTTAGGGTTTCATGTTTCTGAGGGCCTTGAGGGTGTAGGGTTTGCGGGTTTTTCAGGCTTTGAGGGTTTGGGGCTTTCTGGTGTTTGGGGCTTAGGGCGTTAGGGTTTTGAGGGTTTTTAGGGTTCTTGGGGCTTAGGGTGTTAGAGTGTCAAAGGCTTTTAGGGTTGTAGGTTCTAGGGTTACTTTGTCGGTTTAGGGCTTAAGGGTTTATAGGGCTTGTGGGTTTAGGATTTGTTTGGGGGTTTAAGGCTTAGGGGTTTAGGGTTTGTGGGTTTAGGGCTTGGTTTGGGGTTTTAGGGCCTAGGGTGGGTCTCTAGAGTACTTGACGAGGAGCGCGAGACTTGCTACATGAACTCTTGCTTACGGTCATGTAGGAACCTGATTAAGAAACCTTGGGCCTTTATTAGGGTTCCTTTGTATGAATCCTACTATTCTGGGGTTATAGGCCCAGGGTTGCTTAATCAGGCTCCTACATTACACACAGAGGTATACAGGTCTTGCCGCAACCACATCTGGCCGCAAACCTTGACTAGCTACCCTGGTTCAAGCCAGGCATGCGAGTTTGGTGCTGCCAGGTGGGGCCAGTTAGCTACACAAATCGTCATAACCTTGCTTCATAAGTTCATTGCGCAAGCCGATATTGACGCCCTGGAAGCCCTCATTACCCAAACGGTGTGGTACTAGACCATTGTTCTATAGTTATAATAAGGAATCCCAAATAATATAGGTAATTTTTGAGGCCCCTATATTCGGTTCCTGGGTTCTGTTGGGCTCAGGGGTCTAATGGCGCACAGGGTTCTATAGAGTTCAAGGCTCCATTCCTAAGTCCATAGCCCAACATAGGGCTCTTAAAATAAAGCTTACAGCACGGTGTTTTACGTGAGAAGTAGCTAGCTAGGACAGCTGAAAGGACAGTGTTCTTACTTATAGATAGCTAGGACAGCTGAAGGGACAGTGTTCTTACTTATAGATAGCTAGGACAGCTGAAGGGATAGCGCTTTTACTTATAAAACCCTGTAAGCACCTAACTAATACATAGAAGCCTCACAAACTGAGGGGCTGAATACCCCAGCCAAGAAAGCCTTTTCAGGTATGGTAGGATTCTATAGGCCCCAACAGGTTAAAAGGTCACCTACTCAGCTACTACTTGGAAGTTCATGGGTAGTAATAAGCAGGGTTATAAGTAACGGGTAACTTTACCTATAACCCATATTATCGCCTTACAACCCCACTTACGATTACCCCTGAACCTCCAAGTAAGCCCTAAACCCTATACCCTTATAAAATCCCTATAGACCCCTTTAAAGGGACGCTTAAAGAAACCCTTATAACTACCCCTGAACCTCCAAGTAAGCAACATAACCAAAGCTTAAAACAAAAAAAGGCCCAGACCCCGCTGTCAAAATCCCGGCCTCGAGTTGAGGAACCACCTTGCTGTCAAACCTGATGGGGCTAAGGGTTTAGGGCTGAACCCTATACCCTGAACCCTATACCCTAACCCTGAACCTCATACCCTAACCCTGAAACCCCATACCCTAACCCTGAACCCTATACCGCGGACATCCGAAATGGAAGGTTTAGGGATTCACTAGAATTCAAGTGCGCAGGGGGTTTGGGGCTTAAACCGAAGCCGCTTCGGGGCTTGGGGCTTACGGCCTCAGGGCTCTTGGGCACTGTAGATGTTTACAACCTGGTGACATACCTTGCGGGGTTCAACATGAGTGCTATAGGGGCCTCGGGTTGAAGGCAGAAGGGTCTGGGCTTAGGTTATAAGGGTGGAATGTGCCTCATTTTTGGATTCCGAGGCGGCAGCTCTGTTTGCTTTAGGGCTTGGCTGACTTCTGAACCCCTCCTAAAATTTAAAGTTTTAGCCTCCTTATTAGAGTGAATATAGAAACCCCAAAAGTTCAAGTCCTAAGAGCCAACCAGAAGAACGCCAAGAGGGCATACCTAAACCCCCAAAGAGCAAGTAAAATCATGGTCCAAAACCTATAAAAGGCCTATTCTTCGACATACATTCTGGGGTCCAGGTAGGGCTGTTTCATGGGGTGCTTCTTTTTGTCCTCTTCGCCTGCTCGTGGAAGCCTTTACTTGCGCGTTTACTGTAATACGGGGGCCTTCGTAATTAGAATAGGGTCGTGGGGCCCATTATACTATATTTTTTAAGAAGGAGCCCACAACTCAACATAGTATATTATGTGCCTTAGTGAAGACAAGCAAGTCTATATGCAATTCAATACCCCATTTTCGGAGTGATTTAGAATGCTCCGTATAAGGGCTAATGTTGAGCTCCCACAAGAAAGCAAAAGGCCCAAGTAGCGGCAAAGTCCTTATGTGTTTGGCTGGCCCGCAATAAGGGGACCCTAAAATGAAAAGAGCGAAAGTGTACTACTCAGGAACCTAGATGGGGCTCCGGGCGGATTGTTTGATGATAAGGCTTTGTGCAGAACGACTGCCGTAGCTCCCCCTCCCATAATCTTAGCAGCCTTAGACCCTAAACCCTAAACCCTAAACCCTGAACCCTAAAGCCTAAACCCTAAACCCTAAAGCCTTAGCATCACTAAGCCCTAAACCCTAGACCCCCACACCCTAAACCTGTAATCCGAGCCGAATCCAGTGGCTCCATGGGACAGCTGATAGGTTGCAGCACTCGAAGGGCCCCTAAACCCTAATGTAGGAACCTGATTAAGAGACCTCGGGCCTATAATCCCAATACTGTAGGGATTCATAAAAGGAGCCCTAATAAAGGCCCAAGGTTTCTTAATCAGGGTTCCACCAGCATTATAGTACTCTTATAGAACCCTTATAGTAACCCTTACGAAAACTTTGTTAAAGTATGGTACTCCAAAGTCCAAAGCCCAATAGGCCAAACCCGAAAATCCTGACCCCGGGGCCCCCGGGGCCCCGACCACTTACAAACACGCCGACGATAGAGTTGCCACCTGAGCTCGGGAGCCTAGGCCTTGAGTTTAGGGATTAAAGTTTAGGGGTTTAGGGTTAGGGGGTTAGGGGTTTAGGGGTTTAGGGTCTGGGGCTTTAGGGTTTAGGATTTAGGGTAGAAGCCCAAAAGTTGGAAACCCATTAGCCTCAATCCCTAAGACTAATTCACAAGGAATCCCAGCACTTATCGTCATTTATCCGGTTTTCAACTTTATGAGTTTACTGTAGGGTTTACGGGTTACGGGTTTGGGGTCCGGGGGCTATGGTTCAGGGATAGTTAAACTCTAGATGACTCTTCTACAAGTCTTCGGATGTGTGGAATATGTCTATCCTTGTCCGCTGCGTGCCTACAAATTGAGATCTTTCTAGTTGATATGTGTAGATACTGTATGTATGTATGTCTCTATGTATGTATGTGTACATATATATATATATATATATGTATTATGTGAACCCTCCAGCTCATACTGGCAAAAGACCATGTGCGGCGACATTGCCATAGCCCCGGCCCTCTCGGAACTAGCACGAGCTTTCGAACACTCATCACACAGCCCGACGCCGAAACCTTTGCAAACGCATTATGGTAGCCCACGCCCTTAACTCCAAGGCATTAAATCCTAAATGAGACCCTGAACTAAACACCAAATCAAAAATTAAGAAGCGGCATGGGCTCCTGCACAGTAGGATCCAATTGGGGTAACATATCTGAAGCTGGGAATGCCACGACTCGAAGAAGACTCTTGCATTCGCCTGGCGAGGAATGGGCTGTTGCCTTGAACACGAACAATAGAAAGGCCCGAATAACTATATAGTTATCATATCATACCATATCATATCCCCTTACAGTCCTTTATGACAGTATACTACACACCCCCAAAGCCTGCCCCCAATAAAGAAAGCGATGGGGGAAGAGTTCTCCAAACCTATAAACCCCAACCAAACCCTAATCGCCGGAGCTCTCTAAAACCCTGAAGGAACTCTTAAAGGATTTTTTGGTTTAGGAAACCTCCGGGAGTACCGTGTCTCGGGTGGTATCTCGGTGGTCAGTGGTCTCCTGTTGGTCTCCTGGCATCGTGGTCTCTTGGTCGTCTCTTTAGGGTTTAGGGTATGAAGCCCAATAAGGTAGGGATATCCCTACAAAATGCTGATGCCTATGTCCTTTTCCTTTTCTGGTCCCTAACTCTTCTCCCGGCGGTCTGCGACCGTACGCTCAATGCTTCATGGTGCTGCCGCCTCCGAGCTGACGTTTTGAAACCCTCTTGCTCCAGTTACCTAAATAGGTTACTGGGCTTTACAATATAAATACATATATATACATATATGGTTAGTATATAACTAACCTACTAGACAAGCAACTGAATGAACGGCCCGGTGATGTAGGGACCTGATTGAAAAACCCCTGGCCTTAGAACCCCAAACTAATAAGATTCATATGTAACGAACCCTAACACAGGCCCAAGGTTTGTTCATCAGGTTCCTAGATTGGGGGATGAGAATATTGGAAGCTCTTGTCTTGCCGAGTGTGCGGGCTGGGAGTTACACAGGGTTTCGTTTGGTCTGGTTGCACACACACACACACACACACACACACACACGCCCACACACACCTACCCTGGCCCTGAACCTCAAACCCTCAAACCCTTCGGGCTTTGGGGTTTGCTGTTCTCTGAGATGTGGTTGTCGGGTTGGGGAACGCCGTTAGTTCTCCTGGCTCATTTGCATTGCGCACCTTGAGGTAGCTCAGACTTTGTCAGCTGGAGAAAGGATTGACTGTAGTGAGGTAGCCGCTCATTGTGTCAATCTTGACTGCTGCTGACTCTTGTAGCAATGAATGACTACATGCATCTACAGCACAGCTGCGCCAAATACGATGCAAGAGCCGATGTACAATAGGTGATTGTTGCTGATTCTGAAAAGGCTGATAGAGTCGTAGGCCTCTATCCAGACTGGGCGCAATTATCCGTATTTACTTGTAACAACATAGGGGCTTGCCTCATTAATTAGAATAGGGCTTTGGGTAATATGCGACGTCTATACTAAGTAACCACTAAAATGCTGTAGGTGATGATTAAGGTCCCTAAAGTACTGACTGGAAGAATGCCGGAGCGGTCAACGAGATTCCAGCACGTCAGTGCGAAGTCAAGAACAAGAACTAGAAGAACTTCCCTCATTTAGGCCCCCCATGCTATTCACCCTACTTGTCGGGTATCATGGGGAACTAAAGGTTAACCGTTTTGGTTATATAGGGATCATATGGGGACTATACTACCCAAAAAAGGTCAAAGATTGCCTACTCTACTATTAGGCTGATTGTGGAACACTGAGAAATGCGTTAGGTAGATATGGGGGTTTCCGAACATAGGGGACCCTAATATGGTACCCCAATTAGTAGGATCCTAGGTTACTATTTACTTGTAGCCCCCCCATCTGCGGGCCCGCGTGTCTGCTTCCAGCGGTTCGCCCGTCGCCTTCCGGGACGCTTTGACACTTCACGGCTTTGGGCTTTAAGGGTTTAGGTTTAGGGTTCAGGGATCTAGGGTTTAGGGGTTTGGGGGTTTAGGGTTGAGGGTTGTAGGGGTTGAGGGTTTTAGGGGTTTAGGGGTTAAGGATTTAGGGGTTTAGGGTTTAGGTGTTTAGGGGTGGGTTTAGGGTTTGGGGGTTTAGGGTCTAGGGGTTTAGGGGTTTAGGCTTAGTGTTTAAGGTTTAAGGCTATGGGGGACACAAGTGAGCAAGCGCGTGCATAGCAGGACAGCAGACAGCATGATGCAAAGGTCCGTTATCGGCAGAAGCCGTCATCTTAGCACGAACAGTGGGAAACCAGAACACAATGCCGGCGAATGCAACGGCAGCAAGACCACCACCAACAACAACAGATATATGATTGTGCAAAGGTACACATACATACATACGTACATGCATGCATCCATGCATGCATGTTACACACATATGCTTGTGTTTTCTTATATACATATATACGTATATGTGTGTATAATATATATATATATATATATATACATACGTGTATATATATATATATATATATATATATATATATATACACACGTATGTTGTGCACATGTAGGTGCAGGAGCTGCAGATCAGTTCTCTGAGCTCCCGGGCTCCATGCCAGAAGTCTTCGAAGCCCGGGGCCACCACGAGGCCGCTTCGGGCCCTGCTGGAGAACTTAAGAAGGCTTTGAGGTTTAGGGCTTAGGGTTTCATACTATTCACCCTACTTGTTGGGTATCATGGGGAACTGAAGGTTAACCTTTTTGGTTATATAGGGATTATGTAGGGACTATATTACCCAAAAAGGTTAAAGGTTACCCACTCTACTACTGGGAAGAAGGTTTCTGGAGAACTTTGGGAGTTAGGATGAGGGGAACCCTGGGGATATAGACCCTGTCAATAAGGCCCCTTTAAGGGGTCTCCCTAATAATACTACCTAAACTTAAGAAGGCTTTGGAAGAACTCAAGAAGCTAGGTTGGCCCTTGAAAGCCTCTGAAAAGTGTTCGCAAATATTTAGGGTTTATTGTTCATGGATCCTCCTGCCACGGCTTTACGAATGGGTTCCAATTCAGCACCCGTGCTCCACCTTACCGACAACCTACTTGGTGGTCTCATGACCAGACATGTGATCATACGAGATTGGCGGAAAGTGCATATTCTAACACCACTCCACCCTTATCCCTAAAACCTCACCCCTAAACCCTAAACCCTAAACCCTGAGCCCCGAACCCTAAATCCCTAAACCCGACCGCTTTGGAAGAGGCCTGTGTCCTCCGAGTGCTGATTGGCGGTCAAGCATCGGCGGTCCACTCTTGCAGTTGCCAAAGAACGCTTCCAGTGCGTGTCTAGATTAACTACATAGCTTGCGAGATTTAGTCAAGGGACCTATGCCCCCGAGCCTTGCTGGAAGGCCCGCCAGAGAAACCCGCTGAGCGTGGATATTGGTGTCGGCAACCGGCACAAGAGGCCGGATACGACATCAACGACCCCCAGGTCTGAATCACTGAACAGGAGGCGGACGATGGCGCTGAAGCTGTAGGCTTTCTGGCAAAAGGCCGAAGCTTTGCGAACGTGGTGTGCCGTCATGACATGGGCGTGCATGTGCTCCCTCTGTGCTGACGTGCATGTTGCATGCTAGGCAGTGCAAGAGGTCGTCGCTGAAGAGCTGTGGCGCCGGGGTCATCCCCGAGCTTAATTAACGCGCAGAAGGGTCAAGGACTTAATCTCTCTTCTGTGTGTCCAATGCTGCTCTGAATGGCCACGTCCGACCACGAGGCTTAGGCTTCCAAGCGCTTCCGTCGTCGTTGCCTGCTGCCTTTCCCGCGTCTAGGATGCCCGGTAACCTAGGAATAAAAGGGCTCTCTTTTTGGTATCGGGTAACTTTATAAGGAACCTAGGACTACAAAACGGGAATAACGGTACTGCTGGGCATCCTAGGTGTTCAAAGAGCTGAGGCTCCCATGTGGTGTTGAAGCAGCCTCCCGAGCGACTCATTGAAGGGTTTAGGGCCTAGGGGTTGTTGGGGCTCTTTGCGGGTTAGAGCTTGTAGGGGGTCAATTGAAGGTTTAGGGTCTTAGGCTGTGCGTCCGCATGGGTTCTTCGGGTTTATGTTGAAGGATGGGGCTTGGGGCTTAGGGTTGCAAGATTAAGTGCAAAGCTGTCGTATAAGGGCCTTGATACATGGAATAGGGCTTCTGGGTATACTACACTATAACCAACATAAGGAACCGCCACCATAGTATTGGTAACTACTATTTAAGTCCCTATACTACACAGCGAGAGGTGCTTTAGGGCTTCAGGCGCTGCACCAGGGCTTCACTACAAGCCTTCCCGGAGTTCTTTATACTAGCAAGTCCCTACTTACCCAATGAATGAAAGGTTAAGCTTTCTGATTGCTACTAAACTATACGAGCGCAAAAAGTTTAAAGGTTGGGTATTGGGGATCTAAGAGTAAGGCTCGGTGTTGTCAGCCTCATTGCAGCCTTTTTGGATACGATTTTTGTCTAGACCTAAGAGTAACCTAGGAGCAAAAAGGGTAGGGGATTATAAGGGACCCTAAACCCTGGAAAAGGGAATAAGGGCCTTCTCTGGGTCCCAGTTGTGGTCTGGTCAAAACTCGCATATTTGGCCTAGTCGACTAGTGTTTGCCGTGCAAGGATAGTATCAGGAATCTTCATTCTCTTGGTTGGTCGACTCGGGATCAAGACAGGCACAGCAGCAACAGCGGCCACAGCATCGCTCCGCGTCCGCGTTGTTAACACAATATGACGAGACCCGAAATCCTACATACAACCCGAAAGCCAAACACCCCAGGACCCCAAACCCCGAACCCTAAATAAACCCTAAACCCGAAGCCTCCAACCAAAACCACAATAGACATGGGAACCCGGGGTTTTGGAACGAAATGCAAGCGGCTGCCCCCAAAAGCACCTGGACCTAAACTTGAAGAGGAGCTCTGGCTAGGGACAAACAACTTAGGGTTTGAATTCTTGGGGTTAGGATTTCGGACTACAGTACACGCCCAAACTCTAAGCTCCCGACAGCACACACTTCCAGGCGTTGGACCTAAGCGCCACAAGAGATAGACGGAGTTTAAAGGATGACCACTTTGCGGTCCGGGGTGTGAAGCGCATTTTGTAGGGGTTGGGGTTTTTGGTGTTTGCTATTCATGGACGTTGAGGGTCACATTTTCACTCTGTAAACTGTAACACTTTAAAGCCTTGAGTCTTGCGGTCTATGTCGATGTAAGCATGTAACCCCAGTCATCCTTTCGGGTAGACATGGGAACGCCAAAGCCTACAGTATCCTAAAACGACCTCACATGTTCAAACTTTCGCGAAACGTACAAAAACGTGAACCCGAAACGACCTGAAATTCAGGACTGCCACCGAAATTACACCAGAGTATCCTCTACACGGGACCTTAGGCAGCGGTTAATGGAGCCGTTTGGAAGGGCGGTGGGGAACCTGCAATCCGGATTTTTCAGCGGAGGCTTCTGGTTAAGATTCAAGGATTCGAGGTTTAGGACTCAAGGGTTTAGGGGCTTTATGGGCTTAGGATTTAGGGTTTTTGCGGTTTTGGGGTTTCGGGGTTTAGGGCTAAATTTGGGTTCAGGGGTTTGGTGATTTCCGAATTCAAGACAAGGGACCCTAATTTGGTGTATTACCGCACATTGCACATCTGCGCGGACCCTTGTGCCTTTACTTTGTGAAATATCTTGGCCTTACAGGGACTCCTGTATCACAGAGCTAGTTTCAAGCCAAAGTATTTGCAGAATTATACCACGCAAGGACCGTCCTGGCCCCCGATGCAGCCAGAAATCCTTCAAGAGAGGGTCACCCTAGACCCTATCCGCTCCACCCCAGCCTGCATAATTACCAATACTGTTTGTCTAATTCTTAAATACGGACAATGAATTCGAAGCCATACCGAAAGCCAAGCAAATTAAGCTGCCACAATCAAGAAACAACATTATGTACCGGTAACTTAAAAAAAAGCTCCTTAACAAAAACCCAAACTAAGCCCTCCCGGGTTTCCCGGCTCTTCCTCTCCACGGAAGGCTTCTGAAGGCTTCTCGGTCACTTCTGCGTCGGGTCCGGAATTCGAGGTCGGCTTAGGGCTAATGCTTGCCCTAAGGCTCCGAAGTAGTTCCTTTTTGGGATTCATATTTAGAATCCTATAAGGTAATCCCAAAAAGGAACTACCATGGAGCCTCTGGGTGGGGAGAGTTTACGCTTTAGGGTTGAGGGTTTAAGCTTGATTGGAAACTTAGGGTTTAGGGCTGACGGGCATAACTCAAATGAACGGGTGTTTTGGGGGTGAGTTATAGTATCACTACAACACGAAACCCTGGGGAGAGAAGAATGTTGGGTAGCAAATTATTCAAGCTGCTATACTGCGGCTGAGGATCTCTGTCTCTGATGCCAAAAGCGAGTTGGGGGAGGTCAACCCACCATCCTCGTGCCCCGTCCTAGATCCCGAGAGCCCCGACTCCACCGCCTCCGTGTGGCACTGTTGCGACCTCTCCAGCTCGGTCCCTTAAGATTGCAACACTGAGAGACTGCACGTTAGCAGTGGCATGTCTTCAAACAGTTTGCATATAACACTCGCAGGGAGGCACGCATTCAGAAACAGCATCGACTGTTCTTCCTTTACCTCGTTTGCATCATCTGCTCCATGCCGGGCGACCTCTGGCGCTTGAACCCGACCCATGTGTCTGATTCTCTGCAATGGCATACGGAGATAGAGGGCCAGGGTTCAGGGTTAAGGCCCTGGAACACAAAGCCGCAGGTGCTCCTCGAAGAAAAGCTTCTGGGTCCTTGGGGATGCGAGAAGCCCTGGCCTTGCTCACCCATCTTAGCTGACTTCTGAACCCCTCCAAAAAGTTAAACTTTTAACTTTTAGCCTCCTTATTATAGCTCATATCGAAAACCCCAAAAAGTTAAAGTCCTAAGAGCCAACCAGAAGAACGCGAAGCCATTGGAAGCCTGGTGCATCTCCGAGATCTTTCTCCATATCTAGCCATCGGGAGGGCTGACTATAAATGGACTCTGAGCCCCTGTTCTCCAAGCCCCGTTCTAGAGCCGTATCTGTAACCCCAAATCCTCTGGCGATAAGAAACTCTTATCGGGGACAACCCTAGGCCAGCCGGTTTTCTGAGCCCCGGGGAAGTTCCGAACTCCGATGCTCAAAACCTGTACGTGTAGGTACTATTATGGGGGCGGACTTCCCCGAATGATAACAGAAAATCCTGATACAGAAACCTTACATTCAACTATGTAGGTACTTAGAACCCTTTGGGTCACAACCCTAAACTCGAAACCTCCCATCGCCCCTGTTTTCTACGCCCCCCCCAGAAGTGAACCTGGAGCGTCAGCTTCGGTCGTCTCTTCCAGAGCCTTTCTTCGGGTGGGGGGGGGGAGGGGGAGAGGGGGAGAGGGTTTTAGGGTTTAGGGCCGTTCAGGGTTTAGGAGGGAAGGAGTCCTTGTTTTGGTTTTCTGTGGCTTGTATATGGAACGGGCTATTGAATTAGTTTTGCAAGGCGTTTATCAGATGTTGTGGCATTTGCAGGTGTGAGGTTTGGCCTTCTTAACCCAACCTTTGGGTTTGGGGTTTCACGGCCAGACTTACAACCGCACTTATAACTACCCTTGAACCTCCAAGTCGACCCTCAACCCTAATGGGCCATCGGATCTACTGGTTTTACCTGTAATGATATTCGAGGATTCCCAGTAACCTAGGAACAAAAGGGCTCTCTTTTTGGTATCGGGTAACTTTATAAGGAACCTAGGACTACAAAAAGGGAATAAGGGTACCACTGGGCATCCTAGTATTACGTTCGATAGAGTCGGTCAGAGCACACACACACCAAAACCATGGCATCAACACGTCCTGCCCAATGACAGCAAGCAGTCTTGACCCTGAAACCTCTGCACCCCGCAACCCAAAGCCAAACCCCAAACACCCCGAGTTCCGAAAGAACCACCCAAACCCTAAACACGAAAAGCGGTGTAAAAGAACCCTCCTGTCTTCTAGCATCCTTGAAATCGAAACCGCCATACTTCATATAGAACCTATTACTACACCCTTATAGAACCCTAACAGAACACTTTAAGGCCAGAGCTCTACTAAACAGGCTAAATGCTGACAGAATCCCAAGGCCCGAATAGGTAAAACCCAACCCGAAACCACAAACCCTCAAGCCTGATACCCCAAATCCTGTCTTTGCCTCGATCAAGGTCGGTAGCGGGCCGCCTTGGCTCAGTTGGCGACTGAGCCGCCGAACGTACTGGCGGAGGCGCTGCTTTTTACGGGTTCGGGGCTCCTCTAAGAGGGCCTTCTTTAGGTTTTTTCCGGTGTGGGGTTTAAGGGTCCCTTGTCGGGTCAAGGGTTTAAGGGGTCCTTTACAGTTTCAGGGCTTAGGGCTTCCTTGAAAAAAATCAAGCCAGGTTCCTATGAGAGTTTTACAGCTTCAGGGGCAGAGAATTAGGGGTCTAGCGGTGTAGAGCCTCAAGCTTTTCGGGCTTAGGGTTTGGGGTTTTACGGCCTAGGACCAAACCAGCCGAAACAGTCCCGACATGCTCCGACACAAGTGAAGAGTCTGCATGCAGCACAACACTTTGTGAAAACCACTGCACCAGTCCATGTGTTTGCACCTCCAGCTTGGGACACGTTTCGGAGTGTGGGGTGCAAGCCCTACCTTAACCCGGAAGAACCTACATTGTTAAGGACGTATATAAGGAAATCATAATCAGGAACCCTAAAAATTGGTAGGTTGTTCAGGGTTAAGGTAGACCCAACCCTCCACCCGAAACCCACAAATCCAATCCTACATCCTGAGCCTTGCTAAGGCCTTATCGGGTGCCGTGTCTACGGGTCTCGCCGCTGAGGGGCTACCGGCTTACTGGAAGGATCATGGGACTTAGTACCTAGGGTTATGACTAGGGTAACTATACTTACAGCTACTTATAACCCCAATTAAGGTCCTTATAACCTTACTTACTAAGTCCCATGATCCTCTAAGTAGTGTTGTAGTAGAGGCAGTCGGCCCTGGAATTTGGGGGGTACCTACCTCTAAAGGATCTATAAGGGTTCCTTTAAGGGATCTATAAGGGCTCTAGAAAGGGCTTAGGGTTTAGAGTTTCCGAAAATTAGGGGAAGCCTATTTTGGCGTCTTTATAATAAGGATCCTACTTAGGGTACTATACAACGGTCCCCCAATTTCGGAAACTCCCACATGAAGCTGCTAAGATGCAGGACAAGCGCTTTATCCGCCTCCGAGGTGAGTGCCAACCAAGTGGATGAATGACGACTTGATCACATGGGGCAAGAAGCTGCTCGACGTCACGTGTGTCACCTTGGGCCCTTGCAATCTCGCCATGATTTCGGCAGCATATTTGTTTTGTTTTGGTTTTCCACCGTTGGCCCGCGGGCGCTGGGCACCTCACCATCCAGGACAACAGGTCGGACGGCGTCCTCGCGAATGTCGAGGAATCCGCTGCAGTCAGTGGTGTACCGATTCCGCACAAAATTCGGGAGCGGGCCCGCCGAGCGAAGGTCAACCTCTGTCGGGATTCAGAGAGATACTCTGACTCTAAACCCTAAACCCCCTTAACCCTAGACCCTAAATTCGAGTCTGGGGAGATACCCTAAACGCGAAATTCCAAACATCCCCAGACCACAAATCCGAGTCTGAGGGCATTTGGCTTCATTTCTGAAAACGTTCCCGTTGCAGAGTTTGGCGGTTCGAGTTTAGGCCTCCGAGATCCAGTGCTCCCCGTACATATACCTTGTCGGTTCATAAAGTAAACCCTAGTTTTGAATTTAGAGGAACTAACATACCTTATGGGTTCTCATTCTAAACCCTAGTATGGAATCTTATCGGACTAATGTACCTTATCGTTTCATACGGTAAACCCTAATATGGAATGTATAGGCACGAAAATACCTTATCGGTTCTTATGCTGAACCCTGATATGGCAGTTATAATCGGACTACTACAACAAGTAAAGCTTTCAAGTTCTTGTTTTGAACCCTAATTTGGAAATTATAGGGCTACAAACAAGTAAGCTTTTGGTAGGTTAACATACAGTAAGGTTACTTCGTAGCCTGAAGGGTACCCCATTCCTTAGTTGCTGAGTTCATAAGCCCCCAAAAGTCTACACTTTCAGTTTTCTGGTGGGGAATATTCTCCCAAACAGTGTAAAGTGTACCCACTCAGCCAGTAAGATTCACAGAATGCGATGAAGCAGCACGGAGAATTTGTGTTGAGCGGCGATTCCGCGGAGCCGTGGTGGTGGATTCCCACAACCCGAAAGCTCCCGAAATCTCCGGAACACAAACAGGATGCCTCTGGGAAAGAGCAACCTACTTGTCGGGTATCATGGGGAACTAAAAGTTAACCTTTTTGGTTGTATATGGATTATATAGGGACTATACTACCCAAAAACGGTTAAAGGTTACCTATTCTACTACTAGGCAACCCTAAACCCATAAGCCCTGACCCCCAACACTCCTTAAAGCCCTTAAGCAGCACGTTTTCCTGACCCATCGAAGCCCCTAATGTAGGAGTAGGCTTTAGGGGTTTGGAATTCTTTTATTAAAATCACAGTGTACCCTTATAGTACCCTTATGTATCCCTTATAGAGCCCTTTAAAGAACCCTCGTAAAGGATGTTCGAATTATAAAGGCCCCTACTGTACACTCTTTAAACCGGAAACCACGCCTCCAAAGCCAACTCTTGCGGACGCTGCGCTGCTTCTTTCACCTGAGCCGTCAGAACAGCCGGATTTAGCGTTTAGGATTTCGTGTGGGGCTTTCCAGGTCTATGTGCAAGATAGTATGACCCTTACATGCCGGGTTAAAAGAATTGCTGAGGCTCTAATAGTGTTCTACTGATGTGCTATGATGGGTTTATCCAAGCAGTGCAAGCAGCGAATAAGGCTACGGGTGTTGAAGGGGGGAAGGCTGCTTTCGGTGTTAGCTAAGGGGCCTTCATGACTAGAACAGGGTTTAGGGGTAGATGGTGCTTCATTTATGAAAGAACTACAAAGGCATCTTCATGCATACCAATCATTCCGAACGCCGTATAATTCTGCAGGTTTTGGGGCTCATAGTGTAGGGCTTGTGTTTTTGCGTTTGGGGTTTAGCCAGGGGGCATTTAGACGTGACAACAGGAAGCGGCCTGACGCCGGTTATGAACCCGTACAGCCATCCTTGCACCCATACGTCCATTACAGTCACCCATGTACTAACAAATGTTAAATGGGTGGTTGTCAAAATTGGGGTCCTTGTTTGGGTCCTTATTATCATACGGCGCCTATGTAGGGTACCCAAAAAGGGACTCTAGTTTTGATTACTACCCAAATATAGAAACCATTAGAAACCCTTTTCGAAAACTCTCTAGGGGACGTTGCAGTAACCCTCCCTAAACCTAGCACCCAGAACCCAAAGCCCAAACCCTCAAAAAAACCTATCTAGGAAGCCCTCTGATAAACCCTGCCAAAACCCTAAACCCATCTGGGAGTTTCCGAAAATAAGGGACCCTAATATGGTACCATAAATAGTAGGATCCGTATGATAAGGACCCCCAAATAAGGTACCCCTAGTTTTCGGAAACTCCCATCTAGAAACCTCTCTAGGAAGCCTGACGAATACCCTGAGGAGGTTTCGCGTTTCGGTCACTACGAGCCTCAAGGCTTCGGGCACCCGTTGCTGCCGTTTTAGGGAATAGGGTATTGGGGTATGGATATCTCAAGCCCTGCGTCCTAAACCCTTAAACCATCTAAACTCCAAACCCCTTAACTTTAAACCCCTAGTATCCTACGCATAAAACCTTTAAACTCAACCACTGAAGCATTAGCCATAAACCTTAAACAGTCAACCATAATATGAAACCCCTAAACCACAAAACCCCAAACCCTAAACCCCAAACCGCAAACCATAAAAACAACCTACACCACAAAAGCTTAAAACCCTAAACCCTAAACCCCAAACCCTAAAGCCCCGAACCTTAAACCGCAAACCAGAAAGAAACACCCCTAAACCGACTAAAGCGTAACACCCTACACCCCCAACCCTCAGCCCTAAACCTTTCTAACCGCAAACCATATGGGTGGTTGTCAAAATTCTGGTGCAGTTTTGGGTACCCTAAATTTTAGGTGCCACATTGTAATAAGAACCCAAAAAGGGACCCTAATTTTGACAACCACCCACATAAAATACCCGTAAACCACAGGAGCTTAAAACTTACCTTTGGTTAGTAGGGAATGGAAGAATGGTAGTAATAGTAGTTGTATAATTGTACCCGATTCCTCCATTCCCTACTAACCAAAGGTAAGAAAATCCTCAGCCCCTTGGAGGGCTTCTCTTGGAGGGCTTCTGAGCGCCGCGCCATGCAATAGTGCGCTGCAAACTCCCCGGCTTCTCGAGGAGTGCACCTGAAGGGGTGCCATGTGCGTATATACATATATACATATATGTATATACATAATATGTATATATATATATATATGTCTATATATATATATGTATGTATGCATGTATGTATGTATGTATATAAATATATATATATATATATATATATATATATATATATATATGCATGTGTACATATATATATACATACACATACATATATATATATATATATATATATATATATACTTTGCTATAGTCTATTATACTAAACTTTTTGCATATTGTACTACGTTTTTGGCACTGTATATACATACAAGCTATAGTTGTATATTATTATAGATCAAAGGTTGCAGATTACGTATTCGGCTCAGGGACACATAGAGCTCAGAGCGGGGCACGGCGTTTGCGCATTGCTTTCTCTATGGAGTTGTAGTTCAAGTATGTATGGTCAAGAAACCTAGTGTCGTAACAGAAACACTCTTCTCTTGCTGTGATGATGGAGATGTTGCTAATGGCAGGTTCGATTGCTCACTGGCCATTCTCGTACATTAGCTGCAAACAAGCCCGGGTCTAGACCCTTCGAAACGCACTGAAAGGTATTCCTTCGAACCCTCGAGCCAAAGATGTAAGGGACTTGGTAAGTAGACTAGGGTCGTGGCATGCTTTGGTGCATCTTGTAGTATATATATATATATATATATATATAAACACATACACATGAACCTAAGCGCGTTGAGACCACAATGGGATGCATCAAATACTTCTTCTGACCCCTGCACAATGCTCTATTCGGATTTAAAAGTTAGATTCAGGTCCTGTGCCTGCGGTCCCAGAGCAGCAATGCTCAGACCACCGAACCCTTAAGATTTGGAGCGGAGGGCTTAGGATTTAGGGTGTGCAGGTGCATGTGTGACTCCAACCCTTAAAACAGGCGGCTACTGGAGCCACAGCAAGACCCTCAGCCCTGAAGCCTAAATCATAGTAGCTGATCGCTAGCCCCCCCCCCTTCCCCAAACAATAATGGGGGCCTTAGTGACTCGAAAATGGCTTTGGGTATAGCATACTCTCATGGTAGTAAGCAACCATATATATATATATATGTACATATACGTACATATATATATATGTATGAATATACACACACACACCACAGTTTCATTATGGAGCCTTACGAAGTATTGGTAATATTTTCGGACCTAAGACAGGCACCGTCCTCTTACTATAGGGGCCTTAATAATCATAATAGGGCTTTGGGTGTTCCTCAACATGATTGTAGGGTAATATTACGCCGAACCTAATCATGTAGGCCCCTAGATTATAGTACCCTTATGGATCGTGAGGGATTTCCTTATTATCGTAAACATACTGTTCCAATTTTTGAGGCCCCTGATGTTTTCTTTGGTACCCTTGAGGATCCCTATAGAACCCTGTAAAAGAACGCTTAAAGGAGCCCCCCAAACCTTGCTCTTATTCTTAAGGCCCCTGCGCTTAATCCATATAATAGCCCTTATAGCAGCCCTTATGGATCCCCTTCCGAGGACCCCCCCCCCCCCCCCAAGCCCTACTCTAATTATCTAGGCCCCTAGGCCCCCTACACTTTCTAGTACCGTCATATAGATCCCTTATAGTATCCGTAACCCTTATAAGCCCTCTTAACGGGAACCTACTCGAACTAAGGACCCTGTAGCACGCATGGTCCGATTCAGAGCTCTGGGGATCCCTGCAGCGGCTCTTGCTCCGCCTCTTTAGGCTTTAAAGGGAGGGTTTTCGGGGTTTTTAGAGCTTTGAGGGCTCAGGGTGTAGGGGTTTAGGGTTTTTGGGTGTAAGTTAAGGGTTCAGGGCTTTAGGGTTTAGGGATTTAGGGTTTTGCTGTTTAAGGGTTTGGGAGTTTAGAAGATTCCACTCAAAAATTTCGGAGGCTTCCGGGATTCACAGCTCAGGGCCTGATCGGTTTAGGGCGTCGCACCGTCGCGACTCAAGAGTTTTCGCCCCGAAGCCCCAGCACCCCGGACCGAACCTGCAAACATCTTGCAGGCCTTAAGTAGGATGCCCAGTAACCTAGGAATAGAAAGGGCTCCCTTTTTGGTATTGGGTAACTTTATAAGGAGCCTAGGACTACAAAAAGGGAAGAAGGATCCTGCGAACTTGAGGCCCTACAGTAGTGCCTTTTTGTGGCTCATATTTAGAGTCCTATGAGGTAATCCCCACAAGGAACTACTTTGGGGCCTTTGGGTAACCTACCCACGTGTGTGTATATGAATATCACAGTTGTTATCTACGTGTATCTGCATGGCAACCTGTATGTCCATACATATTATGATGTTCGTCGATGCCTATATCGAAGTGTAAACTCATCATACCTACACTTATGTTCATCATATCTACATCTACGCGCCCACATAGCTAGAAGAGGGTGTGGGGTAAAAGTAGACTATAATTATAACAAGGAAACCACCAAAACCGTATTCTAGTATTCATTAACTAGGATGCCTGCCCAGTAACCTAGGAATTAAAAGGGCTCCCTTTCCGGTATTGGGTAGCCTTATAAGGAACCTAGGACTACAAAAAGGGAATAAGGGTACTACTGGGCCCCCTAGTTGAGGTCCCTGCAGTAACACCCAAAGCCCTATACCTACTGTCCACCTTAGAACAATAATGATCATAGTATGCTTAACATTTTCTTTGGTTTTATATGAACAAAAACAGAAAGTAATTTCTAAGGAGACCATAGTTATTAAGGCCCCTACAGTAACAATATAAGTACCCTAAAAGGGACCCTAATTGGGGTTATGGTACTTATAAGTCCCCAAAATCACCAGTTACTAAGTCCCCTAAACCCTAAACCCTTATAGAATCCCTATAGATCCCTTTAAAGGGGCCCTTTGCTAAGTCCCCCGACCCTCCAAGTACAGTAACACCCAAAGCCCTGAAGAACCATGGGAGCCCTGTCCTCCACGACCTCGTCGGGCTCCTCTGCACCTTCCGTGGCGCAGGGTTTTAGGGTTTAGGGTTTTAGGGTTTAGGATTTAGGACTTAAGGTTTAAATTAGGGTTTTGGGCTTCGGATTTAGGATTTAAGGTCTAGGGCCTTAGGGTTTAAATTAGGGTTTAGGGTTTAGGATTTAACGTTCAGGGTTTAGGGGGTTTGGGAGCCCGGGATTTTCTGAGATTTGGGGGCTTCGGCGGGTTTGCGGGACTTACCGCTTCATGCTTGCAGGGTTTGAGGTTGGTATGTCTGGGGTTTAGGGTTTAGGGTTTAGGTTTAGGTTTAGGGTTTAGGGGTTTAGGGATAGGGTTTAGGGTTTTAGGGGTTTAGGAGTTTAGGGGTTTAGGGTTTAGGGATAGGGTTTAGGGTTGAGGGTTGAGGGTTGAGAGCTCAGAGTGCCAGGTTCAGAGTGCATGATTTCAGGATACCTGGGATTCGGGTGTTAACCCACTAGAGCGCTCATGCTACAGGCTTGGGGTTTAGGCTTGAGGGCCCACGGCCAGCGTTTCGGAGACAGGGACAGGGTCAGATGTCAAGGATTGAGTTTCGTATATCCTGCTAAGAAGGTTGACTAAAGTCCTGCAGTGGTCAAAACATCCTATACTGAACTTGGACCCCTAGCAAAATTGTAATTTTAGCTGCTTCTTGAGGGGCTAAATGAATCAAAAAGCAAAATTTTTTTCTATGTACCCGTAAGAAGTCTGGGTCAGTTTAGCAGTATACTGGCATGGCATGACTACGATCCTGACGTCAGCGCTTGAAAGAGGGGAATCTCCAGAAGATTCAATACACGAACCTTTCCGCAGAGGCACATGCCATCATTCCGCAGCTTACTACCCCAATAAGCCACAGGAATGAAAGGTTAAACTTTGCGATTCCTACTAAAATATGAGAACCCCAAAAGTGTAAGCGTTAGGTATTGGGGATCTAAGGTAGAAGGTGGAGCCTGTTGGGAAGCGGACCCAAGCAAGCCCTGCAGCTAAACCCAGAACCCTGTCATCTGAACACCGTAGACTCACGAACCCAAAACTCTAAACCCTGAGCCGTGAACTCTAATGTCTACCCATGGTCTCCATTGTAGTTCCTTTTTTTGGCTCACCAAAAACTATATTATAGCATCCTAACCATAAAAGTGGTCAACCAAAACGAGCAACTACAATGGAGACTAGAGGTAAAACCCAAAGCTCCGAAACATTAAACCCTGAACTCTAAAACCTAAACTCTAAACCCTTAAACCCTAAACTCTAAGCCCTCAACCCTAAACTCTCAAACCTAAACCCTAATCCCAAACCCTAAACTCTAAGCCCTAAGCCCTCAAGTCTAAAGCCCTACAAACCAAAGCCCAGGCCCGGGTCGTGCTACCCAGGGTGAACTGCGTTAGCCCGAACTCAAAGCAATGCAACCAGTGAGGGCTTTAGGGGATCTGGGATGTGTATTTCTTAGTTTGAAGTTTCAACTTTGGGGTTAGGGTTCAGGAAGTTAGGAAGTTTAGGGCTTCGGCAACAAACGTTATGGAGGAAAGGTGTAGCTTTCGGGCTTAGGCCTCAGTGCAGATTTGACGGTTTAGGGTAGAAGCCAGAAAGTTGGAATATCATTGTCGTAACCCCTTTAAGGTAAATTATAGGGGATCCTACCATTAATCCATATTCCAACTTTCTGGAGTTCCCTTTAGGGGGTTGGGCTCGTGGTTTGGAGTTCGGGGCTGGCTTAGGGTTCCGTGCCTTCCTCCACCACCGGGTCGTCCTCCTTTTCCTCCTGAAAAAGCTGCCCCGAAAACCCTAACACTCAAACACTAAGCCCGAACGCACTAACTTACTACCCCAGTAAGCCACAGAAACAGAAGGTCAGACTTTCCGATTCCTACTAAACTACAAGAGCCCAAAAAGTTTCCAAGTTGGGTATTGGGGATCTAAGCTAACCCTAACCTACCCTCTGAGGCATCCAGTGGGCTAGCTAACGAAGTTACGTGCAACCAGCTTTTGCTTGGAGGTTCGCCTAATATACAGTAGAAGCCAGAAAGTTGGAACATGGCTTTAGGAGGATTAGTGCTAGGATCTCTAATACTTTACCCTAAGGGCATGAGGTTAATCATGCTCCAACGAAAGTTGGAAGTTGGCTTTAGGATGATTGGTGCTAGGACCTTCTACACTTACCTTTACTGCATGAGGAGAATAATGCTCCAAGATTCTGTTTCTACTATATGGGAGTTCCCCACGGGATCCTTATAACGAGGAATCTACTATTTCGGGTACTATATCAGGGTCCCCTATTCTCGGAAACTCTCATAGTTTAGGGGTTTGAGGACCGTGGCGTGTCCGTGTAGGCTGACAGGCCTTCCAAAGCGTAGGGTTTGGGAATCTAGGGATGTTGAGTCTATATAGGGTTCAAGACATTAAGATTTCAAATCAAAGTTTGTCGGCTGAAAGTGGGAGAACGCCCGAGGCTTTTGGAACAAAGTTCCTTGGTATGTACCTGCGACTAAGCACAAGCACACCTTCCCTCTGATTCACTCATCGGCGTCCTTGGGGGCGACCCCACGTGGACGTCTTACCGGAGACAGGTCGCAAGAAATGTAAGCCATGGAGTCACGAAAACCCGAGAAGTCATCCTAAACCCGGAACCCTGAACCCTAAACCCGAAACCCTAAACCGTCGCATCCAGTGGCATCGTTGCTGATTGAGGACGGCTGCTGGGAGTTTTCTAAGGTGCAGACACCCCAGTGCATCGATTCCACGATTGCATCTTATGTAGGCCTTAATAATTAGAATAGGGTTTTGTGGTTTTTTATTGTAATTTAAAGTATAATGGGCCAAACAACCCTGTTTTAATTATTGAGGCCCCTACAGTAGGGGTTCAGGGTCTGGGGTCTAAATGTGCCTAAAACAGCAACGAAAAGACAAGGCCGAATCACATCCTGGCAAAATTCAGCGAGGCCTTCATATTCTCTCCATACCTCGAAGGCCAGCATGCCAACTCTAAACCCACGATTAAGCAAATCTTCTACACCAAGTGCTAAAACAACTCATAAACCTAACCCCACCCCCTCTCAAACAAAGCGAACACATACCAACACTTGGCTGACTTCTGAACCCCTCCTAAAAGTTAAACTTTTCGCCTCCTTATTATGGTCAATATGGAAACCCCAAGAGGCTGAAGTCTTAAGAGCCAAGTGCCAACAAGGGCATCAATGAAGGCGAAGCCCTCTGCTCCTCCTCCTCGCCTTCTTCGTCTATTCCATCCAGCTCCACTTCAAAGGTATGCCTCGCCTTTCATGTGGGTGGCTGTCAAAATTAGGGCACCTTTTTGGGTCCCTATTTTCATACGGCACCTAATATTTAAGGTACCCAAAAAGGGACCCCAATTTTGACAACTACCCATGTCTTTCGTGGCTAAGTTCTCCGGCGACTTTCCCTGTTTGGGCAGCACGTCTTGGGGGGGGCTTTACAATCTTCGGGGTTTGGGGTTTAAGGGGATAGGGTTTAGGGCTTAGCGGTTTATGGTTTAATGGGCTTTTAAACCGCACAGGTTAGAGTTCCTTCTAAGTAGGTCAATGTTTTAGGTCGTTTGTGATCTGCGATGTGCGGCCTAGTTTGGGGGGGGGGGGCTGCGGATGAGGACTCCAGGCGTTGAGCCCCAAACCTTTGTTATTCATATTATTCGGGTTTGTGTTTCAGATTCAAACGGTTTGAGGATAAGGAATTAGGGTGTCTGCCCTTTTAGGGAGTTTTCAACGGAAGAGTTGTAGGTAGGTCCCTGGTGTGTAGCGGCCTCAACCCTGCTTTAGGCCCTACACCATACTTGGAAGTACCAAGAAGACAGCAAAATCAGACACCAACAGCTCTGTACTGCAGGAACAGCCCTCAAATTATAGTTGGACCGTACCGGATTATCGGGGTCTCCGGGCATCCCTGATGACAGGACGCATGATGATGACGACGTTATGGAAACAATGATAATGACAATGGCGGCGATGCTTCTCCATATTAGAGATACCAGCTTTACCTCCACCAGTAGAATCACCACCGCGTCGACGGCGACGACGACGACTGCTGCTGCCGCTGCCGCTATCACTACTTGCAGGTCCATGGGTAGCTACAAGTCGGGTTTCGAATCCCCTAATATGGGCTATAAGTATAGTTACCCTACTTCTAACCCCACTTATATCTACTCATGAACCTCCATCCTTAGATGTCTCCGCTCCGCATATCGTTCCCCGTGATCGTAAGGATAGTACAGATATCATTGCACAATCATAAAGCCATGTTTGAAGCATCGCACGAGTCGCAAAACCACCACATTAAGAGGAGACTAGGTTGACATAGCCGTAGCCAAAAAAAACTACAAACCATCAACCTCATTCAATTATCATCCTCCCGGTCCCTGCGACCATGAGCCCAAAACCCTGCACTGCGAACCCTCCCTCCACGACAACCTGCCGCATCCCGCTAATAGGGCCCCAAAAAGCAAACAAGCAAACATTAGGATAGGGATATCCCATATAAACCCCCCTATAATGAAGCCCATGAAGGTAGGGATATCCCTATGAAATGCTTATGCCAATGCCTTCTGTCCTTTTTTGGCCCCGAAGCTAAGGCTCGCTCCTCATGGGCATGCTTGGCTCCCCCAAAAAACTTCTGATTCACGTACTGCGCTAACCTGGAGCTGCACTTCTCCGGAGTCATTGGGTTTATGTTAGAAGCTCTTGGTGCTATAGGGGCTTAGGGTTCTAGGGTTTAGGACCTTATGAATTAGAATAGGATTTTTTGGGTTTCTTTGTAGTAAAAACATTAGAAGGTGCGGTGCCCCCACCCTGTAATATCGACTATAAGGATTAAATTAGGGCCCTATTATTTTCCTATTATACACTACTACAGGGTGGGGGCAGCTTCTAAGGTTTGTGGTTCTATCTCTGTGGTTTACTTACCTTTGGTTAGTAGGGAATGGAAGACTGGTAGCAATGGTAGAATTATAATTGCACCCCATTCCTCCATTCCCTACTAACCAAAGGTAAGTTTAGAGTCTTAGGATGTTGTAGGGCTGGCCATTGCAAATAGTTAAGACTTTTGGCTTGATACTTCAGGCTAGGTCCTTAGGTTGAATGCCACGGCTGCTATAAACGCTCAGCCGGCACCGCTGGTATGCGGATTCGAGACTTAGAACTTTTGTAGCAGGCGGCTGATGGTAGGCTCTATCCGTTCCTTTACATAAGATTTCAGATTCAAAGAAATCGGGGTCTGCTTGCTCCACAATCCCAGAGACTTCATTCTCCTTTCAGTATGACTCAATACAGTTCTATAAGGTGTCCACACTTCACCGTAGGAACGTCTTGCGGAGTGGGACATCCAAAGGCAAGATTTCGAGGCTCAGTAGAGATACCAAGAAGATTACCACAGTTCGCACAAGTCTCATCAGAACTCCAGCACGGACCAAGACTGCGAGGTAATGTGTGGTCTGAAACTGTTTTGCTGGGTTTGGGGGGTAGACCATGCTGTAGGAATGCACTGCTACAATTGCGGTTGTGGGGATTTTGGAGTTCTGGAGTGTGCTCCGTGTGGTGCTGCGGCCTATCAGCCTGGAGGGATTGTGTGTGTGTGTGTGTGTGTGTCAAACCCCCAAACCTTCAATTCTGAGCCTCGGGTTTGGGCAACCTAACATGGGGTCGCAAATAAGGTTGATGGTATGAATCCTGCACTACCTTAATGACCCTACACTATGGAACATGCTTTCTATCCCTTGTTATGGGCAATGCAGGATTTTTACATCAACAGCAGTCAGTAGTTAGCATCCTGAGGCCACGGCATCTCCAGAGGATCTTCCGCCTCGCTCTCTTCCTCGCCTGCATGACAAGACTTAAGGGTCAAGGAAGAAGAAACCCCTACTAGAATTCAGGTCTTAAACATTCGGGCTGAGAGAATTGAAGCTTCAGCGGTTTGGTTTTTCAGGAGTGTGAAGGTGGTGTCGAGAGTTCGGTTGCTTTTAACGAATGTGCAGCCTAACCAGTCGGAGGCCGTGCAGCTATGGTAGGGGTTGTGGTACAGAACTTCTGATCGAGACTGTCCTGCCCCTGGTCATTGATGCTTGTTTTCGTTCCACGCTGCTCCCGAGACCTGAAACTGTGCATTTCGGACACGCAAGCTCCGAATTAAGTCCAAAAACAGAGAAACGAGCCTACGGTTTGGGTTTAGGTTTCTGGATGATGTGGATTGATGCCATGGGCAATGCAAGGATTGGAGTTTGGAGTCTGGGGTTCTGGAAGCCGACCGACTGACCATGAAGCGAACGCAGGCCTGAGCTCACGTCGTGCTCGGCACGCCGGTCATCATCCTGAGATACGAGGGTTCGTGCAAACCACAAACCGCATGCCTCCTGTCAAGGTTTGACGCGGTGCTGAAAACTGGAGTACCTTTGCATGCCTTTGCAGGCGCACGCAATAGAAATGAAAAAGCTGATAACGGAAAACCAATACCCTGACTCTAAAGCACTTCAAATGCAATACAGCCTAGAACTCTCGACATGTTTTCAGCTTAGGTCAACCAGGCAGAGACTTTGCATCGCATAGGTTTACGACAATTTGCTTGTTCAGCGCGGCTACTCCTTGCTCGGAAAGGACCCCATAAACTTGTGCAGCATAAGTTGTACCAACAACCCTTGAAACGTCAGCGTAAATCTCATGTATGGATTGCGCGCTCCCTCAGAACTTGTGGAGTAGTGTGAATGCAAGACATACGGTCCTAACGCGTTGGTGGTCCATGCTGTACGTCAACCTCTTGGGCCTCAAACTTCGATCCATTCTGTACTGTATACTTCACTTCTCGGCGAGGAACCAAGAACAAAAAACAAGGCATAAGAAAAATGATAGTATCAGCATGTGAGAACTACAGCAAACCTTAAACCGTAAGTTCGAATCGTTCTGGACCTCGATGCTGAACCTCCAGCGGAACGGCTGTTGTCCAAGCTTGGCAAGTTTCAGCCGCTAAGCCGCTAAGCACATTTCGGAGTTTCAGACTTGATGTTTGCCGGATCGGACTTGTCGTTGGAACGAAGACATCTATTCCGCTCTGATTGTAGTAGCCATGCCGGCCGCTTCATGGCAATCGGAGAGCTCATGCACCAACGCTCTCATAACAGAATACATGCATCCGCCACGGTAAATAAGCCAGCTTGCTGAACGAAATTCACGCCGGAACAGTGATACTAAAACTTGCGCCTTCAACGGAGCATCGAAGGGTGGTGTGCAGCTCTGAATTCAACCGCTGCCGTGGCTGCCCTAGCTCATGCATGTTCCAAGGGCAACTCCGGAAACAGCAGAGGACCAGAGTCAAAACAAACCAAGACGCTGCGGGAAGGACGAGAATGACGATGCTGATGGTGTATCTGATTGCCGGGATGGTGATGACAATGATGCTGTCGGTTGTGCTACTGATGGTGACGGCGATTGGGAGTTAGTGTTTGTGATGACGATGATGGCGAAAAAAGAGTGATGGCGATGAAACGGAACAATAATACACAATCAAATACATGCGAAAACTGAGGTGGACAAGGAGGTACACGATAATGATACTCTCGGCGATCTAGATCCAAGCATCTGTGAGACTGATCCTTATGTCAATGAAGGGGCTCTTGATAAGGTGAGAACGTTGCCGCCGATGGCAATAGTTGAGCAATGCTGATCTGGCGGCGATCTCCGTTCTGTTGGTGGTGATGTTGATGATGACGTTGAAGATGAAGACGAAGAAGATGTTGATGGCTTTGCTGATGACGATGACGACGATGACGATGCTGCTGATGATGATGATGATGAAGACGATGATGACGGTGATGATGAAGATGCCGCAGATGATACCGCTGGTGGCAGTGCTTATGACGACCAGGACCTGGAGAACACTGCTAGTGGTGGTGGCGGTCGAGAGGATGAGAGGATGATAAAAAGCATCAGTTTGCACAGAATTTGTAAACATGAAGCTGATGTGAAGAAATGACCTACCGCAAACACCCGCATCGAACAGAATACACCCCCTTATAACCGCGAAATCAACCTTGAAACCTATGAACCGCAGAACCTAGACCTTTTAGACCAAGCCGGCAACCATTACAGGCGCAAATACCTGAACCCGAAACTCTTGAAGCCCGGCAGCACTGCCTCCGGCTTGCTACTGCACTTCTTCTTAGATTAATAACTTTCGGCTGTGTAGTACTACCAATTCTACTGCTCGTTTGTAGAGGCGCCGGAGATGCAATCCTAAACCCTAAACCCCAACCCTAAATTTTAAACCTCAAATCCTAAACCCTAAAACCCTAAACCGTTAAAGCCCTAACCCCCAAACCCTAAACCCCTTAACGCTAAACCCTAACCGTTATCTGAGCACAGGGCTGAATCAAGGGAGTCCTTCCGGGTAGACGGATCCTGATTCGGGAGCCGAAATTTTCTAGAATCAATAGAGTTATTTTTTTTTGGGGGGGGTACATTATCTAGGATGCCCAGTAAGAATAAAAAGGGCTCCCTTTTTGATATGGGGCAACTTTGGAATCTTGGACTACAAAAAGGGAGTAAGGATACTGCTGGGCATCCTGATTTGGGGAGGTGCATCTCCCAGACCAGTACCTAGGACCATTTGGGTAACCTCAAACCCCCAAGAAGGTGAGGCTAGGGGGTAGTCCATGCACCTATATTGTGCAAACCCTGACCTCAAAGTACCTCGACAGGAACCACCGGTTCAGGGTTTGTACGCGCCAGCAGGGGCTTGAATATGTAGTAAACCTGGTTTTTAAACAAAGTTCAGTGACCCTTCAGAACCCAATTACCATATGAAGGCCCTTCTTATGTATTCAGGCAGTGCATAGCCTCGTACTTATCGTTTCTTGCCACTGTATGCGGGGCAAGACTGTGAAGTGCGTGGGGGTAGACTGCAGGCGCGACGCACATGCGAAGCCTTCCCATGGTTTTGATAGTAAGTACCCATCTAGATCTCTATTCCGTCTTGGCTTTAAGTACCGATGAAGTGTTACTCGACTGTGACAAGGCAGACCCTAAACCCTCATCCTCAAACACAAGGCCCTGAATCCTAAAGCCAAACCTCAAAAGCCCAAACCTTCGAACCTCGAGCATACAAAGACTACACCGAAATTAGCCTATAATTTTATATAGCTGTTTCTTAAGGGTTAAAGGAACCAAAGATTAGAAAATGTTTGAAAGTACCCCTAAGAAGCGGGCACTACAACTTCCTCAGATCTCATCATCTCGGGCGAGAAGGTTTCGCAGACTTGGTCTTTGGAATCTGCATGCTTCTAAGATTTCATGGCGCGGGCGTTCTGTGGCCGAGATGCCAAACGGATTCAGAGCATTTCGTTTCGCCTCCAGCTTCTCCCAAAGTCGAGGTCCCTGTTCCCGTCTGTCGCCCTATGTATCCGGGGCAGCGGGCCGCCTTTGACCGGCTGACGATTCGATCCCTTCGGCCGAGCATACGGGCTGTCGCTCGTCGACTACACGGCGTCGTAAGATCCACAATGAGCCCATGATGATCCACAACAAGCAACCGCCGAGGAGTGCTCCTGAAGTTGCAGGCTTGGCGCTTTTCGGCTTGAGTGTTGAATGGCCACGATTCCGGATTTCTGACTACCACGATTCAAGAACAGTCAACAGCCACCGCCATGGTATTGTCCAGGGTTCAAAGCTTGCACAAATATCGATCTAGCGTGACAGTGTGGCACACTGCTGCTGTACTGGCGCAACGTGGCAATGTGTCGTTGCACAAGCCCTTTCATTGTAGTGTGCATGCTCCCGAAAACTTCAGGTAAACTCTGCTGTCATCAACATGCTGCTGTTTACAAGGATCATCATACCGATGTAAATGAGTAAAGGCTCTTCAAGAGAGGAACTGCTGCATCATTGGCATGAATATCCCAATCCTAGATGGATTTGGCAAGGGCTCGGCAACAGTAGGTCTTAGCAGCAGTTCGCAGAAAGCCTAACCTGTAAAGTAAAAGACTTGATGATTGCAGCAGGGTGGGGAGCATACTGAATATAATACCACGGCAGCTATAATTACGCAGACCCAAGGGTAGCCTAGGAATAAAACGGTTTCAAGGGGCTTATAAGGGAACCCGAACCCTAAAAAAACGAATGAGGGCCTACTCTACTTGGAGATTCAAAGGTAGTTATAAGTGGGGCAATAAGTCCCCTAATATGGGTTACAAGTATAGTTGCCCTACTGAAAACCCTCCTTAGAACTACCCATGAACCTTCAAGTAGGTCCTAGGTACCCTCCGGGCTCCCAACATCCATGTGATGCCTCTCGTTCACGACGCGACGGCGAACGTGGCGATACCTCATGCTATACTGAACTTAGACCCCTAGCAAAACTTACAATTTCAGCCGTTTCTTAAGGATTCAAGGAACTGAAGATCAAAAGACATTTCTAAGTACCCCGAAGCATGCTGCATGCTCGGGCATCTCTCGAACCTACTCGAGCCCAGTTCGGGTGAAAAACAACCTAGCACAGAACGACGTTCCAGGAACCCCATCTGAGCCCCTGATCCAAAAAGACGTGGTAGCCACCCCAAACCCGAAACCCTAAGCCACTGTATGGACTATCCCGCACCGCTGACTAGAAGTCCTAAGAACGTACGGGTATGCAGCCCTTCTGCGTTCAGAAAACAGGAACTGCTTGGAGGTTCATAGGTAGTTATAAGTAGGGTTATACGCAGGGTAACTGTACTTGTGACCCATATTAGGGGACTTATAACCCCACTCGCAACTACCCCTGAACCTCCCAGTGATTGACATTCCTGAGCCGCGCTCTCCTCGTACATCTACACAGGATGCTCGCAGTGCGCGTCTCTCGCTGCGCCGAAGTGCACACTTTTCCCCAACTATACAGGTACATGGAGCCTTTGGGAAGGATAAAGGCCCGAGGCGTGTCCGGAGCGAAGAGTCATTGTGCAGTATACTTGGAGGTTCATGGGTAGTTCTAAGCAGGGTTATAAGTAGGGTTATATGCTTGTAATCCATATTGGGGCACTTATAGCCCCACTTACAACTACCCCTGAACCTCCAAGTATACTATACGACATGGACCACTTGGGAACCCGAAAGCTACGAGGCCAAGCATAAGTGTCCAGGTCCCGAAACGCTCCAGTACTCGAGGAAAGCAACTTTTCGCGCTGGGCAGGCAGTGTGCTGGCAGTCTCCACATGACCATAGCTGCAGAGGTATCCTCGTGTCCACCAACCAGGACCGGCTCCACCACGATATATGTATAGTATGACGAAGTGAAAAGAGACGAGCCCTACAGGACTCAGCGCTATGAGCACCACTCACGGTGCCGTCGCTCTATGAGTTTTGGTTCTTGCCGTTGGGAAAGCTTTGAAGTTAGCAAAATCGCATGACACTTCACAGCTCAGCACGCGGGCATTGATAAAGGAGCCTGCAGCATATGTGGCTTTCAGGAATATGAAATGGGAATGGTTTCAGGGCTTTGGGAATAACGGCCTAATGTAGTGGCCTAAATAAATTCGAACAAGGTTTTGTGGCCCATTATGCTATACTTATAATGAGGAACACCAAAATAGTATTTATTGGTAATTGTTTAGGCCACTATATCCCTCTTGTAGTACTCTCATAATACCCCGTATTCGCAACTTATTAGGAGCCCTTTGAAGGAACCCCAAAATAGTATTTATCGGTAGTTATTTAGGCCACTATATCCATCTTATAGGGTATCCCTCAAAGAGCCCTTTGAAGGAACCCAAAACTTTTGGGCCCCGATATCCCTCTTATAGTAGTATCCCTTAAAGGAGCCCTTTAAAGGAACTCCACAAATAGTATTGGTACGTAATTATTTAGGGCCCTATGTTAGGCTGGACCTAAAAGCAACCCAGGAATAAAAAGGGTGCATTTTTTTGGTTTAAAGGGTGTCATAAGGGAACCTAAACCCGAAAAAAAAGAACAAGGCCCTATTTGGAGGTTCAGGGGTAGTTATAAGTGGGGTTATGAGTCCCCTAAAGTTATAGGTATATTCACCCTACTTATAACCCTACAAAGAACTACCCATGATCCTCCATCCCTTTCAAGGGACCTTAAAAGGAACCCTAATGTACTAGGAGCCTGGACTTCTCTGGTCTGACACCGCAAAGCGCTGGGCCCCCGACGCCGTGCGCCACCAAACACCAGGCGTCGCGGTGCTGAGGACTTTGCTCAACCTCAGCTTTTTAAGTTTGCACAGAATGAAGCAAACATATATACACACACATACACTTATATAGGCATATATATATATATAATACACACACATGCCGGCAAACAGACACAGACACAAACGCAGACACAGAGACACGCACAGACACAGACACACCTAGACAGACGTGCGTACATCGGTGCATACATACATACATATATGCCAATGCATTTGCATAAACAGACACGTATACGCATATCAACATAATACAAGGACAACTAAAATGTAACACAGAACAATGAAAACAGATGTTCACACGCATATACATACCCATATACACGCATGAACGCATGTTGCATAAATACAGTGTATAAACAAATATGTATATATATATATATGTATATATATATATGTATATATATATATGTATATATATATATATATATACATATATATATATATACATATATATATATATATATATATATATATCGCTGTCTAAATTCATGTCCGTACCCGCTATCCGATGCGACCACATGCATAGATACACATGTAAAATGATGTATAGACGGTGGATTAAGGGGGGGGGCGAGCATATATATATATATATATATATATATATATACCCATACATGTACATGTATATATATATATATATATATATATATATATATATATATATATATATATGTATGTGAATATGAATATATATATATATATATATATATCATGAAAAAATGCCATAGACGAGAAAAGGAATAAGAAAACATCAACAACATGAAGCAGTAGTAGTAGTAATAGTAGTAGTAGTAGTAGTAGTAGTAGTAGTAGTAGTAGTAGTAGTAGTAGTAGTAGTAGTAGTAGTAGTATATAGTAGCAGTAGCAGTAGCAGTAGTAGTAGTCGTAGTCGTAGAAGTAGTAGTGACAGGAGTTTTAGTAGTACTAATAATAACAAGTGTAGTAGCAACGACAACAACAACAACAGCATTTTATACATGTATATGTAGTACTGAGCTGATGCAACTGAGACTTATGCGAACAAAAACAAGAAACAACACTGTTGACTCTTTAAGACAAATAATAAGCATACTGGCAACGGTAAGATATAGCATAGCAGCAACAGTGATACCAGCCATAACGATAGTAGTACCTTGCTGTTCGTATTTTGGCATAAAACAAATGAACACCCTCCCCCCCCCCCAAAAAAAAAAAAAAAAAAAAAAAAAAAAAAACAACAAAAAAAATGCATGAGCCCCCTGCCCGCGCAAGCCCGCCTCCCAACATGCCTCCGCACGAACACTCGCTCGCGACAGCTGGAGGTAAGGGCTGTCTGAGGCTTCGGGTACACCTTAATATACGAGTCTTCATACGAGTCTTTATAAATATACGAGTCTGTATAATTAGAATAGGGCTTGGGGGTATATTTTAGCATAATCATAATAAGGAGCCCCCAAAAGAGTGTAGGTATGTCATCCTCAGTTTCGAGGTCCCAGCGCCCATGCAGTGGGGCTTAGTTAAGACGGTTTGGGGTTTAGGGTTTAACGGTTGGGGAAGATCTCTTCTGCATCAACCCCGCTCAGATTTTCAAGAAGGGATTATGATGGGTATCTACAATGAGCTGTTGCTAGGTAATTCTCCTACGAGCGCTCACAAAAAGGAAGATAACATCATCATCATCATAATCATAGACATCATAATCTTAATGCGAGTACTTGAAGAAATGGGGTTGCTCTGAACCTAATCTGCGAGGCCTGCAACACTGACTAGCTCGCTTGATTTTGGGTTTAAGCGGTGAAGCTCTAACCCAAGTCAATTGTCCACTCTAAGAGGTCGTTATTGCATGTATACATACATATATATATATATATATGCACATAGGAATTGGCGATTTAGCACCCAACCCCGAAACGAAAAACTGCAGATATGTCTGGCGATGTCCAAGATACTGGAACCTGGCTAAGTAATCCTGAATCTTGATCACGGTTCTTTGTAAGAACCCTCTACTACGTTGGGGTTAGAGGGCCAGGGTTGTCTTAAGCAGGTTCCTGCATTAGTGGCACTTGCCCCTATAAGCCCTGAGCCTTAAACCCTTCCGAACTTGACTGCTAAGGAGACCCTGAACCCCCAAGAAACCCCTAAACCTAAAGCCAGCCCCAACTTGGAGGTTCATGGGTAGTTATAAGTAGGGCAACTATACTAATGACCCATATAACGGGACTTGTAACCCCATTGATAACTACCCCTGAACCTCCAAGAACTGCCAAGAACACAGCAGCTGAAGCAAAGACACCTGTGAGGCGCAAGCCTCATCTCTGACAAACTGCAAAGTTTCCAGAATGACGGAGCACCAACCCCATTTGGGAGTTTCCGAGAATGAGGGTCCTCATAATATGGATCCTACTATTTAGGGTACTATATTAGGGTACCCTATTTTCGGAACCCCATTTAGAGAAAATGCAACCAAGACCAGATTCTGAGAAGCGGGGACATGGTTTCCCAACCCACACAGTTCAGAGTGCGCCCTGAGGAAAAAAGCCAAGTGGACAAAGTGCTGCAACCTTATAATGCGATATTGGTCTGCCCAAATATCTAGCCGCAATCTAGCCTGCTGCTGCCAGCGAATCTGGAGCCCAGGGTGAGATGTGTTTCCAGAAAAATGCCGCTCGCCCCCTTCCTACAGGTCTTCATGCACCACTAGGACTGTTTTGGTCAAATGTTTGTTGAGCCAAGCCGGATCACGAAGATGTGCAGGAAGTGCTCTGTCTTGAATGTGCGGACGAAGTTGCCGATGGCCTCGTGCCGGAGCCGCCGGGCTTCTGCCCTCACCGCGCTTCCTGAGCGTTCTCCGTCGAAAGCAGAGCCAAGCATTCCGGCGACTGCATCCACAAGCTGCCCTTCCTCAGCAGACGACTGCTTCTTTTGCAGCTGCGGGTAGCAGGCATAAAGCGCCCGTGCTTCCTTCAGACCCTACCTATAGTCTCCATTGTAGTTCCTTTTTCTGATTAACTAGTTTTATGGTTAGGAACCTATAATATAATAGTTTTTGGTTAACCAAGAAAGAAGAACTACAATGGAGACTATTAGTAGGATCCCTATTATAAAAACCCGCAAAATCAGGTCTAACCCCGCAGACCACCCTAAACCTTAATCCCTAAACCCCTGAAAACTCGAGCAAAGAGCAGAGCCTCGGCTATCACGTCGAGGCTCCCACCTTCCGTGGGCGGTGGTGTTGTAAGGATACCCCCCCCCCCCTTAGAAGCATACTCAAAATGCTATGTTTAATCTTCTCTTGGGTTTGATACGAACAAAAATGAACGATGATTCCTGAAGAGACTATCGTTGAAAGGACTCCAATCGAGATTCCGTGCCTTTAAAGCGTGGCTTTCTTTGTGCTTTCGACTCGGTTTAGGGAGTTTAGGTTTGCTCCCCAATGATTCTGCCATGTATGGACCCAAGATGTCCTAACTATAGCTACGGGGGGGGGGGGTACTTAGAGGATCAGAGGACTTAGTAAGCAGGGTTATAAGTACCTTAACTGGGGTTATGAGTAGATATAACTATAGTTACCTTACATATAGCCCTACTTAGTCAGTCCCATGATCCTCTAAGTACTTCCCCACATCGGAATCGTAATTCCTGACATATACACCCCGCAGTCTACAACATGGGTGCGTACGACATTTTGGGGGGAGCCTCATGCCCCCGCCCACTGCTAGTTGGGACCTCAGAACCTCAGGGGGTACATCTGAACTCCATAACCTACTTGGTTAACCTTTTTGGTTACGTTTTAGGTTTTAGGGTTTAAGGTTTAAGGTTTAGGGTTCAAGGTATCATGGAGAACTAAAGGTTAACCTTTTTGGTTATATGGGGATTATATAGGGACTATACTACTCAGAAAGGTTAAAGGTTACCTGCTCTACTACTAGGATCAGGCAGCTTGAGATGGGCACATCCCCAAGAGACTACGGAACGCGACCTACCAGCGTAGACTCACCGGAAAATTGAACCCCTAATCTGGGGGCCATCATACTCTACTATGACAAGGAACCCCCAAAACAGTGTTTGGTAATTATTTAGGCCCCTACGAGGGAAGGGCTTTGTGGGCTGCCGATGGCCTGAGAAGGCTGCGCAGCCTTCCGCACAGCGGAGGAGGACGGAAAGCCTGCCAGTAGGGGCCGAAAAAAGCACATAAGCAAAATTTGGGATAGGGATATCCCATATAAACCCCTTATAAATAACCCCAATAAGGTAGGGATAGCCCGAAAAAATGCTTATGCTTATGTGCTTTTTGGGTCCCTAAGCCAGGGAACTCCCCCTCTCTGGATCGCAAGGGGACTGAGGCGGGGATTGTTCCTGAATAAGGCCGAAAGTATAGGGGGGCAGCCTGGGTTCCCTTGGCAGAGGGTCCTACGACTGAGGGTCCTATAATTATTGAGATCGCATATGGCTCGGAACTCTCATATGGTCTAGCTGCCACGGTGTATTGCAGGAGGATTTCCCCCCAAGTCCCAGGAACCTCTACCCAAAGACCTTACAGGTAGCAGCCTCGCCACTGAGATTTTCCGAACGCCCCAATGAACTCCCAATGAGCACCCACAGAAACCCACACTTTAGCCTACAAACATGTAGAAACACTGTAGGGGCCTCAATAGTTCGAATAGGATTTGGGGGCCCGTTATACTATACTTATGATAAGGAACCCCACAACAGTATCGGTAATTATTGAGGCCCCTATAGAAATAGAAATAGTTTCTTGGAGCTGCTGGACCATGCATTCTCCAGGCAAACAAAGACTTAAATGGAAGAACCCCTCATTCTCGGTAACTCCCAAATCTCTACAGGAAAAACCCAGAGTCACGGAGGCATCGCTGTACTTCCAGCAAAGGGTCCGGACATCAGAACCATCCATATAAAGCGCTTTTCAGGATGCCCAGGTAACCTAGGAATAAAAAGTACCTTTTTGGTATTGGGTAACTTTATAACTTTATAAGGAACCTAGGACTTCGAAAAGGGAATAAGGGTACCAGTTGTAAGCTGAGAGTGTGTCCAGCAGCCTTCCAGAACCCTCATGGAGTATTGGAGACCGGATCGAACCCTTCCTGAGCCCTTCTAGCACCAACCACAAACCCCCGCAAACCCCTCAAAAAAAACCCAACCAATCCTTTATCGGCCGGAGCTCTTCCTAATTATAAACCCCAACCAAACCCTTATCGCCCGGAGCTCTTTAGAACCCTAAGCCCTAAGCTTTCCTAAACCCTTAAAAGATTCCTTGGTTTAGGAAACCTGCGGAGTCCCGATGAGGCCGCTGCCCGAGGAGAGCCAAAAGAGTGGATCGAAGGAAATTCCGGAAGCCCACTTCGTCGACCTGCTCCAGTCGGTACTATACCCCCCTTAGAGCCATAATAAAAACAAAATTGTTCAATATTCTCTTGGGTTTTATATGAACAAAAACAACAGTAGTTCCTAAGGAGACCATGGGGTAGGGCGAAACCGTCAACCCCTAAACCCTTAAATCCTCAAAGCCCTTTAAACCCCTGAAGCCCCTTAACCCTGAAGCCCTTAAACCCTCAAAGCATGATACCCTCGAGCTTTGGGGTTCTAGTTTGGATCTCCGACCTCCTGGTGTTGGGGCTGGGGGCTGGAGGGTTAGGGTTACGGCTAAAGTGTGTAACTTAGCTATGCCATGTTTGCCGACTTTGCTGTTTTCTGCCTTGGGCTTGTGCTGTAGTCTTTTTGCTCAGCAGCGTGATAGTCGGGGGCCTCAAAAGGTAGGATAAAGGTAGGTGGGATATTCCCAAATAAGAGTCCTTGTATAAGGAATCCTTATTCCCACCTACCTTCATCCCACCTTGTGAGGCCTCCGATATAGGACCTGCTGAGGGCTGCAGGGTTTAGGGCCTCTGGGGGCCTGGAGCTGGGGCGGCTGAAGGGTTCCGGGCATTGAAGTGAGTCTAAAGGGAACTCCAGAAAGTTGGAATATGGATTTATTAATGGTAGGATCCCCTATAATTTACCTTAAAGGGGTTACGATAATGATATTCCAACTTTCTGGCTTCTACTGTAGGGCCTAGGGTCCCTACAACCCCCCCTGAACCCTAAACCCTAACCCAAACCCTTGAGGAGGATCCAAAAAGTAGATCCCCTAGTTTGGGGCCCTGTGCTACTAAGGGTACTTTATAGGAGCCCCACTTCATCCAGATAAAAGCCCTTGTCTAGGATGCCCAGTAACCTAGGAACGAAAGGGGCCCCCTTTTTGGTATTGGGTAACTTTAGAACAAACCTGGGATTCTAAACAGGGAATAAGGGTTCTACTGGGCATCCTAGAAAAACCCTAAACCCTAAACCCCCAAAGCCTGAACCCTAAACCGCGAGCTTTGAGGAACCTAAACCTTGTCGGGTAACTGAGATCCGCTTCGGGGGCTTCAGGGTTGTCTCTGGAGTCTCCGTCGTTCGTCGTGCCACGGCTGGATATATCTACAGTGGACCTTGGCTGACTTCTCAACCCTCCTACAAGTCAAACTTTTCGCCTCCTTACTATAGTTAATATAGAAACCCAAAAAGTTAAAGTCCTAAGAGGCAACCAGAAGAATGCCAAGGGACAACAAGGGCATCAACAGAGGAGCTGCAAACGGAGATCCCAAGCACTGAACCCTAAACCCAATCCCTGAATCTTAGGATTTCGGGTGGCTGGGGGACTTTGCGCAGAGGCTCTCTGAGTGGCTTCTTCTTTTTAACTGTCTAAATACTGGGGTTTTAAAGCACTTTATAAGGGATCTATTGGGATGTTGTGGCATGGCCTTCTTTGGTGGGTATACTTTAGAATTTGTTCTTTATACGGCCACGTATACTCCAGTCTGACACGAGGAAACCACTCTTTTCACATTGATTTTCCTTGTTTTCGATTCAAGGATAAACCCGGAGCTCGTCAAAGCTAATAATTGGAACCCTTCTAAGAACCCGCTAAGCCACCCAAAAAACACACGCAAGTCCTGAACCCAGACAAAAGTCCTATACCCACAAACCTACATAGAAGTTGTAATATAAGGGTCTTAATAATTAGAATAGGGTTTTGGGGCTCATTATACTACAATTAGAATAAGGAACCCCACCCAAATAGCATAGGTGATTATTTAGGCCCCTGTAGTAAGTTCCAAGTCTAGCTGCTACCCTTCAATTGAGACCGGGTGCCGGGTGCCTCCAAGGCTTCCATCTCTCGCAAGAGCTCCGCGCGCTGCGCTTGCCCTGTGGCCCTGAGCTTGTGACTTGGGACTTGGGGGCCTACTTGGAGGATCATGCGACTTAGTAAGTAGGTTTATAAGTACCTTAATTGGGGTTATAAGTAGATATAACTACTATTATAGTTAGTTTACTTATAAACCTACTTGCTAAGTCCCATGATCCTCTAAGTAACAGGCTCCTAAGCAGCCCCTTTTATCATAAGCGTATCCTTTTTCCTACTATTCTGTTTTTTACGTAAAGGAGCCCCTAAAGTAATAAGGGCAAACGGGTACTCAGGAACCTGTGGGTTTAGAGGGCTTAGGGAACAGCTTTTTCATTGGGGAGAGATGCATGCTGTGACTGAGGTCTTCGTACTCGTAGTCGCAATGTCTCTGTAGTGGGACTTCGCTAAACACAGCGGTAATTCTATGCTATCGTGAAGCGGCATGGGAGTTTCCGAAATTAGGGGTATCTTAACCTTATCTTTGGGTCCTTATAAGACAGACCCTACTATTTAGGGTACTATTTTAGGGTCCCCTATTTTCTGAAACTCCCGCCTCTCTCTAGCTAACAGAAAAGCTGTTTTCTCGGTCGACTCGACCGTTCGCCGCGCTGGGATTGTCTTTTTAGCGACAATAGTTATCAGCAAGTTCGACCCCGGGCCTCCGACCCTAAATCCCTCTTGACCTTACGTCCCTGATTTATTCATACTCATACCAAAACTGAATATAGCCTCCACTGTAGCTCCTTTTTGTGGTTACCCAAAAACTAGATTATGCGATCCTAACCATAAAATTGGTAAACCAAAACAAGAACTGCAATGGAGACTACTTGGACGTTCATGGGTAGTTATAAGTGGGGTTAGAAGTCCCCTGACACGGGTCATAAGTATCGCCACCCTACAGATAATCCTGCTTACAACTACTATGGACCTCCAAGTATCCTCCATAACAGTACTATTAAACCCTAAACCCTATAATTACCCCAGAACCCAAAACCCTAACCCCTAAACCCCAGAACCCTAAACCCTATGGTATTCTACGATCCGGCGAGGGGCAACAGTTCGGGTAGTGTGACGCTCGCAGCTGCGCGAGCCAACTCCGCTAGCGCTTCCGGCCTGGGTAAGAAAAACTTCCCAAAGGGTCCTAAGTAACACGGTTTAGGGTTTAGGGTTCTGGGGTTCTGGGGTTTAGGGTTTTGGGGTTTTGGGTTTACGGTTTAATATGGAGGATGCTCGGAGGCTCATGGATAGTTATAAGTAGTGTTATAAGTAGGGTAACGATACTTATAACCCGGATTAGGGGACTTATTACCCCACTTATAACTGCCCATGAACCTCCAAGTACCTTCCCAAACCATAACAGTATTTCCTACTCTAGAAACCCTAACTTCTACTAAAACTATATGGGTAATTACTTAGGACCCTTTGGGTTTGGCTTTAAGGCTGCCATGGGAGGGGGCCATAATCTCCTCGGAGAGGTGTGTATTACGCTGCTCTATGGGTAGGCTTTGAGGGGCCTCAATGGGTAACAAATGAAATACATACAAAAGGACAATATTATTGCAGGTCCGAACTCTTGTTTGACTTGCCTATTGGTTGATGATGTCTGGGGGGATCACATCATCAGGGAGCCTAGAGACCACTGAAGTCTTAAAACCCTGAACCATGAAACCCAGCCCTTGAACCTAAATCCTTGACGCAAGCCCAACACCCAACCCCAAGGGTCCTCGGCACTGTTATGGGGAATATTTTCCCAAGTCATAAATGGCAACTCCAAAATTCTATCACATTACTTAAGACCCTTTGGGAGGCCCAAAGACCTCCTCTCTTACGGACATCTATCAGGAAATCATACTGAGGAACCGGAAATCTGAAACTTCAGACTAGGGCGCTCCAGCATGGACTCCGGTAGAAGGAACCTTCCGGCGTGGTTGAGTCGATGGACATACGATATGAGGACGCTCGGGCTAATGATGGCTGATGGGTCTATAAGACTTCGGGTGCTCATGCAAGAGAGTTTGGGCCATCCGCAGAAGAAGCTTGCTGGAGGCAGCTGTAGAGTTGCTACGTCACACCTCCAAAGCATGCTGTTACGAAGCCCGCTGGATAGTGCACAGAGCTCTACTGTAGCAGCCTACTAGCACGTAACCTACCAGTTCCTGCAAACCCATAGGGTACAGAAAATGGCGAACCAAGTACTGCCAAAGCTTCTAACTCCTCTGGCGCTTTTTCGTAGACTGGAGTCGGATACATCATGAACCATACTGTACCTATAGTCTCCATTGTAGCCCCGTTTTTGGTTGACCAATCTAATGGTCAGGATGCTATACTATGGTTCTTGGTTAACCAAAAAAGCAACTACGACGGAGACCATAGGTAACCCTAAACGGCCGTAGACCCGAATATGGGTTATAAGTATAGTTGCCCAAGTAGTGACCCTACTTATCACTTCCCATGAACCTCCAAGTAACCCTGAACGGCCGGAAGCCCCACATCTTCTTATCCGAATGGGCAGTTCTCTAAGCTTGAGTCCCTTCTGAGCGTCCTTTCTATATAAAACCCAGGACAGGATGCCCTTAGAGCCCGAATGTAGGAAGCTGATTCAGAAACTCCGTGGGGCTTTAGTGGGGTTCATCATTATATGCATCCTACTATTTTGGGGGTTATAGGCCCAGGGTGTCTTAATCAGGCTGTTTTGGGGAGTGGCTATACTCATCGGGACTCTTAAGGGGGTAGGGGGAGGGGGGCAAGGGGCCTTTATACACTTAATAAGGACCTAATTTATGATAAGGCCTATTTTTCAGGAGGCAGAGTCTCCTACCCCCCTAAGGGTCCCCATGATATAGTCTCCATTATGGCTCTCTGCTTTGGTTAACCCGTTAAACCGTGAAGTCCTCCCCAACATGACCAAGGCTGGAAACCACATCCCTCAGCTTGGCGAATCGCTCTTGCCGGGTCTGCTCGTCGTCCGGTGCACAGACATAGGCAACCTGAGACGGCATCGGCGACGGCGATGAGGCTCTGCTCTCTGCTGCAGACGCTGTCTCCGGGACTGTCTCCACCACGGCAGGAACCTCCTGATCCTTCTCCATCTTCACTGCTTCTGTTTCTGTCTCACTGGCAACAGCAGGGGTAGAGTCGGTGCGGTCATGTTCCTGGCCTTCCTCAGCCATGTCCGGGTCCATATCATGGTCCATATCGCCCGGAGAGGTGAATTCTTCCGCCTCATCTTCCGGGACCGCATCTTCCTCGTCCTGTACCTCGTGCGTGCCGTCTTGCGGTAGGGTTTGGGGTTTATAGGGCTTAGGGTTTAAGGGTAGGGTTTGGGGTTTGAGGTTTAGGGTTTGACGGTAGGGTTTGGGTTTTAGGGTTAGGGTCTGAGGGTAGGGTTTGGGGTTTAGGGTCAGGGTTTGAGGGTAGGGTTTGGGGTTTAGGGACTTGCCACGACGGTTTAGGGTGTAAGCGTAAGGCTTTTCGCTGCAAACCCCTGAACGATTCACCCGAAGACCCCAACCCACCTGAAGCCCGCAATCCCGTGAGCCCTACGTCGCAAATCCTTCAACTAAGTAAGAGGTGTAGCGAAAAAATCGGGGGAGTTCTCGTAGCCTGAAGGAGTCCAATTTACCTACATAGTAGAATGTAGGGTTTCTATCTTTGTGATGATTTGAGGAATTCTTGTGATGATTTGGGGAGGCGCATCCCCAAGACCAGTACTTAGGACCCTTTGGGTAAGCTCAAACCCCCAAGAAGCTGAGGCTAAGGGGTAGTCCATGCACCTTATTGTGCAAACCTTGACCTCAAAGTACCAAGACCAGTGCTTAGGACCCTTTGGGTTTAGGGTTTGGGGTTTTGGGTTTAGGGTTTACCTAGCTGCTGAGGTCATATAGCCCCCAAAAGTGTACACTTTCAGTTTTAGAGTGGGTAGTATTATCCCAACAAGTGTAAAGTGTATCCACTTAGCTACTAAGCAAAGGATCCTAAGTAACACGGTTTAGGGTTGAGGGTTCTGGGGTTCTCGGGTTTAGGGTTTTGGGGTTTTGGGGTTCTGGGGTTTTGGGGTTTAGGGTTTGGGGGTTTAGGGGACCCCATGAAGCTGAGGCCCTCTCTCGACGTTCCGGTAGTGCGGAGCCACACGGACGACGAAGAACACGAGCCTCGATCTAAACCCGGAACCCCAACCCGAATCTAGGGGCCTGAGTCATTAGAGTAGGGTGTTGGGGCCCACTATAGTATAAGTACAAAGGACGAACCTCCAAAATAGTACTACCCTAAACCCTAGACCGGACCCTAAACCGTCAGTCTAGGGTTGTTTCGGCTTAGGCGTGCATGATTAGTTTCGGGTTTAGAGGTTGGGGCTTCGGGGCATTAGGGCCTGGAGGTTTAGGTAACTACTCTTGATGATAGAAATCCTGCATTATCTTCAGGACCCTAAACTATGGGAATAACGGCATATTCCTTATTATGGGTAGTGCAGAAATTTATACCATCAACCGTAGTAACTCATGACTTGGAGAGAACGAGCTTGCTGCGCCAAGGGCTAGGCAGGAATACCCAAAACAAGCCCCCGAAACTTCTTAGACCCTAAACCCAAAGCCCTAAACCCCTTAAGCCCTAAGCCCTAAACCCTAAACCCTAAATCCTAAACCCTAAACCCCTTAAACACCTGAAACCCTAAACATTCCTGGACCTCGCCTAGGAGGCTGCCTGGGCCGGTCGCCGGGCCCAACTCCCAAGACGGTTCGGGTCACAGGAGCCACGGGGTTTAGGGTTCAGGGGTTAGTTTTTAGGGGTTTAGGGTATAGGGCCTTAGGGGTTTAGGGTTTAGGTAGGGTTTAAGGGTTTAGGGTGTTGGGGTTTAGGGTTCTGGGGTTTTAGGGGTTTAGGGGTTTAGGGTCTAGGTCTAGGGCCAAGAGGACCCAGAGACTCCAATATCCCTTCATTAAGGAATATACCTTAAATCATATAAGAGATCCTACTATAATTTAAGGTATACTCCTTAATTCAAGGATATTGGAGTCTCTGGGGAGCCTCCGGCATAGATCCCCAAAGCTGGCTGCAGGGCTCCAGTCCAAGAATAAATGGTGGCTACTTGGAGGTTCATGGGTAGTTAGAAGTAGGGTTATAAAGGGTTTAGGGTTCCTTTGAAGGGACCTTTATAGGGTTATGTGGCATGGACCTTTAGGGTCTATTTGGCAAGCCTTTTTGTTTTAAATACAAATACTTATATTTGTTTATTTTTATAATAGTACATAGAGGCCCATGCTACATATATATGTGTGACATGGAGCTTAGGCTTCTTTTCACCCCTCGCGCCTGAGTTGGTTTGGTTAGGAGTTCCATACGGATTTCCTGCCGCTTAAACCCGGCCTATGCCTAAGGAATTTTACAGTAACTTCCTTATACTAATTAAGCGGCCAGGGTAATCCGTATGGAACTCGTGGTGAAGTAAAACTTCGCTGCTACTGTTGGTGCTGTTTGTGCTGGTGCTGGTGCTGCTGCTTGTGTTGTTGCTGTTTGTGCTGGTGCTGGTGCTGCTGCTTGTGTTGTTGCTGGCGTCGTCACTCGAGGTCGGGCAGGCTGGCCGGGTCGAGCAGGCTGTGCGCCTTGCGGTGTTTGTTTCTGAGTCTAAGGAAAGCTCGCAGGTGCAAGCTGCCTCCACCAACTTTCGCAGATCATCTTCGCTCCGGATCGCATCGCCATCCTGCGAGGATCTAGGATCTAAGACTGTTTAAGAGTTGGGGACCAAGGACAGCTGCCTCCACCAACTCTCGCAGATCATCTTCGCTCGGGATCGCAGCGCCATCCTGCGAGGATTTAGGATCTAAGGCTGTTTAAGTTAAGAGTTGGGGACCAAGGACAGCTGCCTCCACCCACTCTCGCGGATCATCTCCACTCTGGATGGCAGGGCCATCCTGCGAGGATCTAGGATCTAAGACTGTTTAAGAGTTGGGGACCAAGGACAGCTGCCTCCACCAACTCTCGCAGATCATCTTCGCTCGGGATCGCAGCGCCATCCTGCGAGGATTTAGGATCTAAGGCTGTTTAAGAGTTGGGGACCAAGGACAGCTGCCTCCACCCACTCTCGCGGATCATCTCCACTCGGGATGGCAGGGCCATCCTGCGAGGATTTAGGATCTAAGGCTGCTTAAGAGTTGGGGACCAAGGACAGCTGCCTCCACCCACTCTCGCAGATCATCTTCACTCCGGATGGCAGCGCCATCCTGCGAGGATCTAGGATCTAAGGCTGTTTAAGAGTTGGGGACCAAGGACAGCTGCCTCCGCCGACTCTCGCGGATCATCTCCACTCCGGACTGCAGCGCCATCCTGCGAGGATTTAGGATCTAAGGCTGTTTAAGAGTTGGGGACCAAGGACAGCTGCCTCCACCGACTCTCGCGGATCATCTCCACTCCCGACTGCAGCGCCATCCTGCGAGGATTTAGGATCTAAGGCTGTTTAAGAGTTGGGGACCAAGGACAGAGCCAGCTTCTCGCCATCGCTCTCGCTGGCCACCTTGCTCTCTCTGCGTTTCCCCTTCCCTCTTCTAGCTCGCAGGCCAAAGAGAAGCGTCGGCCTCCCACGTGTGGTTGGCCTGGCCCTCAGCCTTGGTCACTCTTTCTCTATATCGGCTTTGTATCTGGGAGTTTCGACCAGAGGGACCCTAGGGGATATAAACCCTCTCAATAAGGTCCCTTGTAAGCTAGGCCGGAAGTAGGGTTCAGAAGGGGTACCCTTTAAGGGGTCTCCCGAATCTGAGCGGAGCACACGAGGCGGTGGCCCCTCTGGCTCCACCTGATCATGCACATCTTTGCTTTTGTTTGCGCCTCAAAAAAAAACCAAGGACGGAGCCGGTCGCAGATGAAACCGCATCCGCTTGGCCACGTTCTGCAAAATGCCACTGCCCTTGGTTATCAGCGTGGGAGTGGGTGGCCAAAGGCCGCGAGCGGATCACGGCCATCTATCTGTGTCTCTTTCGAGAATAAGTCTGCAGCGTGCTTTTCGGCCACGCGGAGAGTCTCTGCAACGAGCCGAGTCATTTCGACCTAAGTTGCTGTTGATTCAGGGCACGTCACCTCGCAGTCTCTTGAGCATGCTGCTGCAATGCCAAGAAGAACTGTCTGAAGAGGTTGGAAATCATTGTTCATTCATGGAATACGATGGAACACAAATCACCTCGCAGTCTCTTGAGCATGCTGCTGCAATGCCAAGAAGAACTGTCTGAAGAGGTTGGAAATCATTGTTCATTCATGGAATACGATGGAACACAAATCACCTCGCAGTCTCTTGAACATGCTGCTGCAATGCCAAGAAGAACTGTCTGAAGAGGTTGGAAATCATTGTTCACTCATGGAATACGATGGAACACAAATCACCTCGCAGTCTCTTGAACATGCTGCTGCAATGCCAAGAAGAACTGTCTGAAGAGGTTGGAAATCATTGTTCATTCATGGAATACGATGGAACACAAATCACCTCGCAGTCTCTTGAGCATGCTGCTGCAATGCCAAGAAGAACTGTCAGGCTGGGGCTGGGGTTGGGGGCAGGCCCTGGCGGGGTGGGGGCGGGGGGGCTGGGGCTGTGGGGCTGGGGGGCTGGGGCTGGGGCTGGGGGGTCGGGGGTGGGGGCTGGGGCTGGGGTCGGAGGCTGGGGGCTGGGGCTGGGGTCGGAGGCTGGGGGGCTGGGGCTGGGGCTGGAGCTGAAGATTTAAATTTTTAAAATTCTTTAAATTCTTTAAATTTTTAATTCCGGACGATTTCAAAATTTAAAGAATTTAAAGGATTTACACCCTTTAAATTTTTTAAATTCTTTAAATTTTTAATTCCGGACGATTTCAGAATTTAAAGGATCTACCCCCTTTAAATTTTTTACATTCTTTAAATTTTAAATTCCGGACGATTTCAGAATTTAAAGGATTTACCACCTTAAAATTTTTTAAATTCTTTAGATTTTTTAATTCGGACGATTTCAAAATTTATAGAATTTAAAGAATTTAAAAAATCTAATTCCGTGGGCTGGGGTCGGAGGCTGGGGGGCTGGGGCTGGAGCTGGAGCTGGACATTTAAATGTTTAAAATTCTTTAAATTCTTTAAATTTTTAATTCCGGACGATTTCAAAATTCAAAGAATTTAAAGGATTTACCACCTGTAAATTTTTTAAATTCTTTAAATTTTTAATTCCGGAAGATTTCAGAATTTAAAGGATTTACCCCCTCTAAGTTTTTTAAATTCTTTAAATTTTAATTCCGGACGATTTCAGAATTTAAAGGATTTACTCCCTTTAATTTTTTTAAGTTCTTTAAATTTTTAATTCCGGACGATTTCAAAATTTAAAGAATTTAACGAATTTAAAAAATTTAATCCCGTGGGCTGGGGTCGAAGGCTGGGGGGCTGGGGCTGGAGCTGGACATTTAAATTTTTAAAACTCTTTAAATTCTGGACATTTAAATGTTTAAAATTCTTTAAATTCTTTAAATTTTTAATTCCGGACGATTTCAAAATTTAAAGAATTTAAAGGATTTACCCCCTTTAAATTTTTTAAATTCTTTAAATTTTTAATTCCGGACGATTTCAGAATTTAAAGGATTTACCCCCTTTAAATTTTTTAAATTCTTTAAATTTTTAATTCCGGACGATTTCAAAATTTAAAGGATTTACCCCCTTTAAATTTTTTAAATTCTTTAAATTTTTAATTGCGTATATACACAGTATATATTAAGACACAGAGCAAGCCCTACGCCAAATAGGACCTAAAGGTCCTACGTACATAGGGTTATAGGGTTTGGGGATTAGGGTAGTTGTAAGTAGGGTTATCAGTAAGGTAACTATACTTATAACCCATATTCAGTGGACTTATAGCCCCACTTATAACTACCCATGAACCTCCAGTATGGCTGGGTCCGAAACGTCAAAACCCTAGGGCCCTTACTAAAGCCCGGAACCCTTGGCGCCCTGAACCTCATAGGACTCTAAACCCTAAACCAGGTCATAGGACGCTACACCCGAAACCCTAAACCCAAAACTAAAACCTAATCCCATAAACACCAAACCGAACCCTAAATGCTGGAGAAAGAAAGCCGGGCATCTCGCTCGAAGCAGCACCAGAGACGCCGGAAGTAGCCCGGATGACCTGAGGACACTCCGAAAGCCCTCATGCACCACATGGTGGGTACAGCCCCTACCCTTGCAACAGTCTGTACTAAGAGTCATATTCGGGGCCATATATATGTATAATATGCTTGCATTGAAGTAATACTATCCAATACTTGTTTGAATGTGTGTGCCATACTGTGTAGGGGCCATACTACTAATTTGCAATATACGGGCATTCCTCATTCGATAGCCGGTTTAGGGTATAGTGTAATGTGAAGATAATATAAACTCTTCGGGGGATGTCGCAGGACCCCCTCTAAACCCCAACCACTTATAGGACTTGGAGGATCATGGGACTTAGTAAGCAGGGGTATAAGTACCTTAATTGGGGTTATAAGTAGATATCACGATAGTTACCTTCCTTATAACCCTACTTACAAAGTCCCATGATCTTCCAAGAACCCTTAGGCAGAACCCTTCACAACACCCTTGAAAGTGCCCTTGCATGGGAACCCCCATAAGCTCCAAGCTACCATTTTATGGGAACCTTTACAAGCCTTCGTTATACCCTCAAAGGTGTCCTTCTGTGGGAACCCTTATATTTTTCATAGCATTATCAAAGGTATCTTTCTGTGGGAACCCTTATATCCACAATACCCTTAAAGATATCTTTTCTGCGGGGACCCGTAGAAGAATCCACGAAGCCCGGGGCCCAAGCTGACCAGAGCGACAAGGGTGTGACAATTCGCGAGGGCATCCTCGAGAAAAGGTGCATGTGGGGAATTTCCTTACTTGAGGCTTCTACTCTGTAAGAAGTTCTATCAAGGTCTCGGCATTGGCTTTGTACTATTTCTGTCGAGGTTTCGGATTTCAGGGTGAATGAGCTATAGGAATTGTCACGGAATGCAAAATTTGGGGATTCAGGGCTTGGCATCTTTGTGAGGGCCCTGCTGCATTTATGGCTTGGGGAGTCCTGTGCGAGTTGGGGTGACCATGATTAAGAGACCCTGGTATACCGCCTATACAAACGTACAGTAGACCTCTTAATGAAGCCCCTTACGCAGCCCCACAAAAGCTAAACTTACTGACGCCCGGACGAAAACCAATACACGACTTCAATACACCGCTTAAGACCCTTACGAGACACCATGAAACCCTTGCAAACCCTAAACCCTAGCCTATGAAACCCTAAGCCCTTAAAACCCTACCCTCAGACCCTAAACCCTAAACCCTAAGCCCTTAAAATCCCTTAAAGCCCGGAAGGCTCAGCCGGGTCCTTGCTGGCCCTGATAGCCTCTTGAGCAGGGCAGCCCGTGGCGAAGCCTGCAATTCCCGGCTTAGTGGGACCCCCCTTTAGAGTGTAGTGTTTAGTGTTTAGAGTTCAGGGTTTAGGGTTTAGGGTCTTAAGTTTAGTGTTTAGGGATCCCGGTTTCAGGCATGAGCGTAATATAGGGGCCTTAATAGTTAGAATAGGGTTTGGCGTATATGATACTAGAACTATAATAAGGAACCCCCCCAGAATAGTATAGGTAATGATTTTATTAAGGCCCCTATATTACCTATGTATGCTTGTCGGTATGATGGGTATTTTTGCGTGGGTGTGTGTGTGTGTGTTTCTGCACATATGCCTACGTTATGTGTATCTGTATATCCGGCTTAAACCCAACAGGTCAGCGTCTGTATCTGTAAATACATACATACATACATACATATATATATATATATATATATATATATATATATATGCATTTCTATATATAATGTGTGTGTATATATATATATACACACTTGCACATATGAAATGAACACTAGGCTCATGTCCTTATGATAAGTGCCCAGGGTTTTTAACGTCGCGTTCAAGACGACCATAATGATAAGTGCTTTTCGATAGTGCAGGGCCTTGGAGCACCCCCCCCCCCTCCCCCCCGCGGCCCTCCCCCAACCCACATTCACCAGCCAGGGTGTTCTGGTGTTCGTGAAAATTTGTTGTCACAGGCTCGTGCATCCTGCAAGATGTGTTCTTGAAGCGAAGCCTCATGAGTCATGAGCTCTTAATAAACTTGTCAATCTGTCAGAGGTGTTGAAGAGCTTTGCTCACCTGCTGATAAGAAGGATGAGGGTAGTGTGTAATTAGTTTACGGCCATAACCCTTACTGTATAGCCCTTAGTTGCAGTCTGAATAGAGATTGTAGTCTGGGTGCATTTTAAACATGGATTCAGTGTGTGGAGTTAGCGCCATGTCCGAGCATGCGTTCCGCACTGCTGTCACTACTAGGGCCCCAAAAAGCACATAAGCAAAAATCAGGGTGGGGATATCCCATATAAATCCCCTTGTACTGAAGCCCAATAAGGTAGGGATATCCCCATAAAATGCTTATGCTTATGTGCTTTTTGGGTCCCTAAACTACAACTCCGGACTGTTCTGGAAGAGGGCACCGCTGCTCGTCTAGCAGATCCTCGAGCAAATGGGCCAAGACACCTCGGAAGCACCCTAAACACTCTAAACCCTGAACCCCTACAGCCCAAACTCTTAAACCCTAAACAATCCCTACACCCTTTAAACCGTGTTGCAGGAACTACTGCAACACTTGGAGCTGAAGACGGTATTTGGAATGCTCAGCTTCTCAAGGTCAAGCTTGGCGCTGTGTCTTGAGCATCGCCCGTCGTAGTAGTAGCAACAGGTTCCTCCAAACTCCTTGATACAAACTACTACTAGTAGTTTGTACCAAGGAGTTCGGGGGAACCTGAGACTACTACCATGCTACTATGACCGCTTCAGAAAACCACTGTTTGTCCGAATCTTGGCCGTAGCCGTAGCTCAGATGCAGTGCGAGGCTTCGGGGTCGAGGCCACGGAACCCCTGAAGTTCACACCAAACCCTAGATAATCTAAAACCCAAACACTAAATCCCTAAACCCCTGAACCCTAACCCCTAAACCCCTAGATCCCTCTAAGGGAGTCCTATAAAACCAGATAGAGACCCTTTTAAATGGAACCCTTCTAGCCCCTAAACACTGCATTTTACACGGGCTCAACACCCCTAAACACGCCTAACCCTAAACCCTAACTGAACCCGAAACCGCTAGAGAATCCCCTACACCCCAACCCCCCTACACCCCTAAGGCCCTACCTGAACCCTGCATAGCCGACCTTTTTAGGGTTCCTTATTATGGTTTCCTTGTATAAGTCCTTAAGAAGGTAGGTTATTCCGGGTTAAGGTAGGATTTAGACCAACCCTATAAACCCTAAAACCCTAACCCCTAAACCCCAGCCCCCCTACGCCCCTAAACCCTAGGTTTTACACGGGCTTAAGACCCCTGACTCCCGTCCCAGGATGCCTCGGTGTGCGCAGGCCTTGCAGGGTCTTTGGGCTTGGGCGTTGCGGGGTTCGGGGTTCCTGGACCCTAACAAACCTGCCTGTTTTAGGGTTCCCTAATATGATTTCTTTATGTATAAGTCCTTTAAAAGGTAGGTTACTTGGGGTTGAGGTTTAGTTTAGAGTTATTTTTCGGGATTAGTGGGCCTCCGGGTTTAGGGATTTTGGAATTCAGGGGTTTGGGGTTTAGTTCAAGTTTTCATCATCTTCTGAAGTTCTTGCCGTTGGGGTAAAGGAGGCGGCTTGAACACTTGCGGTCTCGGCTGTACACTCCTCACTTGCTTTATACAAACCTTATAGTACCCATGACCCGGTAAGCTAGTTGGACCCTTTATCCTCCTTTTGGGGCTCAACTTAACTTGCCTGGGTAGGATCCCAGTTGGCTTCCAAAAGAATCTACTACGCCACTCCTGCCGCAAGGACCCTAGAAGATCCCCTGTCCCTCGACAGCAAGTCTGAATGGGTGGTTGTCAAATCTATGGTCCCTTTTGGGGTATTAGGTGCCGTACCATACCTTAGCGGCTGAGTTCATAAGCCCCCCAAAAGTGTACACTTTCAGTTTTATAGTGAATAATATTATCTCAAAAAGTGTAAAGTGTATCCACTCAGCTACTAAGATATTAGGGACCCAAAAAGGGACCATACTTTTTTTGACAACTACCCGAATCACAAGCAATAAGTTGCTCCACTACTTGCACCCTGAGCCCTTTAGGGTAGAAGCCAAAAAGTTGGAAACCCAGTAGCCTCAATCCTTAAGAGTAATGTATAAGGAATCCCAGCACTAGTTGGCCGTAATCCGGTTTCAACTTTATGGGAAACTCCCTAAACCCTAAACTCCCTAAACCCTAACCCTAAACCCTGAACCCTAAGCTGCAGGGTCAAGGGTTAGTTTGTCCTAGGTCACCCCGGTAAACCCCAACTCGATCGCCCAAGCTGCCCGGGCCGCCTTATCCACCCAGCAGCGCATGCCGTGCCAAGCTCGGGCAGGATCTAAGAGCGCCTCGCGCCGCTCCTGCGACCACGGAAAGGTCTCTCTCAGATTCTCTCGCTTTCTCTCTCTCTCTATCGGTATGTCTATGTATCTCTCTATCGGTATGTCTATCTATTCATCTCTCTCTCTCTCTCTCTCTCTCTCCCTCTCTCTCCCTTTCTATCTAGTTGTCCACTTCTATGTCTGTGCATCTACGTAATTCTATCTATTTCTGGTCCATTCTGTTCTAAGCATACATAACTCAATTTTAGTTGCACTGCCTTTCTACAATGCTTGAAGGGTTAGCGTGAAACCAGATCAAACAAAGCTGGACTTCTGGAATTCTGATGCATTGAGGGCTTTGATGCGCACGTGCAGGCTCTTTACAACTACTTCTGTTCAACATTTCATAACCACTAACCATTCGGGGCTGTGATTACCAAAGACCGCCCTCCCTAAAGAAGGTGCTTTCAAGAAAAGCCCCTGCTCAGAAAAGGGATCTGATCATCAAGGGGGGAACCTCTCAGTCTCGATCATGGGGTCTACTTTCAACTACTAGTACCATAATGCAGGAACCTGATTAAGAAACCTTGGGCCTTTATTAGGCAGGGTTCCTGATATGAAGCCGACTATTCTGGGGTTATGGGCCCAGGGTTTCTTCATCAGGTTCCTACATTAGCCTGCTTTGCTTGGAGGATACCTCGGAGGCTTGCGTGGAGATCCTAGACAAAGTGTCAGATTGAGGGATCGAGGTATGGTTACTAAAATGCCCAGTAACCTAGGAAAAAAAGGGCTCCCTTTTTGGTATTGGGTAACTTTATAAGGAGCCTAGGAATGACGGTACTACTGGGCATCCTCGTAAACCCTAAACCCCAAAGCCTGAACCCCAGAGAAAGTGCCAGATTGAGGGATCGAGGAATGGTGTTAAGTTGCTAACTGGGTTGTAGTTTTGGGGCTCTGAAAAGTCTTTATGAATAGGTACCTCTGTAGGAACCATAAGGGAAATTAAAAAGCTTCCCAAACTGCCACCTAGCTAACAAGAGCTTTGTGCGTGTGGGTGTCCACCATCGAGGCATGGGGGTGAAGGTAGAGGTCCGAAAAAGGAAAGAGCAGCCATGTCCCTCGTAGTCCAGATACAATGATATTATAATGTGTTTCAAGACATAAATATCATATTTCTTCTTCTATTCATGTAGTTGTATTGGTACCGTTTTCATTACTGTTGATGCTATGAAATGATTGCTATCACATGTACTACTATTGGTACCAGTAGTAAGTTGTTAGTGTGGTTTGTTTTTTGAGTATTATTCGTGTGTTTTCTTATTGTAACTGTTAGTACTGTTATGAGTCTTACTGCCACTACTGCTTCATCTTCATTAAGGACCCCACTCTTCGAGTTTAGAGTCCTAGAGCGGCTGAAGACAGTATACCTGGTCACTTTCCAGAAGGAACCAGGGCGTCGCACCATTCCTGACGGGACTTTTCGGCTGAATGCGCTCAGCGCTTTTAGGATTGAGGGTTTAGGGTTTTGGGTTGAAGATTTTAGGGTGAATGTCTAAGGAATGCGTTCTGGGTTCTAGGGCGACGGGCTTTGTGGCTCGATTTTGGGGCTGCATGGTTCTGGTCACTGGGTCGCTAGGGTTTGGGGAAATCTACGGTTTTACGGCGAAAGCGTTGGAGGCATCGCCTGAGGCACAGCACGGTGCTTCAGGCCTTCGGCTTCTCTAAGACTTTAAGAAGAGGACAAGGGGGTTCAGGGTTTAGGGGGCTGAGGGAACATGATCTGGGAGCTTCAATAGATAGCAGACCCCTAGTATATCAACCAGAATAACCGGCCGTCGCCCAGGCAGTGACCCGAACAAGAAATTTGCGGGAGGCGGATCCTGCAGCCTTGGGTGGGTGTCTGACATTACAAAGCGCTTGCGGAAATCTCGCAACACGTGTTTCCTGAAGCATTCTTAGGGCTATACTATGTTCAATACCCCCTCAGAGTAGTTGAATAGCAAACCGATATTCTTAATCATCCCTGGCCATAATTCCTCAGGAGGCAAGATCTCGGGGTCTAGGATTCCACGGTTCAAGGTACTTAGGGGCTGAGCACCCTGGCCCAAAAAGGTTAACCTTCTCAACTACGGTAGGATGATATCACCGCCAAAAGGTTAAAGTAGTACCCCAAGAACTCCCTTATAGGATACCCTTATAGGTCCCTTAATTACAGAAACCCCAGAAGGCTAAAGCTCAGCTACTAAGGGTATCCTTGGCCCGATGATGTAGGAACCTGATTCAGAAACTCCGGGTCCAGAAGCCCCATGATTGTAGGATCCCTACAAAGCGCCCTAATAAAGACCCAGGGTTCTCAATCAGGTTCCATCATTAAACCTTTGAGCTGGGTCAAAGGCGATGGAATCCTAGAGCTCTTAACCGAAAGCATCGCTACGGCTAACATCGGGGCCTTAATAGTTAGAACAGGGTTCCTTTAGATTAAAGGGGGTCTATAAGGATTGCTGCAAGGGATCTATAGGGTACTATAATATCGGCGCCCTAATTAATAGTTAGACTAAGGTTTTTGTGGCCCAGTATACTATACTTCGAAAAGGCACCAAAATAGTATTGGCAATGATTTAGGCCCCTATATTAGGGCACTCCGATTCCTCTTCTTCACGGGCTTTACGTGGGGATTGTATTCATGAGGGTTTTGTCGTAGCTAATTAATTTAAAACCATGAGCAAGGTGTTGGGCTTCCACCGAAAAAGATAAGACCTAGGGGGGCTGCAGCCAAGGAAGATCACCACAATCCCACCGTCACGGCAGAGACTGCGCCTGTCGTCGCCCATTGCCTTGCCTCAGCGTCAAGGCAGAATGCTCATGTACGCGGTATACCCTAAGTCCTTTGTTGACGCTACTAGATTCTGTTTAACTTTTCATGTTGATCCTTTTTTCAACCTGGAAACCGGAAAGCGTACCTGGTGACAGCAAACCTTATAGTGTAGGGTGTATGGGGCCCGAAACCACGAAACCCTACAAGCCCTAGACCCTGAACCAGCGGCCGACACCTTTATAATACAGGGGCCTTAATGATTAGAATAGGGGTTTTGGGGGCCCATTATACTATACATATAATAAGAACCCCCCCAAAAAAAAGTATAGGTAATTATTAAAGCCCCTATGTTAGACCCCTGAACCACCTGCCGACACCTTTGCAGCCGCGGCACGTGTCGTGGCCCAAAGCTTGAGCAGGGCGACCTCAGGTCCCTTTAATGGCTACAAAAATGGCAATTATAAGGATTTAGTATAGGGCCTAGGGGCCAAAAAAACTAGAATCGGGGGTTTGGATCAGGGCGAGGACAGGGTCTAGGTGTAGCTCCAAACCCCTAAAAAACTTTTTAAACAGTAGCTTGTGACGAACTATAGGCTTAGCGGCTGAGTTCCTAGGCCTCCCAAAAGTGTACACTTTTAGTTTTATAGTGGGTAATATTATCCCAAAAAGTGTAAAGTGTATCCACTCAGCTACAAGTAGGGCAGAACCAGATAGGGGTTCATGGACGAGAGTTGTCGTCCAGGGTTTGACGGCCGAAGACCCGGGTCTCAACTCGTTTTACTGCACTTAAAGCCGGTGTTTGCAGCTCGCATATAGAAGTTAGGGTTTAGGGTTTATGGGTTTAGGGTTTAGGGTTTAGGGATTAACTATCTTTTTAGTTCATGGACCCTTTGGTGTTGAGAACAGGAAAACCGCAGTGGCCACAGAAGAGCCTTGATGTCGATGGTATTAACATAGTCTCCACTGGAGTTCCTGTTTGGTGTTACCTTATAGGGTCATATACAAAAAATACAAGAATGGTTAACTCCAAACAAACTACAGTGCCAATGGAAACTTCAGGTACGTAGGAAAGAAACGTGACCTGCCTTCTCTTCCGCCCAGTGATCTCGGTTTTGTGCCTGCACAGGGATGCGCGGTAAACATACTCACAATAGCAAGACTACAAATATCGAAAATAATACTAGCCCTGCTTGCTTGCAATGATAACCACAATATCAATCATCATCAACAACATCTTCATCACCGTCATAGTCACGATCACAGTATCCTCAGGCATGATGACAATGAACATGATTGCAGACATGACCCTCCAGGTGCCAATACAGCAACCCTCGACGTCCACAACTCTTGTTCTAGCGAAAATACATCCAGCCGCATCAAAGAGACTAGACTCTAAAATCCCAAAACCCTAAACCTAACCCTGTTGCCCCCAGTAGGCTGGTCCAAGCCTGATCCCATGGCTGCCAGACGTGTGAAATGAAATAGTCCGCAGGCCTCTGTCAACACTGCAGCAACTGCCATTTTCGGACATTTCTAGGGCTCAGAGCTTAGGGTTCCGGGTTTAGGGGAGTAGTCCCTGCATAGGTACTTGGAGGCCAAAGTATACGGGAGTTTCCGAAAATAGGGGACCCTAATACAGTACCCTAAATTCCAGGATCCTTATTATAAGGAACCCCAAATATTTTCCCTAATTTTCGGAAAGTCCCATATTCTGTTTGGGTACATGTACCGACCCTCAGGGAACCGTGGCAGCCCATCACGCCCTGAACCGGGTCTCTCCGAGCACTTAGCCTCCACTCCCAAACTCTGCAAACCAACACAAAAACGCCTATAACTGTAAGACTTAGTTGCTGAGATCATAAGCCCCAAGTTCAAGAAGTGTACTCTTTCAGTCTTATAGTGGGCAATATTACACCGAAAAGTGTAAAGTGTATCCACCCAGCTACTAAGAAGACCCAATGAAAACCTACAGACTTCGTAAAGTACCCTACGAAGGCCCTGCGAAAAGATGAGTGGCCAGACCTCCGGAACCTAGACCTGTGTCTTGACATGAAATACAGTCCAACAGGTATCGTCATAGTACTCTAAAGCTCCATAGTGATAGTAAACCAGGCAACAGAACGGAACAAAGCCACTTCGAGCGCCTTTCAAAAAGAGGCTCCGTAGTGAATCTCGTCCGACTCCACAAAACCCGACATGCACCCCATAAGCACCAGATCACAACCAGTATGACACGACTGCAAAAATCAATCTCATGAATCGTACGCCACTTCCTCAAGGGCCCAATATTGCCGCCGACAACCCTCGCAGAACCCGTTGACAGCCCTTAGATTACAATCGAAAAGTTCAGACCGTCCCAGGTTGCAGGCTCATCTTGGAGAGAAGATTCAGGGATCTGATACCTTACGGTTTAGGGTCAGCTGGTCAGGCTAACGCGCCTCGGGCTTTGTGCGGGGTCCCGGTTGTAGATCATGTCTGATGTTGCTTGTTGAGGCTTAGCTGTTTTGGTTGGGGAGTTCTAGTATTCTAGTATTTGGAGTGTCATGCTTGTGCCAGCGGCGCTTAGGGTTTTGGCATTTCCTACTTAGCATTCGGCCACCCGCTAGGGGAGCACAGTTGCTGAGTGACGACTGCGGAACTGAAGCTGCTGCTGCACGAACATGACACTAGGATACCCAGTAACCTAAGAATAAAAAGGCCCCTCTTTTTGGTATTGGGTAACTTTATAAGGAACCTAGGACTACAAAAAGGGAATAAGGGTACTACTGGAGATCAAAGGACAGCACGCCCTGCTCAGTTTGCCAATGCCTGTTCTCCCACTTGGAGGTTCATGGGTAGTTATAAGTGGGGTCATAAGTAGGGTAGTAACCCATATTAGGGGACTTATAACCCACTTATAACTCCTCCAAGCAGCATTAAGGGTGGCATCCAACTGGAATCTAAGGCAGCAGCAGGCGTCGTCGTCGCAGTGGTAGTGGTAAGGGTAATGGTAGTGATAGCAGCAGCAGTAGTTCTGGTCGAAGTAGTCCATCCTTTAGAACCTGGTACCCAGACTACGAAAACCCACGTTCGTCTACGTCCCTGAACTTTTCGTCAACATTGGCTCCTGTATTCTTGGAGCCTGAAACATGAGACTTGGGTTTGGGCGTCTCTTTTCTAGAAGATATTCCGACTGGGAATTAACATTGCTTCCGAATCACCAAACCCCCGCGTCCCCAAGTTCAAAACACACGGTTTAGTTTAGGGATTAGCCTAAACACCCAACTCAATTTTACCGAAACTCTACAAGCAAGATCCCTAGAGTCAGACCCACGGCCTGTTAGCATGAGGGAGCAATAATTTCTGGGCTTTTAAGTAACCAGGGATAAAAAAGTATAAACTTTTATTTCATAATGGTTCCTTAAATAAAACAAGTATTAAAGTATGGTACTCCAAAGCCCAGATTTTGGGTTTGAAATGGAACCTAAATCGCAAAGCCCGAAAAACGAAAATCCAAAAAGACCGTAAACCGCAAAAGCCTTTCTGCAACTCTCACCCCTAAGAAGCCTAAACCCTAAAGCACCGGGAGGTTTCTACACATCGCCCAAGAACATATCTCAAGAAAAAGCTGGACAACCTCGTACCCTGAAGCTCTGAACCCCAAACTGCCAACTTCCCGAACGATCAGATGATCTACCCCAAACCCGAAACCACAAACCTCAATAATCATTTACCCTAAACTAGGGCCCCCAAAAAGCACATCCCATATAACCCCCCTTATAATGAAGGCCAATAAGGTACGGATATCCCCACAAAATGCTTATGCTTGTGCCCGTTTTGGGTCCCTAATCAACGTACTACGAACCTCCTCCTGGGCGACCAGGTTCCTGAGTAGCCCCTTTAATAAGGGTACACTATTTCCTACTATTCGGCTTTAATAAGGGAACCCAAGAGCAAAAAAAGCGTACTACTCAGGAACCTAGGCTAGTGTGGGTCCCGGTTGCTCCAAAAGGCGAGCGCTTCGCCAGAAGCCGAGGGCCTCATGTTGTTCTTAGTGTTCAAGGACTACTTGGAGGTTCACGGGTAGTTATAAGTGGAATATTATACGTAGGGTAACTATACTTATAACCCATATTAGGGGACATATAACCCCAGTTAAAACTACCCATGCACCTCCAACTAAGCTTCCGGGCATTTTGGGCTCCACAAGGGTTCCATAGGGGTTCATATACTTTAGGGCTCCTATGAGGGTTCAGGGTTTCGGGTTCTGGGGCTTAGGTTTTATGGCTCTGTTTGTGTGAGTGCGCCTGGCGTCGGGACCCTGAAAAATACCCTTTGTGGCATCTCAAGATGACGTATATACCGTATATACATTGCCCGGCGTGGGGCTCAGATATGGCTTGTCAAAGGCATTTGGGCCGCAGGCCTTTACATTGTGGTCTGAGTACACACTAACTTAGTATAAGCACATGTAAACGAATAACAATAAAATAAAGTAGATGAACGAAAACTGAATAAACAACTAAAAAAATAGGTGTGTATTTATGTATAGTAAATATACAGATGTATATATATGTATATATATATATATACACACACACCTGTAATATCAGAATTTCATGGTTAAGGGTTGAACCTGTTTATACAAGGAGCTCAGGGTATATGCAGGGTTTTGCAGGCTTTGGAAAACATGTTCAGGCGTGATGTGGGGTTCATGCTATACGCTTTCAAGGTAACACTCAATCTAGAGCTCGTCTATAGGCTAGCAAGGCAACTGAGGCTCTGCATTTTGATCGCGGGTTGAAGGCTTCTGTGTTGAAACTCTCTGCGGCTCCCAATACAAGCAGGATATAGGTAGAGGGCTTGAGACCCGTTGGTTATTGGGGCTCTACATTAACAATAAATAGTAACTAGAGCTTTTAGCCGAGTTAACTCTTCAGGGTTGAGGGGCTACCGAGCTTAGTCAAGCAAACGAGAATAACAATAAGTACCATAATTAATATCAATTGTCTCAATCAGATAAGTGCTTCACACTTTGCAAGGGATAGACACGGTCTGTACATGATTTGAGCAGGGTGAATCTAAGCCTTGTTTGGATTTCAGGGTTTGCATGCTCCTAAACCCTAAACCCTAAACCCAACACCCTAAACCCTAAAGCCTACACCCTAAACCCACGAGTCCAGTCTTCTGGTCGGAGAGCCGAAGAAGCATCCGAAACTCCCCAGTCACCAGCCCCAAAGCCCAAGAACATTTTTAGGGTTCAGGGCTCAGGGGCTCAGTCTTAAGAGTCGTATTGTTGGCTTTAGGGTTGCTGTATTATTTAAGCAAGCCTGCATGATGCCTAAATCTCGAAGACCATTCCCCGAAATAAACACACATTCACGGTGCCGCAATGTTGCTGTACCCAAGAAGGAACCCACTCTAGTAAATTAGTGCTTGCGGTTTAGGGGTTTTTGGTTTAGGGATTCAGGGAAGTTTAGGGTTTAGGGATTTAGGGAAGTTTAGGGCTTTAGGGTTAAGGGTTTAGGGATCAGCTACCGGAGCTCCCGGGGCCGTGCACAGAGTTGCTCCGGGGATCTGAAAAACGACATATTGCTTAAAAAGCACAGCGTTTCTCTAAACCCTAAACCCCTAAACCCCTCACCCCGAAACCCCTAAACCCCTAAACCCCTAAACCCCTAAACCCCTAAACCCGAAACCCCTAAACCCCAAAACCAAAGTCTGGTTGTGGGTCCTGTAAACTCTTAGGCTGCCCTGGAGACATGAGGTCTGTAGGGCCAGCATACCTAGTTCATTGTTGGGATAGGATTAGACATGTACATTTTTATTCCATATTGGGTTTAAGTACCCATAAAAATGTAAAATGTTACCCAACAGTGACAAAGATACCTTTAGTCTCCATTGTAGTTCCTTCGTTTGGTTAACCAGTTTTGTGGTCAGGATCCTTAAAATATAGTTTTTGGTTAACTAGGATCCTCTAATATAGTTTTTGGCTAGCCAAGAAAGGAACTACAATGGAGACTAGATCTCTAATATAGTTTTTGGCTAGCCAAGAAAGGAACTACAATGGAGACTATAGGTAGTGTGTGCGCGGTCCCAAACTTACCAGCAAAGCCCCTAATCTTAAGATGTTCAGCTCGGAGTTTGTCCCTGACCCTGAGTCTCGAGAACATTTTGAAGTGTCATGAGGGTTCCGGGGTTCAGGACTCTCTTCTTCAACAACCGGGCCCGCAAAAGTTCAAACTTTCGATTATAGAGCTAATACATAAGGCCCAAAAGTTTGAAGTTCCCCCGTTCGCTATTTAAGAGGAAGCCTTAGGAAGCCTTAACTGGGCAGTTGTCAAAATGATGGTCCCTTTCTGGGTACCCTAAATGTTAGGTGCCGTGCTATACTAGGGACCCAAGACGGGACCATAATTTGACAACCACCCAACACTCTAAGACCTGCCTATACCCCAAGGGTGCATTAGACGAGTTCCTGGCCGGATCGAACTCCTCCGGATCGACCACCTGGCTCTTCTGGGAGTTCTCTAAGTTAGGGTCCCGTTTAACAGCAACATCAACATCAACAACAACGACAGCAACAGCAGCAACACCAACAGCAACTTTGATGTTGATGTTGCTGCTGCTGCTGTTGCGCTGCTGCGACTGCTACTGCTACTGCTGTAGCATTACTACTACTACTACTACTACTACTACTACTACTACTACTACTGCTGCTACTGCAGCAGATGCCATGAAAGAAGATCCCGGAAAGAGCACACAACCCAGGCTCTGAGGTTTTCCCGGCCTCTATGGCAGCGAATTTTCGCCGCCGTCGGCGGGCCTGCACTGAAGGCACCACACAAAACGGAGCAAGCTGTAGTTTAGGGGTTTACAGGTTTCGGGGTTAGGGTTAAGGGAGCCCAGAAAGCCCAAGGATGCACATGTCAAACCTTCCGCTTGCATCACCAACCAACACCAGGCGTCCAACCCTGAATTCTGCTTTGCGCTATGGTCTAGAGTCTACAGAGCTGTGGCACTGAGTCTGCGTACCCAAGCGTGCCATGAACTTCCCAGGACCCGGAATCCCGGAACACGAACAAGAACACGCTCAAACACGCACTGCACGGAGCACAAGCTTCTCTCCTGAAGGATAACAACCCGATGAGCCCTTTTGAAACAAAACAGTCCAGCCAAGCATGCAGAACATTGCACCTAACATTGGAACAACACATTCTGGGTGCCAACCACTCTCGGTTTAGAAAACAGCAATGTTTCGTATCGTACAGTAGCAGAAATCACACAGGTTGTAAGAAAGACTTCGTTGTTTTCCTAGACGTCTGCTGAAGACCCGGCAGAGATGTCTAAGGTCTAAAGTATGGACTGGGAAAGGGTGTATGAGTACCAAGCTGCCAATTTGCCCGAGTACGTCCAAACGTACATGCAGAATTTCATAATAAAGTCATACATTGACATAGCTACCCACCTTCCTTCGTTCCTTGCTTCCTTCCCGGCCTGCCTACATCCTTTGAAACCCTTTATGAACTCGATGCCGCAAAGTCTGGGCCGGTATCCTACGGTTGATGATATAAACCCTGCATTACCCATAATAAGTAATATACCATATAACCCATAGATTAGGGTCCTTAAGGTAATGCAGGATTTATATCATCAACAGTACCGCAGTCACATTACTCAGTCCCATATTTTGCTAGACACTGGAATCGGGAATTGAGAGGTCTCTTTATTCAAGGTGCCTGGTTTTGCAGTGGACCCTTCGTGCAGAGCTGTTAATACCTTGCAGACCCAGACGCGCATCCTGACCTAGCTATAATCTCCATTGTAGTTCCTTCTTGGTTTAACCAGTTCTTTATTTAGGATCTCATCGTAAAAGGATACGGGAAAATAGGAACTACAATGGAAACTACAGGTGCCAAGCTACATGCACCATACTTGTAACATCTTGTAAAAGTTGGAAGCTCCCAGGGAACCCGAAGCTAAGCGCATCTCGAACTCAACACACCCCTGTCCCTAGCCGCCCTTCGAAGCGGAACAAAGACACTATTCTTATTAATCACCTGAAGCTTTATTGTTGTATTGGTTATACATAATTCTAAGAGGAGTAAAGTGTCAGTCAGGAGCCAGCTAAGAAACCTAAACCTAAACCCTAATCGAACACTAAACCCTGGTTTAAGGGTTTAGGGTTTAGAGATCCCTTCGGCGGCTTTGAAGAATCCATCCGCCTGGAACCTTAGACAAGCGAACAGAGGCCTGAGGGAGTAGATCTTGCAGCCTGGTGCGGTTTGGGGGGGTTGGGATTTAGGGTTTAGGTGCAGCCTGCTGGGAGGTTCATGGGTAGTCATAAGTAAGGTTATACATAGGGTAACTATACCTATAACCCATATAAGGGGAGTTAGAAACCCACTTATAACTACCCATGAACCTCCAAGTGGTGCGGTCTGGGGATCCAAGGCGTTACTTTCGGATTGTGGGGGTTTGGCTTTCAGGTACAGACGACCTTTTTCGGAAACAGTGGCGGGGTCTCGGTAAGTACCTATAGTCTCCATAGTTAAGCCCAATACGGGAAAATATAAAATATCCCGAAGGCCTACCTAGCTGAAACCCAGTTGTTCGACATAGCGTGGCATCTTCATCGGACAACGGGCCGTACTATCCTATAGTAGAAGCCAGAAAGTTGGAACATCATTATCCTCATGCCCTTAAGGTCCTTAAGGTAACGTACGAGGGATCTCAGCACTAATCCTTCTAAAGCCATGTTCCAACTTTCTGGCTTCTATTATACACCCGAAACTCACACAGCCCCAAAACAGCTTAACCCGAGAGTAACCTGGGAATAAAAAGAGTGCCCTTTTTGGCTTGAAGGGGCTTACAAGGGAACCTGAACCCCAAAAAGGGAACAAGGGCCTACTCTACGTCCTAGAACTCAAAGCTGAAAGCATCCTAGGCTTCAAAGCTTAGAGTTGGGGGGCTCTTTGCATTTAGGACCTGGGCTTCAGGAGCCTCCGATCGCTCTATGATACTGCCTACACTAAAGACCCCCGAAAGCTCGACTAGGAGGTGCTTTTGAAACCTTTGAACAATATTAGCAGGCATGATGCTCTTAAGCCCAATAAGAGCAAATACAAAATGTCCCAAACCCCTACCCAGACCCCCGCGAGGATCTAGAAAGTAGATCCCCCAATTTAGGGCCCTATACTACTAAGGGTCCTTTATAGGAGCCTCCATGAAGGGATCTACTTTTTGGATCCTCCCGGGGGTCTGGGTACCTAGTCAACACTAAAAGTCGAAATCCGCAAGCCATCAACAATCCTGCGTGAGCGGGAAGCAACGTGTCTATGAGCTCATACCTAATGTCTCCATTGTAGCTCCTTTTTTCGTTAACCAAAAACTCTATTACAGGAGCCTAACCGTAAAACTGGCTAACCAAGCAAATTGTCTATGAGTTCATACACCCAGGTGGGTGGTTGTCAAAAATATGGTACCTTTTTGCGTGCCTAGTATAATACGGCACCTATTATTTCGGGTAATTGGCACCTTAATTTTGACAACTACCCAGATGGACATGGTCCTTCAATTGTTCTGATCACCCAACAGGGGCCATTAAGTGCCCTCGCGATACGGATCTATGCTAAGGTCTTACACTTCCACGTACTCACTCTCCAACCCTAAATCCAACTACACCCTGAACCGATCGAGCCAAAACCCTAAGCCCCAAAGCCCTAAGCCAAGATTTCCTTGCGCTTAACTCTGAATTCAAGCAAGAAGCTTGACTGACTGGAGCGCAGCGGCATAGTGCAAAGAAGAAGGCCTGCAGCTGGGCAATGGCCCTGCTTGGAGGTTCATGGGTAGATATAAGTGGGGTTATAAGTCCTCTCATATGGGTTGTCAGTGTAGTTACCCTACTTATAACCCTACTCATAACTACCCATGAACCTCCAAGTAGGGACTTGAAGGGAAGGTGCTTCTGGCTAGTATATGGGCGTCGCTAATTAGAAAATGGTTCTGATGGATTTGGGCGCAACGTTTTATTTACTTATATAGATTAAACATACATATCTATATATATATATATATGTATGTATCATATATATATATATATACACACACACACATTTTATCTAGGGAGCGCAGAGGGATACGATGGCTGATTATTCAGCCATCTAGCATGGCCCATGCTGGATGTCAGACTTGTCAAACCCATGGTGTGCACCAGGCTGCTTAGTGGGTTTTGGTGTGTTTAGGGACAGGTCCCGACTGAGGAAAGTTTAAGGACAGTTAATAAAGACACCTCGGTGTCATTCCGAGATCCGAGAAAAGCTGAATGACAATCGCACACGCAAAACCCTAGCCTCAAAAAGGCCAACCCCTCAAGAGCCCAGAGGTGATAAACTTGTTAAAGCCCAAGCCAAAGCATCCCGACCGTTGACGAACCTCTGTTGTTGCTTCACGAATATCACCAAAAACCACCTTCAAACCCCCACAAAGCACAAGAACAAATGAAGGTAGGGATAAACACCCTTGTTATAACGAAGCCTGATGAGGTAGTGATCCCTGTAAAATGCCCTTAGCCCTTAACCCCAAGCCCCATAAGGTACCTAAAACAATACCTGACTTCGGGCGCCTGCCCTCGCGCACTGCCACGGGGGCGCTACGGCTGCCCGGGCTCAGTAGCCCTGGCTGCGATCTTTTCCAAGGACCGCATGAAGTTGGAGGGTTTCCAAGTTTCTAATATTACATATCTTCATGTGTGCATACATGTTTGTGGCTTATTGAAGATATCTTTACGGAGCCATCCAGAAATCACATTGCCAGCAGGCTTTCGAATGGTTTCAATGGTCATTAGAAGACGTACGCTGCATGACTCGACTCGTACTTTTTGTTGTGCCACTTGGTTTCCATAGGTGTTTAGGCATTAAGTTGGAATGCCTAGAAAGCCCAGGGGCAGGAACATTTTACGGGTGTCGTAAGCCTTGCAAGCCCTAGACCCTGAACCCTAAGCCCAGAACCCCCAAACAGGGGGGTGCTTAGGGGCTAGGGTTCGCGGCTTAGAGCTTTATTGCTCTCTAGTGTGGTTGATGGGGGTGTTCCGAAAATGAGGCACCCTCAAGCATGCCAGAAAGCTGGCTAAGAAGACTCTCCCAAAAAGGAGGCTCTGCTTTCGAAGCAGCTTCCCGCAGATGAAAACTAGTTCATTGTTGGGATAGGATTAAAAATGTACATTTTTATTCCTTATTGGGTTTAAGTACCCATAAAAATGTAAAATGTTACCCAACAGTGACAAAGAAAAAGAAGGAGGTCCATGGTGGTGGGTCTTTGCAGTTTCCAGACCTCCGCAAGAGGATCCCAAAAGCAGATCCCTTAGTGGGGGCTCCTATAAAGTACCCTTAGTCGTATAGGGCCCCAAATTAGGGGATCTACTTTCCCTACTTGTCGGGTAGCATGGGGAACTAAAAGTTAACCTTTCAGGTTATATAGGAATTATATAGGGGCTATACTACCCAAGAAAGGTTAAAGGCTACCTACTCTACTACTAGGTTTCAAGATCCTCCAAAGGGGGTCAGGCTTGCAGTTTGCGAGTCACTAAGCTTCGTGGTGGATGCCTGGACCTTGGGCATCCGTGCTTGTTTACCTAGTTGCTGAGTTCATAAGCCCCAAAACGTGTACACTTGCAGTTTTATTATGAGTAATATTATCAAAAAAAAAATGTAAAGTGTATCCACTCAGCTAAAAAAAGCTGAAGACACCGGATTGCAGGCTCCATGATACATCTCAAACCCTGAACGGCCTAAGTACCCTCACCCCTAAGCCGCACACGAGCCCCATTTGGGTAGTTGTCAAAAGTATGGCACCTTCTTGGGTACACTGAGTTTTAGGTGCCGTAATCTATTAGGGACCCAAAGAGGGACCATTAATAATTTTGACAACCACCCATTTCCTGGACCCTAAACCTTGGGTCTACATTTGGAGTCACACTAAGGGATATCAACAAACATGTGACAGAAAGCATCTGAGTGTTACAGAGGTGGGGCGGTGGGGCAGCACCCAAGCTAAACCCAAAAAGTCCTAGATTTGTCTGGGCTGATTTCTGAACCCCTCCTAAAAGTTAAACTTTTACAAGTAGCCTCCTTATTATAGTTAATATAGAAATCCAAAAATTTAAAGTCCTAAGAGCCAGCCAGCAGAACGAACACATTTGTGAGATCAACAGTACCCGAAAGCCTTTGCCCGCGCAACCTCTACGCCCCATTCATTCGCCCTTTGGGGTTTATGCTTTAATGCTTTAAGGGTTCCCTGAGACGTTAACACCCTGAGGGCAAGACTACTGCTTCCTCTTTAGCAAATACCCCGACTAGAACCATAAGTATGCTAAGCGGATCATGTCAACCCTCTCATGATGCTTCACAACGAGCCGAACACAAGAATCCACCAACCATGTGGGTACGTGTCCCCGCCGGGAATTTGCAGATGACGAACTCTCATTACAACGGTGAGATTTGCTACAGTTTCCAGATTCGGGCGAGCTGCGTCGAGGGGATTCCATTGCCTGACATGAGACAGGCTTCAACCGCTGTTAGCGGGCGATTCGCTATAGGGTTAAGGTTTGGGTTTAGGCCGCATAATGTACTCCTCCGGGTCACAAGGCCATAAAGACAAACACATGCGGGCTTGGCAGGCTAATTACAACTCAGGGTTTGACGTCAGACTCAAGAGTGGGTACTCGTACTGTCAACTCGGTGGCTACATGCATCAATGTGGAGTTTTGAACGAATATGGGGTTGCACGAGCTCTCTTAGTAAAAGATCCTTCTTGGCTGACTTCTGAACCCCTCCTAAAAGTTAAACTTCTTTCCTTATTATAGTTGATACAGAAACCCAAAAACTTAGAGTCCTAAGACAGAAGAACGCCAAGCCTTAATGGTTTCTGTAGACGGCGCTCTTGACTTCTTCGCTTTTACGTGTGGCTCCAGCTTGCAGGCTTCGTGTGCGACGAACGGCGCACACGTGAAGTTTCCAGGATCGAGTCTTCACCAGGCTATATACTTAGATGCTGAGTTCATCAGCCCCCAAAAGTGTACACTCTCAGTTTTATAGTGGGTACCAGTATCCCAAAAAGTGTAAAATGTATCCACTCAGCTACTAAGTTTGAAGCGTAAGGCTAAGGTTTACGCAAGAACCCAACCCCTGACTGATGTCTTTTGGGTTTGGGAGCTACTTACTTTTCAGGCAGGGTGTGGGTTCAGGGAGTTGCAGGTGTTTATACTGAAAGATACCCCCAGAAGCAAATTGAAAAAAGTAAGGGTCCCCCCTGTGACCCCCAAACCATACAAAATAGTAGGTTATGACCCCTTAATTAGAAGGTCGACCCTTAAAACCGTGCGCTTTTGGATCCCCAGGCCATATTGCAGCATTGGAGTAGGCAGATTGCAAGAAGCAGCTGAACAACAAACATTATAAGTGGAGTTAAAAGGCCCAGCCTAATATAGGGGCCTTAAGAGGGGTTTAGGGTTTAGGGCGTAGTTGGAGGTTCAGGGTTAGTTATAAGTGGGGTTATAAGACCCCTAATATGGGTTGTAAGTATATAGTTACCCTACTTATAACCCTACTTATAGCTACCCTAAACCCTAAACCCTATAGAACCTTTAAAGGAACCCTAAACCCTTATATGTAACCCTACTTATAATTGACCATGAACCTCCAAGTAATGTTGGATATCCCAAGACCAGCTGTGAAAGCAGGCCAAGCGATTATGGGTTTAGGGTTTAGAGGTTTAGGGTCAAGGACAGCCCATCCGCCTACTTTGTTTCTCCAAAGTATCCCCCAATGTACAACACAAATGGTCCTGTATGTGCTGGCTGAGCAGAAGAAAGTCCAAGGCTGCACATTACTGGAGCGGAGTTGTTTTCGGTTGCACCTAAATCCTAAACTTGTTGACCGTCTCGATGCTGGGATTTAGTGCTGAGAATTTGGGGGCTTAGGGGCTCACCTTGATTATGGGTCTTTCACAGTTTAGAAAAGGAATGTGATTAGGATTTGGGGGTGTGCAGGATTTCGGGTAAAATATCAACTACTTGTTGCTGCTGCTCGGAGCCAAGGAAGTCAGCGGAGGTATCAAACTCCGAAACAACAAGAGTTCAGAGTTGCGGGGGGCCTAGGTTTGAGGGGTTGGGGTGTTTTTACCCAATCTCTCCATTGTGGTTCCTTGTCGGGGTCACCCTATAGGATCCTAAACATAAAGCTGGCAGAACCAATAAAACTTCGAGCCACAATTGATGCTGCAGGTAGGTTGTTTTTTGATTTAGAGTCTCAACCCCCCGAACGCTAAACACTAAAGCTCGCGAGTAGGAGGTGGTACGTTATACTATAGTCATTACGAATAGTTCGTACCCAAATAGCCGTAAAGTAGGTTCTCATTTGGGTTGCGACCTGCTCACAAAGCAGTAGGTGCCCCAAATACATCCTTCAAAACTCCCTCCAAGCTAAACATACCTAATGAACACCGTGACAACCAACGACAAATTTCAGAACTGCACAAAACAAAGCCTGACAGACTCGTCAAAAAAAGGCACTCCTCAGCCTTGAGACCCCCCCCCCCCCTTGTCGGTACCCAGAGGCTCCGATATTATAGCTAGGAGTCCCAGATTGTAGGATTCTTTTGGAAAATCCCTAAACCCTAAACCCTAATCCCATGATGAAGGATCCTGAGTTCAATGGTTGCAACCATGAGCCCTTAGCATGGGCCCTTAGCCTTGGGATCCTTATATACCTACTTTTTTACCCCAAATAGACTTACGTTTGCATACGCAGGCCTCACAACTCCAGTCAAGCTACGGGCCTTTTTCACACGCTAAGAGCTACAGTTCGTCACTTAAAGAGCCTAAATTTTACGGTCAAGAGGAGAATGTTCGCACTCCCCCTTTCAACCTTGTTGAAACACAGCTCCACTATGCTTCAGCACTGTACGCAAAATGTTGGAATCCGCAAGAGACTCCTTAAACAAGTCCTGGGTTGACTCAAGGCTCTGCAGGTTTGGGAAGGCTTGCCGTCTTGCGTCGGCATGCCCTAAGGGCAACAGGACTCAAAACGCAGCCGCTAGCACTTCCTTCTCCTAAGCGGGAGGTCTTCAGAGACCACAACAGGCCTCAAGAGGAAAACAGTTTGACCTCGCCACATCTTTTTCAAGGAAGTCGGGTGAGGGTTGCTCCACACGTCATCCCTCACTCTGGTCTGTGAGTGGTCTTCAAACATGGCGTAGGTGATTCTGGTTCCTACTACTCTGTTTGCGGAAACTGGGGCATCCACAAACAAAGGCGTATACATCAGCTTGCGTGGTACAACATGATGGCGTGTCAAAGTAAGCAGCTTCTCGTCAAGACTCCAAAAGTCTTCACCTTGAGGCTCCGGACAGGCAACTAAGGCACGTGCCAGCTTCTTCACCTTCACAACAGCCTTCTGAGAAGCAAACTTGACAAGCTCCCAAATCATGATGACAATCACCAAGACTAATGCAATCAACCAGAGATCACTCCTGAGCTTGTCTAGTTTCTTCAGATCTGCATCTCCCTGCATCCCCGTCTTGATGATCTCAAAGTATTTCACAGCCCGCAGGAAAGGCTCAGTAGGTGTAAACCCTCTGACGTCGTAGGATGCATTCAGGGATTCTCCGATCTCTTGCACAGACACCGCCTTTACGGACATCTGCAGCGAAGTGGGGGCCATTCCCAACAACGAGATCAACTCACGGAACCGAGGAGTCGGCAGAACCTTTGTTCCTACGTCTGCAGCATTGTGCTTACCAGCAACATGAGCAAACAACCAGGCACCACTTTCTCTACGCTCACGGGCGGCTTGAGCTCGCATCTTCAGGTGCCGAGTTCTCCACGCGCCACCCTCGTTGTTCACGAGAGAGATGGCCGCAGCATTGTCACTCACCAGACATGGCTGCACTTCCGACTGGCGCAAGTCAACCAAAATCGGCAAAACGCTTTCACCGATCTGAACACCAGCAAGACATGCGATCAACTCTGCCTCTGCGCTCGACAGAGCCGTCAAGGCCTGCCTCGAGCACTCCCACGCCACTACTGAGCCGTGCCAGAACGCCAACATGCACTGCTGACTTCTGGACCCAGAAGGCCCATGCGACGCGTCCGTTTCGATCCTAAGACCGTTCAACGACTGAGGAAAAGGCAACTGTCCTTCGACACCCCACGTTTCAGACACAGCAGAGTAACTCAGACCCAAGTCTTTTGTGCCAAGAAGGTACGCCAACACAACACTGCAACCCTTCACCACAGCTTTAGGGGCCTTCAACGCGTACGAGCTCAAGCGTTGAACTGCAAATGCAATGTCTGGGCGCGTGCGACAAACCAACCAGTTGAGCGCACCGAGGACCTTCTGCGCAGCACGAACATCCTGCAACTCGGGGCTATCCTCCTCAGAAGGTTCAGTCCACCCATGAGTTGGAGTAGGCAGGGTTTCCGTCACTTCGTACTTTTCGCACACGCTTTTCACGTAGTCCTCTTGGCTCAACGTGATGGTACCGTCCACATCCTTTTTGATGGACATACCAAGGTAGGAAACAGCCGAACCACCAGGCAACACATCCTCCCATCGCCCCATGGTCCACAGCGACGAGATGTGCTGTTTCAGCGCGTCAACCAACAGATCCGGACCAGTCACAAGGATGTCATCGACGTAACACAAGAGAACACCGCAGGGAGTCCCATCATGCACCAATGTCTCCTCGCAACCGGCGTGCCCTGATGGGCCGCTTGACTGTTGAGACGGTTTTCCGGCAAACACCAACCACATGTTGGGGTCTGCTTGGCTTTGTTTCAACCAAACGTCTTGAGAGCCAAGCTTCAGCCTGACCTTTTGCAACGTGCTGTCGCGGTGTCTGCTCCACCACCTAGGTGAGCGCCTAAGCCCGTAGAGCCCTTTTCTAATAATCCAGCGTTCGTTAGGACTCACGAGCCCGGCTTTGATCAACAGCGTCGGAGGTTTGCACACGATGAGCTTCTGGTTGGGGGCATCTGGAATCGGCGCATTGAGGAAAGCTGCTTTGATGTCCCCAATCGCCGTCTTCCAAGTGTTCACCGCGCTTAGCTTCAACGTGCAACGAACGGTGACGGCGTCAACGCCTCCAGCAAACACCTCTTCTTCACCGTCTTTCTTTTCGTAGTTTCCAGCCACACAGAGCCGAACTTTTCGCTTTCCGCTGCCTTGCTTTCGCACCATGACGGGCTTAACAGGAAGAACCTGATCAACGAGACCGTCTTTGACAAGTTTCTCAACCGCTTCCGCAGTCGTTGGCTCAACGGCACAACTTTCTTCTGTCAGCGACCGGTACTCGCTTCTAATGGCCTCCAACCACAGATCCAACTCATCAAGAACCTCGCTTTGGGATACGATCCTAGTTTGAAGAAACGCTTCCGAGGGATCAGGGGACTCCCCATTCAAGTACGTAACCTCACCAAGGGATTTGAGGGACAAGCCAGTGGTGGTTTTCTCGGAATTAGGCTGGATGCTACTCGCTAGCTCCTCAAGCTCCGCAAGTGATTGCATCATGTCACTACACAGCCGGAGGACAACCTGATCCACCTCACCAGCGCCTGTAGACAGAATGTCCCTCTTCCACTCTAGCAAGGTTTGGGACAGTCTGCTATGCCTTTGCACGATCTCCTCAAAGAATCCTTCCTCAACGACTGGCTCAGGCAGCTCAACCAACACCTCTTTCTGGTCTCTCACACCGCTCACGCTCACACTCTCCAGGGAGCACACCCTTTCAGGCAACGCAAAACCTAGCTCAGTCAGCTCAAGTCTTTGGGCCTCGCTTAGTTTATGGTGTGCTGTGAGTGTGTACCCAATAAGAACCTTGCGACTCGCTCGATGGGCCAGTGGAGACGTGGCATGACGGCTCCTAGGATCAAGCTTCAAACCTTCGGGTGGGATCTCCAGGATTTGGCCTTTCCTCCCTTCCAGGTCCCACTCCTTTCCAATCAGCTCTCCCCCGTCCTTGCACTCCACCCAAACCCCATCATCAGGCTCCCTTTCACTCAGCCTCAACAACAAATTGTTGGAACCCACAAGGTTGTACTTGTCTTGGTGCACAGGCATCACCACACCAGAACTCACCATGATGGAAGTGAACGTCTCTTCGGGAAAGTAAGAGTGCACATACCAAGCAAGAAGGCGCGCTAAGTTGGAAAAACGTTTGGTGACACTGGTAATCCCAACCACTCCGCCGTGGACGAACATCCCAAACACCGTGTAGGATCCATCTGTTGAAACCCGCTTTCCATCAGGCTTTTTGGTTGGGAACCCGACATGCGCAAGCTCCTCCACCAACTCCTTGGCCGTGCTCTCACTCCATTCTTCCTCAAACAAATCCTTGGCATCCTGTTCTAACTCCTCCATGGTCCTACTGGTTCTTTGGGCAAGGGGGGGAAGCTTCAACCCGCAAACATGACATGTGCTCTCACTGCTCTCAACATGACTCTCGCACATGCCGCAAACAACATGACTGACATGCTCACACAGCTCACAGCTCGCAACATGTTGGTTCGGCAGGTCCTGGAGGATTGCTGGAGTCGAGTCTTGTTCGTTTGAGCATTCGGTTTGCGTTTGTCTATGGGACTCCCCCCTACCTGCACTGCAGGTAGCCGTCACCCAGGTTTTTCGAAGGCTGATTTGTTCCATGGGCGTTTTGCCTTGCAGCTTGTACTTAGGCTTAGGCGTGTCGCTAGCCGGCGTCGTCATTGGAAACACCGTCCCAGTGACTACCAATGATTCGTCCGGAAGCAAGACGACATACCCATCCGTAGTGCTTGGTGCAACCCCTAGGGCCCTACCTTCAACTGTTTTTGCTGACCAAACTGGTTTGTTTCCCGGCGCCTCTGCCGCTTTCCAGCTACGGACCTTCGCCTGAACAGTTGTAGCCCAAGGAAGAAGTGATTGTTGTGGCGTCCCCATACTGGCGAGCTGCATCCTAAGATCCCGCTCCGTGGCATGGCGCATGGCAAACGGCCAAAACTTGTTTTCCAACCCCGCTGCCTGCAGCAGCGCCCGGGCCCTGGACTTCGCCCATCCCACGGTGCTTTCAGCTCTACCGTTTTGTTGCGGCGACTCCCCGCTAGTATGCGAAACATCAATGGCTTGCTCATACAAGAAAGTTTTCAGCTTAGGCGAGATCAACTCACGCGCTCTGTCACTATGCACTCGTGCAACATGCAGTCCTAGCGCTTTCAATCGAGCAACCAACGACATGAGATGATACCTCACTTCCTCATGTTTGCGACTTTTCATGGGAATAGCAAACTTCAGGGTTCTAACCGGAAGAGACTCTAAAGGCTCATCGAGGCAGTCCTTCCCCCCATTAGGCTTCTCATCTCCCTCCTTGGCTTCCCCTTTCGTCACACCCTCTCGGGCAGCGACAACAGGCTCGTCCTCAGCCTCGTTGTCTTCGTCACTCCCAAACAAGTCTTGCATGGCGAGGGGGCCTACGCCTCCCCTGAGATCGCAATCTTGGCCCTCATGCTCAAGTTCCTCTTCCAGCGGAGGGCCCAAATCCCCTTTCCCTTCATCACGAGCATCCAGATCCCTGTCATCATGAGCATCCCCTCCCGGAAGCGTCAAACTTGCTACCAGTGCATACTTCTGGCATCCATTGTGGAACAAGTCGACTCCTGAAGTGAATGGGCCTGCAACATCAATGCTAAGGACTTGGGTCTTTGGGCAACTCTGGCGCCTATGAGGTTTGGACCTTCCTGCGCTTGCAACACAAACTGGACAATCACGCCTGAAAGGAACATGATCATGCATGAGATGCTTGTGCCACATGTCTTTCTTCTGTTTTGACAGGACTTTCACAGCAGCAATCTCTTCACTCTCACGCTCCCGCTCAACGACCGACGATTTCACCCAACATTGAAAAGACTCACGAATCGCATCAACGAGGTTTGGGCACATCGCCGCAACACGACTCTGAGCGATTGGACCTTCAAGCGATTCGCGGTGCTCCGATTGCCACCTGAGATCCTTGGGAACATGCTTACCCTGGAGAAACGAGTATAGCTTCCAAGAGCCCGTGAGAATACAAGTAGGTTTCACCGCGTCATGACCCAATGCCCCTTGATCAAACGTCGCTTTTCGGAGCCCTAAGGTCTTTTGCAGAACCTTCCACATGTGTTCATCGGAACTTCGTGTGTTTTCTAGCGCGACGAAGACTGAACCCTCACGACTCTCATCCGAGACTCCCTCTCTCTTGCTGACATGTGCCAAAATGACAAGAAGCGCAATCTGCACAAGCACACAAGTGTCATCAAAAGCATGCGCCGTCTCTCGCTCAGATACATGTATGCATGGAGGACTCCCAACAATCCCATCAACCTTCCCCCCAGCAGCTAGGGCATACAAGTATCCCAGCACTCCTGGTTTGCGGAAGTCGTGGCCTCCCTCCTTTGCAACGCTCAACGCAAGGTTTCCACCCCATGCCTGTTTGGTTTCCCGTTGGAGCCCGCCAAACAAATGGATCAACAAGTTTCCCCGAGCGTGCGACCTCCTAGCCTTGTGATTCCAGGGGGTTTTGAGGCCTTCAGAATCAAGCGCGGCAACCGACGACAACACAACTTCTTCCGGAAGGTTTGGTGCCCAGCTACGCAAGAATCTGACCAAGTCCTCAACAGGTAGGTCTGCTCCTTTCTCATGCACGCGCTCGCTCAACCATTCAACCGGGTTCTCGACAACGGGTTGTTTACACACGGCTTTCAAGGACCTCAAACGTAAAGTCTTGGTTTTGGTAAGTTGTTCAAACTCACACATCAACTGCAGGGCACGCTTCTCGGGGATGGTGGGGCAACCGTCCTCCAGCTTCACCTTGAGGCTTTCACCACCCCTCCAGATCCGGTACCCATCATTTTTCCAACTCATCCCATACCCAAGCTCATGCAGGTAGCGCATAGGCAAGATGACCTGAGTAGGTCTGGGTGAAACCAAAACCCCAGCATCTGTCATTCCCAACGTGGTGTGGCCAACGGCCAACGACACCTTCACTTGGCTGAGCGTTTGAGCTTCCCCTTTCCACGCTTCATTTCGCAACCCATTGGTGGCACCCCCATCCACAAGGGCAAAACCAGGACGCTCACATGAGTTTGACAATGCTTTCAAGCGGATGGATGGTTCACCAGCCCCGTCAAACGACTGAAGATCAACTGAGTCCCGCGTGCACGCCTCAAAAGCACTCAATCCAAACCAACGGTCATAAGCATCAGCGGCGTCTCCTTTCGGAGCGCTGGACACCTCAACCTCACCTGGTTCCTCAGCGAAGCTATCGAGCCTTGGGCAATCAGCTGATTCACAATCCTGCTCATCCGAAATGTCCAAGTACTGAGGCTGACTGGTCCTTAGGGCAGCTAGCCTCATGCTTTTCAGCAGTTGCGAGACATCGGCAACGATATCAGCGGGGCCAGAGGCACTGGGGTCACCACCATTGGTTGGGGCAGGTGGGGGTTCCTCCTCAATCACCGTTTTGTTGACTTGCGGTTTCTGGGGGTTTCCTTTCTTTCCACCCTTTTTCCCTTTATCACCTTTGCCTGCACCCTTTTGGCTATCTCCCTCACTGGCCTCCTGGTTCTCGCTTTTCTTTGCACCACCTCCTGGCCTCGCGCATGCATTCCTGTAGTGGTCCTCCGCTCCGCAGTTGTAGCAGTGTGGACCACTCTTTTCAGCATCATGTTTAAACGTGCAGGTATTCCCATGCTTGCACCCTTCAGGCTTAGACCATCCCCAACATGGTTTGGCCCCCTTGCCTGTGGACTCATCCTTCCCACTACTCTTACCTCCCTTGCCGCCCTTGTCCTCAGTGACCTTGTTGAGTTTCGGGTTCTTGCGTTTGGGGCTTTCCGTAACATCAACATTCACAGACAAGTCCTCAAACTCGGCTAACATCTGTTTGCCGTACTCCTCAACTCCAGCAAGGGTTGGATTGCGATCCAAGTTGTGCATGTTCCGATAAACCGAACATCGAAACGCAACTTGAGGATTCGAGCTAAGCAAAGTCTTTCCAGCATTGTCCAAAGCAGCAAGCAGAATGGAACAATCCGGCACCTGGACTCCTGACATAGACCTCGCGCGCGCTAACCAACGAAACCATGTTTGCAGAGTCTCAACTCCCTGGTGTGCGGTCGCGGCGACGGGTAACTCACCGAGCCCTTTCAACAAAGACTGCCTTTCCAAAAGCCCTCCAGGCTGAAAGGATTTCAACACTTGAAACAACAACCCAACCGTCGACAACGACCGACTCGCGAGGGCCTGCTGGTACACACTGTCCGGGACCGCTCTACTAAGCATCGCCAGCGCTCTCGCTTCAAGCCTAGTGTACCGCGGGTCACCCAATTCCCCACTCAGCTCCCCCACAATCGATCCACGCAAAGTCGACGAAGACGAAGCATATCGATCATAAGCTTTCTGAGCCTCCGAAACAACACTATCCCACCAGTACGCGGAACCAGAGCTCAAATCCGCCATAAGGGGTTTAATCTTGTACAACCAATCCGAGGCTCTTAAAGCAGGGTTGGTTTCACTCACCGGTCCCAACACGGGCAAATCCCACATCACGCGATCTCCTACCGCGAAGGGGTCTCTACCACCCGGACCGAACACACGATGATCCGACGAGGTTTCCGCTGCACCCTCACGAACAACATGCACACGACTGCTTGCAAAGAGACTGTCAAGGCCAGCATCCACAGCACTGCTTAGAACATGACTGTCAACCCTCTCTGGCACTCCACTCTGCACACTCTCAACATGCTCATGTGGAACTGTATTCGTGCCATGCTGCATCGGGTTGGGGACTACGGTTTCACTCGGAGGTGGAGGTTTCGGTGGTGTCGGCGGCGGTGTGCTGGCTGGTGGCCTGGGTGGCGGAGTTGGTGGACGATCCAACAACACAAGTTCACCCGTGGAACTCCACATCCCACGAACAACTCTTCCTCCCATCCTCACCGGCACAACTCCCGACAATCCTTGCACCTCATCTCCTTCATGGTTGCCTACGGCTGCGTTTGGAGGGTCTTTCGGGGGTTTTGGCAAATCCTCCCAAACCTTCTCACCCTCTACACGCGCTTTCTGTACATCCGGAGAACCTCTGACGCTACACGGCTGTTCACTCGGCCAGCCCTGGGGGGCGGCTACAGAAGGGTCACCACCCAAACCGCCAAACCACACAGAGCTTGCATCTCCAGCGTTCATTCCCAAAGTCACTCCAGAATCATTTGTATGATCCACTCCAGCCAACTCCAAAGCGCTATGCATGGAACCCGCTGATGACGATTTGTGTTCTAACCTCTCCAGTCGGTACGTCAAGCCACTCATTTCACCCTGAAGGTGACCTTTCATCTCAATGACTTGATCTGCAACCTGCCCCTGAAGATTCGCCATCTGCGCTGATAGCCTTTGAACGTCGCTTGAAGTTCTCTGCATTCCCTCATACAGACCTCTGATCAACCATCGAAGCTCCTCGGGCGTACGCACAGCGTCTCTAGGCGTTCCATCCCCAGAACTTTCACCATGAGCCACGCTGTTTGTATTGCCTCCCTCTGAAGCCCACTCATCTGAAATTGGTACCTCCGCAGCCCTTTGCTGCGATAACCGAACATCTTCCGGAGACGGCTGGCCCTTATGGGCAGCTACACTAGACTCAGAAGCCTGACCCACGATTGCATGGTCTTCCTCTGTTCCAGTGTTGGGCAGTCCTATCGCGGCGCGAGAGTCGCGATCATCCTCCAAACCCACTGCACCACTAGCTGTCTCAGATGCTCTCACCACAATGTCCGAAGCTGGCCCTTCCGCACCCTCAGCGGTTTCTAACTGTGGGAGGTCTCGCGGCCTTGCCTGCTGCAGACTGAATGTGTCCTGAGCCCTCTCGCTCCAGAACGGGTTGGGGCGATCCCCTGAAGGCCCCAAACTAGCAGCTCTTCTTCGCCTCATGCCTGACTCCATAGCTCGACTGAGTAGAAGCTACGGCTGATAACCTACGTTTGCATACGCAGGCCTCACAACTCCAGTCAAGCTACGGGCCTTTTTCACACGCTAAGAGCTACAGTTCGTCACTTAAAGAGCCTAAATTTTACGGTCAAGAGGAGAATGTTCGCAAGACTCTTAAGGCTCCTTACAGGGGGCCCATACTTCCAACCTTGCCATGAGTTTGCGGCCTGAAGGCCTAGGGTTCTTAAGGGGCTCCGATACTGGAGTGGGCTGGACTTCCGAAGTCTTGGAGTCACTATCCCTAAACCCTAAACCCTAAACCCTAAATCCCTAAAGCCTAAACCCCTAAACGACCCCAAGAAGGGAACTACCATGGAGACTTTAGGCTATATGTAGGGTTTGGGTGTGCTCCGCCGCCCTTTTTCATTCTCGGTACATCGCAGGCCAACTTCCCAGCATCTTGGGGCGGCGCTTGCCTTCGTCCTGAGCGCGCCGTAATTCTGTCTCGGGCTTCAATATGGAGCTCATATTCGGGACACAAGCATCACAACACTGCGTAAGACTGCTGTCTGAAAGTTCTTACAGTATATAGTTCTTACTTGTCCAGTCTCCCAAGGAAATTAAATGGCTAACCTTTGGAATGCATATAAGGACCCTTTGAACCATATCAAACATAATGTTTTAAACATTCTCTTGGGTTTTATATGGACAAAAATGAAAAATAATTCCTAAGGAGGCTATAGATCATAACCCCCCCAATAGTGTATAGGACCTGCAGTGCCAGGTGATCTGAATCCTGTTTCGCCGTCAAGATTCAATGTTCCCTCGAGCTCCGAAGGACACTTTTCTTACCGTTGCTTAGTGGGGAATGGAGGAATGGGGTACAATTATGACTACTATTACTACCAGTCTTCCATTCCCTACTAACCAAAAGTAAGTTTTGGACACGAAGGGTCCTAGGTTGGCCCTTTGAAGCCTCTGAAACATATTCGTAAATAGGGCCCTAAGGGAAAATGTAAAGTGTCCCACAGGCCAACCTAGGGTCACAGCCCTAAACCTCATCTGCAGCCCCAACCCCGCTTCAGACGATAGGAATTTGGGATCCACAGATAGCCACTAGATCGAGGCAACAGCAGTCAAAACAGTTTAAAAACACAGCCCAAGCTTTGGTCCATACACCTGTCTGTCAAACTACACCCCACAACCTCGTTCGACTGCATTCCGGCTGCAGCATGAAGCCGTAACTCAATTTCGGGGCCCTGGCTGCCAGCAGCTGTGCCGGGGTAAAACCCCATTGGTCACGCTGCTCGAGGTCGGCTCCTCCAGCTCGCACTTCAAGGTTCATGGGTAGTTACAAGTAGGGTTATAAGTAGGCTAAGTATACTTACAACCCATATTAGGCGCCTTAATAACCCCACTTACAACTACCCATAAAGGGCTTGGGGGTGTGAGGGGGTTTGGGTTTAGCAGGTAACCTGAGGAATTAGAGTGCTCGTGCATGCAGCTCCTATCGATTGATTTCTCTATCAATACTTGGACCCCACACGTTGCAGGTTTAATCCTTCACCTTCACGTCTAAATCCAAAAACCCTCAGGGCGAATTGTATTCGGGGGCACCTGAACTTCACGTAGCTGGAACTGATCGCGCACCTGGAACTTCACTCAGCCCTTCCTACGATCTCGAGGTGGCACCCTAAACCCTAAAACCCTAAACCCTAAACCCTCAACCTAACCTAAAGGACCCAGGTACTTACTTAGTAGACTGTAGGGTCTCTATATTTGGGAACTACTAGTATGACTTGGGGAACTATCCGCCAAGTACCTGGGACCCTCTGGCTAGGGGCTTAGGCTTGCCATGCTCCAAAGGGTTTAGGGTTTAGGGTTTAGAGTTTAGGGTTTAGGGTTTAGGCTTTAGGGTGTAGGGCTTAGGGTTTTACAGTAAACCCTGGAAAGATGGAACATGCATTCAATATGATTTGTGCTGGGACTCCCTCTACTTTACCTTGCATGAGGATAATCATGTTGCAACTTTCGGGCTCCTTGTCAGTGGATTTATCATTGGAGTTGGGTGTTGGGAACTAAATGATAGCTTACTCGTATAGGGGACTGGTCAGGACGAGGACAACAGGGATCGTATTACAAGATATTCAGGACCACTTGCATCATGCAGGTACCGGATACTCCATGATCCCTAAACCCTAAACCCTACACCCTAAACCCTGATGACACGAGGTGAGACCGGGTTTCCGGGTTTGTGCTTTTAGGGTTTCAGGCCGCAGGGCTTCGGTGGAACGACACCGAGGGGTCTTCTTTACTGCCCCCAAAAAGCACATAGGCAAAAATAAGGGTAGGGATATCCCAGATAAGCCCCCTTAAAAGGAAGACCATAAGGTAGTGATATCCCCATAAGATGCTTATGCTTAGGTGCGGTTTTGGGGTCCCTATTCTTGCTAAAAGTTTAGTAGCGGTTATGTGCCGTATCATTGCTTTAAGACACTGGAGTGCTGAGCTTCGGGTCCAGAAGTCCTGCTCCCTAAACCCTCCGCCGGCACACTTATATATATATATATATACACATAAAATATATATATATATATATATATATAATTGTTGAACAAACCTGAATCTCCCTACAGCCCATTATCTATATACGGGAGTTTCCGAAAATTAGGGGTACCGTATTTCGGGGTCATTATGATAAGGATCCTACTATTTAGGGTACTATATTAGGGTCCCCTGTTTTCGGAAACTCCCATACCCTAATTGGGGTTAGAAGTAGATATAACTATAGTTACCTTACTTATAACCCTACTTACTAAGTCCCATGATCCTCTAAGTATACTTAGCTGCCATATGCTTCAGCCAAGGGTCGGAATTGAATGAGAAGCTTCGCCAGCTCCACGTGGTTTTTCCTCGACTTATACGGTAACAGCCGCTGACATAATGGGCTTAGGGTTTAGGGTTTAGGGTACATGTAATGGGGCTTCACGGCCGGGAGTTGCTCCTGCCGCTCGTGAAGTATGGGACCCATGGGACACAATACAGAAGTGTGGGACCCAAGGGATACAATATCGAATGTAAATGGCCGAAATACTTGGAATAGGGCTTTGGGGTATGGGATAATATACGTATCGGTCAGGAACCCAAAGAAATTGGACTGATTGTTCCGGGTTCTACAGTAGAGTGAAGATTCAAAGCTGAGACATGGGTGGTTGTCACAGTTCTGGTCCCTTTTGGGTCCCTATTAATTATAGTACGGCACCTATTATTCAAGGTACCCAAAAGGGGACAATAATTTTGACAACCACCCACATCCTAAACCCTAAGCCAGAACTTTCCCAGAGCTGAAGGGTGCACAGAGATTGTGGCAGTTCATAACTTCAAAGCCCAAAGGGCCCAAAGGGTCCTATGTACCGATATAGTAGAATGTAGGGTTTCCATATTAGGAATTACTATTATGGCTTAGGGAAGTATCTCCCATAACAGTACATAGGACCCTTTGGGACGGGCGAAAGGAGGGACCCTCAATGGGGATCCCCCCCGAAAACGGGCTATATAATGGGGTTATAATGGCTCTATTCAGGTCATATACACTAGGATGCCCAGTAACCTCTGAATACTGGGCATCCTAGTATACCCAGGGGTCCTTACTAAGGGTCCCTCCTTTTATCCTGGGATAACTCTGGACGGCGCTCCCCTCAGCCCTAGACGGTAACCCCCCAACCCTAAACCCTAAGCTCCAAGAGGGCCCGGTCTCCGACCAACCCTATGCCTTCATGAGAACGAGACAACTTTCATAATATAGGAGCCTCAATAAGAAGAATAGGGTTTTGGGTTACATTATACTACAGTTACAATAAGGAAGCACCAAAATAATAGTATGGGCAATTATACTAAACCCTCAATCCTAAACCAGAAGCCCATTATACTATCATTATAAGAAGGAACCCCCAAAAGAGTAGAGGTAATTACACTAAACCCTCAATCCCAAACCCTAAGCCCAGTATACTATAATTGGAAGAAGGAACCCCACCCAAAAAAATAGTAGAGGCAAATTATCTAGGCCCCTAGTGTAGGAACCTGATTAGGAAACTTTGGGTCTCTATTAGGGCTCCTTATATGAATCCTAACATATTGGTTTCTTAATCAGGTTCCTACATTAAACCCCGAACCCCCCATAAATAAACCCCCAAAGCCCCTACCCTCAAAAACTAAATCCTAAGTCCGCAACACCCCTAACCCCTAAACCCCGAAACCCTGATAGTCCTACACCCGACTTGCTTCCTTAACCAGGTTCCTACACTATCATAGCACCCTTATAGATCCCTTCTAGTAACCCTTATAGACCCATTTTAACGGAACCCTAAGAAGGCCGAGGCTTGTTGAATCAGGTTCCCTACACTAGTTGTAAAGGATCATGGGACTTAGTAAGAAGGGTTGTAAGTAAGGTAACTATAACTACATCTACTTATAACCCCCAATTAAGGTACCCTAAACCCTAAACCCCTACACCCTAAACCCTGGCTCTACCCTACTTACTAAATCCAAGGGTAAAAGGAGGGACCCTTATAAGGACCCCTAGGTATATAGCCTTAATATAGCTATTACATACCCATTATTAGCCCATATCATTATGGGGTAAGGGTCCCCATTAAGGGTCCCTCCTTTTCCCCTTTGACTAAACTTATTATGAACCCCTTTATTAAGGAACCCCCTAAACCGCTATAGATCCGTTATAGATCCCTTTTTTAAGGAACCCCTTGAGGAAACCTTATGAACCCCTAAACCCTAAACCCTAAACCCTCTTCTACCTCTGAGGCTTAGTAGTATTATGAACCCTTAAGCCTTTATTAGCCCATATCATTATAGGGTAAGGGTCCCCATTAAGGGTCCCTCCTTTTCCCCTTTGACTAAACTTATTATGAACCCCTTTATTGGGGAACCCCCTAAACCACTATAGATCCGTTATAGATCCCTTTTTTAAGGAACCCCTTGAGGAAACCTTATGAACCCCTAAACCCTAAACCCTAAACCCTCTTCTACCTCTGAGGCTTAGTAGTATTATGAACCCTTAAGCCTTTATTAGCCCATATCATTATAGGGTAAGGGTCCCCATTAAGGGTCCCTCCTTTTCCCCTTTGACTAAACTTATTATGAACCCCTTTATTGGGGAACCCCCTAAACCACTATAGATCCGTTATAGATCCCTTTTTTAAGGAACCCCTTGAGGAAACCTTATGAACCCCTAAACCCTAAACCCTAAACCCTCTTCTACCTCTGAGGCTTAGTAGTATTATGAACCCTTAAGCCTTTATTAGCCCATATCATTATAGGGTAAGGGTCCCCATTAAGGGTCCCTCCTTTCCCCCTTTGACTAAACTTATTATGTACCCCTTAAGCCTACACTACAGTAAACGGCTTGCATCGGCTCCCGGAGGCCTCAGTTTTGGAGCCGATTTCGTGCCAAGGTCCGCTCTAAAGGTGGCTTGGGGTTAGGGGGTTTGGGGGTTTAGGGGGTTTAGGGGGTTTAGGGGTTTGGGGGTTTAGGGGGTTTAGGGGGTTTAGGGGGTTTAGGGGTTTGGGGGGTTAGGGGGTTTAGGGGGTTTAGGGGGTTTAGGGGGTTTAGGGGTTTAGGGGTTTAGGGGGTCTAGGGGGTTCAGGGGTTTAGGGGGTTGAGGGCTTTAGGGGGTTTAGGGGTTTAGGGGCTTAGGGGTTTAGGGGCTTAGGGGTTTAGGGGGTTTAGGGGGTTTAGGGGCTTAGGGGTTTAGGGGCTTAGGGGTTTAGGGGGTTTAGGGGTTTAGGGGCCTAGGGTTTAGGGGTTTAGGGGCTTGGGGTTTAGGGTTTGGGGGGTTTGGGGTTTGGGATGATACTGACAGTATTTGTGGACTATAATCTTAGGGATCTCAGCAAGGGAGAACCACAACTGCTGCAAGATCTCAGATGCGAAGAAGCAAACATTTGCTCTTGTAAGGGCTTCGATGCTTTGTATCTCTTCTCCTGTGAGACTGCACAGTGTGCGGCGCCTCGGGTATCAATCCGAAAAGGCTCGAATTCGAACTCCTGAACAAAGGTCGTGAGCCAAGCGGACATGACTGCGACCGAGAAAAGCGCACAAATGCTGCCGCTGAGGTGCACTCGAAAGGCCATGCTCAAATCGGTGGCTTTCTCTAATCTTCACCGGCGGAAACTGGAGCCCGACCTCTACGGGTATGTCTCAGGCGGCTGAGTCTCTCCGAGACCTGTTATTGCTCAAACTTCCACTTTGCACTTCAAACTGACCTAAAGGGTCCCAGCTGCTGTTACGGGGGACACTTTTCCCCAAATCATCACAAAACAATCCTAATATATAGAAGCCCTACATCCTAGTATATTAGGTACTTAGGACCCTTTGGGTGAACAGAGGCCTGAGGCCAAGGCCATGCAGCCCACCAGAGCGGTGAGCGCAGATCCTCCTCCGGTAAGTTCACCTCCACAGAAACGTGCAGAGAAGGTGAGGCTTAGGTATGAACTAATTAGTAAAGTTGCTGGGGGAGTAATTATGGCAGTGCCCCTGAATTATCAGGGTCCTGCAGGGGCCTTAATAACTAGAACTACGTTTGGAGGCATATTAGTATGATTCATGATATGATACTGCAACTATACATATATATATATATATATACATACATATACATACGTACATACATACATACATACATACATACATACACACATACATGTGTGTGTGTATATATATATATATAATATAAGGAAACCCCCAAAAACCCTATTCTAATCATTAAGGCCCTTACATTAACTATTAGAGCTTGGGGTAGAGGTGTAGGTTTGGTTTTTGAGTTTAGCAGGCTCGGGTTTAAACCCGCCGCAGCAAGAGTTCTCAACGGCCGAAAATCGCTGTAACAGTTACAAAGGCTAATGGATCATGTAGCAATGTAGCGCTGTTCATGTGCAAGTGCACAGCCAGTGTTGTGAAATGGACAAGCTACCACCTACGATGGATGTATATGGTTGTTATTGACGTACCCTTGCATCTGTGTATTTGCTCGCTCAGTACCAAGGCCCTTGAAGGAGGTGGCTCCTGTCAACTCGATGCATTCCCAGCTCTCTGTGCCCAGACCCTCCAAGATCGATCCCCTAATTAAGGAATATGCCTTGAATCATAGTAGAATCCCTAATAGGATACATGATCTATTCTTTAATTAAGGGATTTTGGAGGGTCTGGGTGGCTCAACTTTGGATCCTTAACAGGCCCCTTAAGGGCTTCTATCAGGGTTCCTTCGCAGCTACACAAGGTTCGTGACTTAGGGCCTTGAGGGTGGACTTTCCGGCTTCCTGGGTTGAGCTTACCTTAGCGGCTGAGTTCCTAGCCCCCCCAAAAGTGTACACTTTGAGTTTTATCGTGGGTAATATTATCCCAAAGAGTGTAAAGTGTATCCACTCAGCTATTAAGTTACGGATCCCGCCTTTGCCCCTGCATCGAGCAGCACACGGCAAACAGCCAGATGGCCCTCCTGATCGGCAGTACAGTGAACTCCAAAAAGTTGGAACTATACGGGTACTAGAAGAGTTCCTTTAAGGGGTTACTATATACTATAAGGGCAGTATAAGGGGACTATAAGGGTTCCTGGGTCTATACAGTAAACCCCATAAAGTTGGAAACCGGATTAATACCAAATAAAGCTGGGATTCCCTATACGTTACTCTTAAGGATTGAGATTATTGGGTTTCCAACTTTTGGGCTTCTACTATAGATGGTTCTGTGTGTTCGGCAGTAGATGGTTCTGTCCTCAGACCCCCTTTGAAGGATCCAAAAAGTAGATCCCTTAATGGGGGTTCCGATTAAGGGTCCCTTTAAGGGATCTATAGGGTTTTAGGGTTTAGGGTTTAGGGCTTAGGGAAGGATCCAAAAAGTAGATCCCTTAATGGGGCTTCCTATAAAGTACCCTTAGTAGTATAGGGCCGCAAATGAGGGGATCTACTTTCCAGATCCTCTCGGGGGTCTGGGTCTGTTTGAGGGCGTCATAGACTGGGTTTGGTAAGTCAGCACCGGAGGCTCGTCAGGAGAGTCTAAAACGTCTCTCTGTAGTCACCAAGAACCATGCAGCATCGCAACGCTTGCTCACACTTAGACTTGATCGCAATCTCTGGACACCAGCATTGTCGCCTCGCCATGCTGGACGGAAAAGTCCCATGCCCTAACTCGAAACTAGGATACCCAGTAACCTAAGAATAAAATAAAAAGGCCTCTCTTTTTGGTATTGGGTAACTTTATAAGGAACCTAGGACTACAAAAAGGGAATAAGGGTACTACTGGGCATTCTAGGAAACCTAAACCTGATTGCTAAGAGCAGCTCAGCCCTCTCGACGTTGACGGGGCAGCCACGAGTTCGATTCAAGCCGACAAATAACATAGCAATTGGGGGTTAGAGGGTATAGACGTTTGCAGGAGTAATAAGTGGGGTTATATATGTACTTATAGTTATCGTACTTATACCCAAACTTCAACTTCAACCCAGAGGGTCCAAGTACCAAAATAGTAGGTTTCAGGTCCCAAAATCCATACTCTGAATGGTTTTTGGACCCTAAAACCCTAGTATTTCTATACTGAACTTAGAACCCTAGCAAAAATTGCAATTTTAGCTGTTTCTTAAGGGATTATAATAACAAAAAATTTAAAAATATTTCTGAGTACCCCTAAGGTACTGGGATCTTTAGGGCAAGGGCTTCAGCCCTCCAAGGCGCTGGGAACCCCTCCGGGGCAAGGGCTTCAGCCCTCCAAGGCGCTGGGAACCCCTCCGGGGACTCCCTTGAAAGCGACCTTAGTTTAGGATTTAGGGTTTAGGGGTTTAGGTTTAGGGTTTAGGGTTTTAGGGTTTAGGGTATTTTAGGGTTTAGGGTTTAGGGGTCGAACTACCACGGCCTCGAGGGATTGGGGATGAATAATGGCTGGGGTTTGGGGTTTAAGCGTGGCAAATGGTGTAGCTAGTGAACACGAGCAGCATTTAGCAGCGATGAATATCGAATAGCACGGGACATGCTGCAAACTTGCAAAAACGATCGCAAAGCATGTGAACTGTAAACCGAAAAGAGCTTTCTTGGCATGAAGTTGGGGTCTCAGACAATGAGGAGCCCATAGAAACCAGGATCCTTACCATAAAGAACTGCAAGGGCCGTCCCGACTTCAAACAAAGCCAAGCCAAGCAAAGAGAAGCAGCGGCTACGTGCAATTCAACGGGCGCCTCCGCTGCAAGGCAAAGCGGCGTCCAGGACTCAGTTGAAGCTTCCGTTCCGAGGCTCTTTTTAAGCAAACCCTCAACCCCAAAACCCCGAATCCCTAAACCCTTATAAACCCTAGTGTAGGAACCTGATTAAGAAACCTTGAGCCTTTAAATTAGGGCTCCTTATATGAATCCTGCTATTTTGGGGCTGTAGGCCCAGCATTGCCTGATCAGGTTCCTACATGAAACCGCCTTTGGTCTTGAAAGGATTGGGCTGGGATCCTGCTTGAAAGGCCGGAGCCTCAGGGCTCCAGCGCTTTCAATCTAAGGGGTCCCTTAATGAAGGAATAGACCATAAATTGCAACAGGAGCCCTAGTACGATTTAAGGTATATTCCTTACTTAATGGGGATTTGTGTTGGGTGAGGTTTTGGAGGAGTCGCAGTCTGGGTTTTGACAGGGTTTCGTGTTTTGCTTTTTTGGGGGCTTGGGGAGCGACTTGCTGCATTTTCCACTGCAAATCCACAGGTTGAAGCTACCCCAGGAGGACCCGAAACTGTCTGTGCTTGACCTTAATCTGCCCTAACATAGGGGACGTAAGTTTGAATCAATTTCAATAGGGTTTGGGAGTATACTCTGCTATGATCAACATAAAGCACCGCCAAAAGTGTCTCGGTTTTTGCATTTGGGCCACGAGCTCTTGAGACAGCACCACATGTTCGCATGCTTCCACCCCCAATTTCATTCGAGTTTGAGGTGGGGGCATCATCGTCAACGGCATCAACGGCGGCGTCTGCAGCAAGCAGCGTCTTGCAGGCCTGGCGCTCTAATGTAGGGGCCTTAATAATTAGAATCGGGTTTTGGGCCGCTATACTGTAATTATGATTAAGGACCCCCCCAATACAGTATTAATTTAGTCGCCTATAGGAGCTCTTGCTATGGGATGTGGATTACTGGATGGTTGAGGAAGTCGTAATGCGTAGGTTGTGCAATTCTGGGGCCCAAAAGAGCATGTAAGCAAAGATTAGGACAGGGATATCCCATATAGACCCACTTGTCATGAACCCCAAAAAAGTAGGGATATCCCTACAAATTGCTTGGGCTTATGTTGTTTTGGAGTCCGTAAACTTAACCTATGGCTTACTAAAGGGTTTTATCAGTCCAGGGTAAAACGACCGTCACGGTTGCGACCAAAACGTTGAGCCTCGAACGAATTACGGACAAAACCGGCTGCCGATGAAAAAAGCTCAACACCAGTATTTGGCGTGTGTGGTATCATAAGCGATTGTAAACTCTGGGGCATTTACGATATGGTACCTTTTTGTTCTCATATTCTATATATCGACAATTCCAAACAGCAGAACGCTTGGACAGAAGTCACATAACCACGAACCTAGCGGCAAGTCGATGGAGGTGTTCTTTATTACAATTGTAAAGAAGCCGTCTTCTTGGACAGCTACATCGGCCCGCCATTCGTCGATGCAAGTGCACCTGCCATGAGCCTGCAAAGCGATACATGACGAGAAAGGTTGGAGCCTCTAGTTTTGGGGGCTGGCTTTACACTACGAGAATATTCGTGAACCTAAAGGTACACTTTCCCTCTACCCAGACCGAAACCGCCTCTGATATTCAGATCCAGGCCGTGGGCTTACAGCTGTCATACCGGAAAGCACGGAAAACCGAAGCCCTAAAGCTACAAGCGCCAAACCGCAAATCAAGCTCCAACACCCCAATCGTAGGACAAAACTCAAGCCACCAGTGTTTGCTGAGAAACCTCGAGGTGGCCCTTGTCGGCAGCCCAGTGCAGGGCTGTGCACTCATTCCTTGCAGCATAGGTGCCAAAATGATTAGAACTTGTTTCTGACCTATATTATTTATTGGTCATATTATGGTCTACAACTAACTATAATCCCGGAGCCTTAACCAATATCGTTACGATCTGTTCAAACCTTTGTGCTTAAAATCATGTGAGAGGATTCAGGGTTTAGCTTTCGGCTTTCGTTGCTGATTGGCAGAGTGCTGGTAGAGTTGAAGGGCTTTCCGGTTTCATGGTCTAGGGCCGTGAACCCCGGTTCCTCCAAGGTGTGGCATTGCTGGAAGGGCAGACCCGGTAGTCTTGGGTCTTTGAACACCACACCTCCCATGCTTCCGACTGTTTCCCTTGCCAAGGGAGGAGTCGGCCCTCCTCTTTGTCCACCTCCTTAAGGATGATGTTTTGTTCACCATCCAACACCTTCCACCCGGTTCCAGCGCTCCAGCTCAGCACCAGGCCTTCCTTACTCGCCCACCGATGGGACTTCTTTTTTGTCCATGTAAAGCAACTTCGAGGCCATCTTGTGGAGCTGGTACAAAACCCTCTCCTCCTTCGCCGCCGACCGCTCCATCGTCCACACTACGGTCTGCTTCCCAGCCATGCATAGGACTTTGGATGAATGATTCTCAGTCCCGGGATAGTGGCTATTTGAGAAGCCTAGGAGTCAAAGCGGCCAGTACCCTAAACCTAAAAAGCGGCCAGTACCCTAAACCTAAAACCCTAAACCAAAAGGACCCCCTTCCAGGTCTCAGTCGGCGCCGTTGCTTTCATGCTGTGGGCCTTAAACACCAAACCCTACAGCCTGAACCCTTGACGCTACACCACGGACTTGCACCGCACTGGGGCAGGCTGCAGGGATGATAATTTGTGTTTTGGTTGGGGTGCTTTGGACAGTCTTTGTTGGTACTTCAGAAACAGAACGGAATAATATAGGGGCTTTAATAGCTGGAATGGGGTTTTGGGACCCAATAGACCATAATCATAAGAAGGAACCCCCCAAAATCTTATGTGTAACTATTCAAGCCCCCATAGTAGGGCTTCGGGAATATTGAGCTAAACATATACGAAAACTATTTTTTTTTTTTTTTATAGAGACCCCAAAAGTTAAAGTCCTAAGAGCCAAGCAGAAGAACGCCAAGCTTTGAAGAGTCTCACGGGTTGCCGACAGTAACCCTACTCTTACTACCCCAATAAGGCACAGAGACACAAGGTTAAACTTTCCGATTCCTACTAGACTAAACTATAAAAGCCCAAAAAGTTTAAAGGTTAGGTATTGGGGATCTTCCCTAAACCCTAAACCCTATAGATCCCCCTAAAGGATCCCTTAAAGAGACCCTATATAAATCCTCAAAGGGATCGTTTTAAAGGTTAGGTATTGGGGATCTAAGTACTCATGCCCCAAACACCAGAATCCTCAACCCAGCCCTGCCTAAAGAGGACGTAGGAGCTCAGATCTCGTTGCTGCTTACGCTATGATCCTACTTGTCGGGTATCACGGGGAACTAAAGGTTAACCTTTTTGGTTGCGGTTTAGGTAAATTTTCGAGTTTAGGGTTTAGGGTTCAGGGTATCATGGGGAATTCGAGGTTAACCTTTTTGGTTATATAGGGATTATATAGGGACTATACTACCCAAAAAAGGTTAAAGGTTACCTACTCTACTACTAGGTGATGGTCCTGAACTGTAAGCTTGGCATCCCCGACAATACAATCTGAGGACAGGTAAGTCTCTATTGCGATGAAGCCCCAAAACCTTAACCATTAATTAAGTCAGAAACACCAGGCTTCTTAGACCGTACCTTGAAACCTTAAACCCTTAACTCAGAAACCCCAAGTTTGTACAATCTTCAACTCTTGTCCTTGGACCGTACCCGACCCAACGCGAGTAAACATATGAGCTCCAAATTGTCGAGACTCTACATTCACTACATTCTGTCTCAACAGGCTCAGGACTTATATAGGCCTTCAGGCTTGGCAGCGGGGAGCTTGGAGCATTCATCAGTAGTCCACGAAATCGAATAATCCGGTACATCAATCACGCAAATGCAGCATAAAGATCCTTTGGAAGCTAGTTCAGGAGTCGCATGAAAATCCTAAACATCCCTAAGCCTGAGCCCCAAACCCCAAACCTCAAGCCCGAAACCCGCTATCCCCGTTCCAAAAACATGTAGGGTTTAGGGCTAAACCCTAAACCCGCCGAGAGCAGGGCTCATCTCTAAAGCCTAGGTCGGCAGAGGCCTGGCAAGCTCGCTCTCTCGATGGTTTAGCGCTAGAGGGACTTGCAATCAGACCGATGGCAAAACTAATGCTCGCATGTGTTCGCTGCTATGTTGTTGGTTAGCCATGAGTTCGGTTGCTGTTGTTGCTGATAATGATGTTTTTGCATTGGTTGCTGTTGTGGTGGTGGTGATGTGGCTTGTTGTCGTTGTTGTTGTTGTTGTTGCTGCTGTTGTTGTTGCTGCTGCTGGTGTAGTAGTCGTCGTAGTCGTAGTAGTAGTAGTAGTAGGTTAGTAGGAGTAGTAGTAGCTGTTGTAGTTTGAAAGTTGTAGTTGTAACTGTTGCTGTTGCTGCTGTTGTTGTTGTTGATGTTGTTGTTGTTGTGGTTGTTGTTTTTGGTAGGTGTAGATGTAGTTGTTGTCGTTGTGGTTGTTATTGTCGTCGTTGTCGTTGTCGTTGACGTTGTCGATGTCGTTGTGATTGTGGTTGTGGTTGTCGTTGTCGTTGTTGTTGTTGTTGTTGCTGCTGGTGTTGTTGTTGTGGTTGTTGTTGTTGTTGTTGTTGTTGTTGTTGTTGTTGTTGTTGTTGTTGTTGTTGTTGGTCGTGTTGCTGTTGTTGTCGTTGTTGTTATTGTTGGTGTTATCGTTAGTGCTGGTGTTGTTGGTGTTATTGGTGCTTTGTGTTGTTGATATTGCTGCTGTTGGTTATTATTGTTGTTTGTTGTTGTTTGTTGTTGGCAGCACTTGCGTCTGCCGCCGCGCGGGGAGGTGCGATTTCTTTGCTGGCATGTTCTGAGACTCGAGTTTTGGCACTTTGCCCAATCGGAATTGAATTTGCGTTGTGTTTTTTTGCATCGGTATTTGCGGTGTTTTCTAACAAAAAGGGCGCACGCCGGCGAGCTACACTGGACAACAAAAATGCTAAGCTCTCCATGTCCATCGCATTTTCTGTGTTTTCCTAGGTGTGTCGGATTTTGCAACGGCTTTTCACTGTGTGCTTTGCCGACTCAACCCGAAGCCGAGACGAAGATATGAAGAAATTAAAGCGAAACTTGACACCTCAATCCTAGACACTTCCAAACCCTTCAAACCCTCAAAATCCAAGAACTTTTATACTTCATGGTACAAAACCCCAACTTAAAACTCTTATGCAAGCCTTTGTAAAACCCCAAACCGCTACATGGAATGGATCCCTCTTTGATGGTCCCTTTAGGTCGCTCATAGTCGTCCGTCAACCCGATGCCTCCATTTTCTACTGAGAACCAGAAAAGTGAATGAAGTATCTAGGGCCCCAAAAAGCACATAAGCAAAAACAAGGATAGGGATATCCCATATAGATGCCCTTTATACATCCCTATAAAATGCTTAAGCTTATGTGCTTTTTGGGTACTAAGTATCCGGCCTCGATCAGCACTTGGATCGATTCGGCCTTCCGCGGCGTCTCAAAGGTGACAATGGAGCCCAAAGACCCAAAGGGTCCTAAGTAATGTTATGGGGGATACTTCCCTAAGCCATAATAGTAATTCCTAATATGGAAACCCTACATTCTACTATATCGGTACATAGGACCCTTTGGGAGAGCAAGGCCATCGGGGCTTCGGTACAATCACACACAATCTATGTAAATCTATGTACACATATACACACACACACACACATGTTATTAACAGTACTGCGAATGACAATAATACAAGTGCTACACCTAATAGTAGCAATCATAATCGCAAGAAGCAGATATGATCGCAACAATATTGACCGTAACCATAACAGTAGCAATAATTGTAAGCAACTTCAGGGTAGGGTGCTGGGTTGCAAGAGTTGATCGCCAGGAGCCGAGTCAAAACGATTAATTTATATAGACCTGCACAACACCTTAAGGGTCTGCCGGTAAATATCCGAGTTGGAGGAACGTTTTTGTGGCTTGGTCCTGCTTGCGACTGAAGGTGGAGGCCCCGGTAGTTGGAATGAGGTTTCGGGTATGTCACGTACCTGGTCTTAGTTTGTGCTGAGTTCCTTTCGGAAAGCCCGAACCCTAATTCTAAAAAAAGGGTACATTATACGTATGTACATATATATATATATATACATATGTAAGTACATCTATATATATATATATATATATGCAATTGTCCATTATACGGCTACCTCTATAATGTCTTATGCTTGCATAAAGGGCCGGTAGGATGAGCAGGCTGCCTTGACGAGGCATAGAGCCTCCAAAGCTCCTGAAAGAATACTCGGGTCTCAGGACTCCCGGGTTTAGGGGTTCGGGGTTTGGGGGGTTTAGGGGGTTTAGTGGTTGAGGTGCTTGTGGGGTGTAGGGGGGGTTATGGGGTTTCGGGGTTTAGGGGGTTTATGGGGGGTTTCGGGGTTGGGGGTTTCGGGGTTTAGGGGTTTAGGGGGTTTAGGGGTTTAGGGAGTTTGGGGGTTTCAGAGTTTGGGGGGGTTGAGGGGTTCAGGGGGTTTAGGGGTCTTGAGGGCTCTGGGGATAGTTCTTGACATCTCAGAAAAAGCTTGAAAGCACCTGTAAGACCAAGCTTCACGCCACAAGCTAGAACTCAAATCCTGCAACTTGCACCCGAAAGTCCTAAAGAGTAAAACGTGCAACCCCGAACCCTTAAATGCCCGCCCCAAGCTGCCCTAAACACCTGAACTCCTTAGGTACTGCCCCCTTACAGTAAGAGTCTATAATAGGGCTACTATTCAGGTCCTAATATAACTATATTATGAATATTATTCAACTATTACTGAGTGGGGGCCGTATCCAACCTGAACTCCCCTAACCCCCGAAGCCGGACAAGTGACTGCCTCGCCCGCCCCGGCGGCTTTCAACAACGGCGACATCACATGCCGACCTTCACAAAGAACCCAATATCCCTTTTTTAAGGGACATACCTTAAATCATAATATTAAGGCCTCCATATTTTAAAGTATATTCCTTAATTAAGGGGTATTGGGTTCACTGTTCTACTCAGCTCAAAAGGAGACTTTAATGGTTAGAGTAAGGTTCTGGGGCATAGTACACTATAACTATTATAAGGAAACCCTCCCACCCTCAAAAAAACGGTCCTGGTGATCATTTAAGCCCCCCTATATTTACAAAGCCCTTTACGACGGGACAAAGCCCTTTACGAGAAGGTTCGAAAGTGTTCGCGGCTAAGTCTTGGGCGTTGACACATGTGCGCTTAATATAGGGGCCTTGATGATTAGAGCAGGGGTTCCTTTAAAGGGGTCTAGAAGGCTACTATGAGGGATCTATAAGGGTATTATAGAGTATAGGGGCCTTGATAATTCGAATAGGTTTTTGGGGCCCATTATACTATATTTAGAATAAGGACCTCCCCGGAATAATACTTGTAATTCTTTCGGCCCCTATGGTAAGGATTCACTGAGGAGCCCAGAGGGCTTGAGGCACTTCAAACACCCTAAACTCTGTTGGTTTAGCCCATTCTATACCTTAGTTGTAGAGCGGGTAATATTATCCCAAAAAATGTGAGGTGTATCCACTAAGTTACTAAGATATGACTAAGAGATGTAGGATCCTATAAGGTAACCCTCAAAAAAGGAACTACAATGAGACTCTAGGTCAACCACCTTGACACGTGCAAGGAATGTTCCTTCCCTGAGCCCCGGAAACACTGTGAAAACCTTCTTGGGGGACGGTTCAGGTTGCAGGGCGCAGGGTTTAGGCTTTTGGGTTCAGGGCCCATCGGGGTGGCGGGGAGAGGTGGCGATATCTGAATCGGTTGGGGGTTACAGGTAAGCCCTATCAACTTGGCTGACTTCTAAACCCCTCCTAAAAGTTAAACTTTTAGCCTCCTTAATACTATGGTTCATATAGAAACCCCAAAAGTTAAAGGCGTAAGAGCCAACCAGAAGAACGCAAAGCAATTTCCAGCTGGCCTACTTGTGTTTTGCCCGGCCCAGCCCGTAACCCTAGTAAGCTGCAAGGTGGAATCCAAGTAAATCCTGAACGTTGAAGCAGCGCCAGGCGCTACCAAGGCTGAACTTTACAAGAATCGCAAATTCTACAGCTTACGCACTGCCCGCTCGCAACGGCGGTGGGAGCCCCAGCCACCTCGCCACTAGTTATTGTTCTTCTTACCTTTGGTTAGTAGGGAATGGACGAATGGGGTACAATTATAATTACCATTACTACCATTCTTCCATTCCCTACTAACCCTAAACCCTAAACCGACGATAAGCCTTGCGCCCCGGGTGCCATCTGGGCAGTCTGGGCTGGATCGCCTGTTCCCTGGCCGTAGCCTCGCTGCACTGCATTACCCTAAGGGTCCATGTACCCATATAGAGATACATGAGCCCCAAAGTACCTATATAGGGACTACATTAAGGCCAATGTCTATACTCTATGGTACATGGACCCTTAGGGTTAAGATAGATCCGATAAAGGGATCTACAAGGGGGTCCTTTAAAGGGATCTTAAGGGTTTAAGACTAAGAGGCGGTCTGAGATAGCTGGAGAGTAACGGCTACCACATCCATGGCTTTGGACTGGCGTGCTTGCGCGAGCCCCATGAGCCAGCCCATCCTGAAGACGCTACAAGGCCAAGCGCTGTGCATTAGAATCGCTCGCTCCGCTCAGATTCGCGCATGGATGTCGGCCCAGGTTTTCGAGCGCCCGCCTTTGCTTCCACAAGCGGCGCCGAGCAGAGCGGAAGACAGCGTCAGCATGTCGTGGTACTCTGCATCCAAGCTGCCAAGCAGATGCGGATGTGCCGCCGGCACAGCCTGCCCCGACACAGCGATGTACTGTAATGCTTTTTGCAGAATTGTGTATGTACAAACATGTACAAAACTGCACGCCCCTAAACCCTAACCCTCAACCCTGAAACCTACTTGGAGGTTCATGGGCAGTTATAAGTGGGGTTACAAGTAGGGTAACTATACGTATAACCCATACTTGGGACTTATATTATGACCCCACTTATAACTACCCCTGAACCTACAAGTAAACCCTAAACCCTATACCCTTATAGACTCCCTATAGATCCCTTTCAAGGGACCCTTCAAGGAACCCTTATAACTACCCCTGAACCTCCAAGTAGAGAACCACTGGGACCTTGAGGCAAGCGTGGAGGCGAGCCTGAGGAAGGTGTGCAGGGGAGGGTGGTTGAGGGTTTAGGGGTTTAGGGTTTAGGGGTTGAGGGTTTAGGGGTTGAGGGTTTAGGGTTTAGGGGTTTAGGGGTTTAGAGGTTTAGGGTTTAGGGCTGGCGCTGGCGGGCTTTTGGCGCTTCGGAATCTGAATTTTTTGAAGGCTCACCCATGGGCCCCAAAGTAGTTCCTTGTTGGGACTACCTTATAGGGTTCTATATAAGAACCCCAAAAAGGAACTACTTTGGGGCCTATGGGTGTAGGGCTAATAGTTCTAAAGGGGCTTGGGGCCGAGCGTTTGGGTTCAATAACCGTTCAGACGGCTTGGGCTTGGGGGTTTCTAGAAGGGATCCCTTGGGCTTCTGGTTTTGGGGCCTATGGGGCTTAGTGTTCAGGGTTTAAGGGTTTAGGGTCTAGAGGTTAGGGGTTAGAGGGTTAGGGGTTAGGGTTTCGAGTGAGGAGTTTGAGGCTGTCGGAGTAGGGCTGGTGAGCTGCCCCGACCCTGTAATAGTGACTATAAGGATTATATTAGGGCCCTATTATATTCCTATTATGCCACTATTACAGGGCGGGGGCCCCTTCTAAAGTAGGGCTGGTGAGCTGCTACTTAGGGGCTGAGTACGCAAGCCCAAAATTCGTTTAACCTTTTCAGTGATGGTAGGAACATATAAGACCCAAACGGTTAAAGGTTACGTATTCAGCTACTAAGTGTTATTTCATGAAGACATACGATGACGACGAAGATTGCTACCTATGTATGCCATACATGGCACGGGTGATACCTGTCATGGCCCATTTCTACACCCTGTACGTGAACAACAAGCATAGTGGCACCAAATCATAACGGATCTGACGGAGATGTGTGTGTATATATATACATGTATACATATAAAGATACCATGGATTGTATAGCTTCCAAACGTATTTTGAACAATCGAGGTTCAAAGCAGATATCACAGCGACGGAAGCTTACAAAACCCTCGTGCAGCCCTAGAAGTAGATCCCATAAATGGCACATAAACGTTAACGAAACCCGACTGCTCAGAAGGTCCCCAAGCCCTAAAGACCATACTAATACACCCAAAAGAGCTAAACCTTAGAAGCTGCCCCCCACCCTGTAATAGTGACTACAAGGATTATATATGATTATATTAGGGCCCAATTATATTCCTATTATGCCACTATTACAGGGTGGGGGCCCCTTCTAAGCTAAACCATAGTAAACCCTCAAAGCAACCCTAGAGTCACCAAAAGCCCAAAACCCTTATGACATCCGTTCAAAAGGAAGTAACTGGCCGTGAAACTCAAAACCACCAAAATCCGAAAACCGCAACACCCCAAGCCCAAAGCCCCAGACCCTAAACAACTCTGGAGGGTTATGTAAGGTTTCCGTTTTAACGGAAAGCCTAGGGGGTCATAGGCTCTTGTAAGGGCTCCTTTCAAGGGATCCTTTAAGGGCCTCTTTAAAGGAATCCTTTCGGGGATCCTTTTAAAGGTATCCTTTTACCGGGCTCCCTTTAAAGGGATCCTTTAAAGGGCTCCTTTTGAAGGGGATCCTTTTAAAGGGATCCTTTTAAGGGGCTCCTTTAAACGGGATCCGTCCCTAGCCTTGGCTTCGCTGCCAGCGGTCGCCTCTGGTCTCTGCACGGAGGAGCCAGCGGAGCCAGGGGGCGGCTCTATGCTCCTTTTTTGAGGGGTTTCGGGCTTTAGGGTTTCGGGTTTAGGGTTTAGGGTTTGGGGTTTAGGGTTTAGGGCTCCTTTTTTGAGGGGTTTCGGGCTTTAGGGGGGCTTAGGGGGATCGTTGGGTTCGGGGTTTCGGGCTTGAGGGGTTCAGGGCTTTAGGGGTTTTAGGAGTTTAGGATTCGGGGTTTTGGGGTTTAAGGATTCATTGGGGTTTAGGGCTATCAGGGGTTCGGGACGTAGGATTTAGTTTTTGAGGGTAGGGGCTTTGGGGGTTTATGGGGGTTTCGGGCTTTAATGTAGGAGCCTGATTAAGAATCCCTGCGCCTGTAACACCAAATAGTAGGATCCAAACAAGGAACCCTAGTAAAGGCCCCAGGTTTCTTAACAATCAGGTTCCTAGGTTCAGGGCTTAGAGGTTTTGGGGTTTAGGATGTAGTTTGTGAGGGCCTGGGGGTTTTGGGGTTTAAGGTTTAGTGATTAGGGCTTAGGACTGTCAGGGTTTCGGGATTTAGGGACTCTGGGCTTACGGGTTTAGGAGTTTCGGATTTAGTTTTCGAGGGTTTCGGATGATTTTTGAGCTTTGGGTTTTGGAGGTTTAGGATTGACTTTGTCAGGGTTTCGGGGTTTAGCGGTTTAGAGGCTGAAGGGTTCTGGGTTCCTTCGATGAAGGGTTCGGGGTTTAGGGGTTTAGGGTTTCTGGGTTTTGGCGGTTTATGATATAGATTTACTTTTAACGGTAGGGGTTTCGGGGTTTAGCCGTTTAGAGGCTTAGGGGTCTAGGGTTTTGGGGTCTTGGGGATTAGGGTCAGCGTTATTTCTGGGGGTGCAAAAAAAGCTCCTGTAAGGCCAGTGGAAGGGTTAGGCCTGTAGGGTTACTTTAGCCGGCTTTGAGGCTACTCAAGAGGCTCCTGTCAAGGGTACTGATGCTTTGAGGATGCCGAAAAGGTTACTTAAAGGGCTTTTTACGAAGAGGATTTAGGGCTTAGAGTTGAAGAGATACATCCATTGAATTGTTTCCTGTCTCCACCCGGGGAAGCCGAAAGGCATTTCAGTAGCAGCTCAAATTTTGCTAGAACAAAACGCGGTCATCCATACGCTCGCAAAACATGCCTAAGGACCCGTACCGCCCGGCAAGACTGCATCGCCTCCGGCGTGTGTTTTCTGCTTGCTGCATTTCTGCTTGCCATGCTTCCTTGTCCTTCTTGTGCAGAAACTCCAGCTGACGTTTCTTATGACACCAGTCGTACCACTTCCTTTCTTCTTTTCCGGCTCCTGCCACGAGCAACCCTGCTGGCAGCTGCCATCTGCTTGTGGCTCCTGCTGCCACGAAGACGAATGCGGTGAGTGCACTTGTCGAACTACCGTCCCTCAACACCTCAAACCTGGAAGCCGTGAATCCCAAACCATAAACCCTAAAACGAAGGTTTTGGAGTTTTGGAAATAACATGTTTAATGTATAAAAGGTTTAGGGTAGACATGGTGGTTTCCGAAAATATAGTACCCTAAATAGTAGGTTCCTTATCAAAAAGCCACCAGACTAAGGCACCCCTCATTTTCGGAAACTCCCAAATGGCTTAGGGTTTAGGGTTGACCCAACGCCTGCATTGCTCCAGTCCTGTGCGAACCAAGACAGCAGGAAAAGAAGGTTTCCTTCGCAGCTTTCCTCCTCGTCTGCCTCCTGCCCGGAGGTGTCTTCCCATTGCCGGTTTTTAAGGGAACCCCAAGGGTTTAAAGGACCCAGTAATTAGGTACCTAGGTTTAGGAAAGTAGATATGTAGGCTCGGATTTTGGTGAGTATACAAGTATTAGGCACTTGGACCCTTAGGGGAACCCTCAAAGGCGCTTTGGGTCTTTGAACGTTCGAGGTGTGGGGGGGCGGGGGGTTTGCTTACACTTACCTAGAGGCTCATACCCTACCCCCTTTTTTAGGGCGCCTACTTTGATCCTAATCATTAAGCTAGGTATCCGAAAAATGTGGTAGGGCATGGGTTTCTAGGTACATCTCGAACCCCTGCATGATCAGCATAATTAGGCTTAACGAATGGACTATGTCAAACTTAGCTGTCCAGTATCCTAGACACACTAATAAAGCTTAACCTTTAGGGGTTATGTAGGGATGAGAAATAATGCCCTCAGAAAGCACAAAGCTTACCAACTTTGCTAAGTAATTCTTGAGACTGCTAGACAACCCTGAAGTCCCCTTTTGGTACTGCATAACTTTATAAGGAACCTAGGACTACAAAGTGGGAATAAGGGTACTACTGGGCATCCTAGTAATATAATACTGTACCTTAAATAGTAAAATCCTTATCATAAGGAACCCAAAACAAGGAAACTAAAACCCCTTCAAGAAGCCTTTCAAAAAGCCCTTCTTATAGTACCCTTACAGTAGCCCTTTAAAGGAGCCCTGATTATGCCTGCCCTGCTTGCCCTGCCCTGCCTGGCCCCCCTCCTGGCCCTGCCCGCACAAGGCGCGAGAACCAAGTTGTTTGTTGGAAACCCTTGCTTTTCGTCGAGCGGCCGGCGCAGGAGGACCCACAACCCGACAGCAATCCATTTCAGCTGTGATTGTTGTTTACATGTCGAGCTGCGAAAGGAAGCAAAGAGCAAGAAAGCCCCCCTTGAGAGGGGTTGGGGGGGTGAACCCTAAACCCTAATTGAGAATAGTTGGGGTGGTTGGGGCGGGACTACATGCTGACGCCAGCGCGCGATTAGTGGGTGCGCCCCTATTCCTAAAGTAAAAGGCGCACCCACCGCGCGCATACTGTCTACACACCCTAACCCTAAAGCCTAAATTCCCACCCAGGCCTGCTCAGGCCGTACCCACCCTTTTCTTTGGGTGCCTGGACCCAGAGGATGTCCGGCAGTGATTGACACCATTTCTTCCCTGACCCCCTGCCCCGCCCCTTGCCCAGAAATTGAAGGAGCAGACGACCAGGGCAGAGGCGAATTGAGGGCGTAAGCCCTAAACCCTAAAAGGTAACATTTTGGGTGGTAGCCTGTGTAAGCTCACAGCGGGCGGGAAAGAAACAGGAACCAATTTGTAACTGCTTGGTATGCACTCCAATGCTAGACGTAGATATGCGGCCCCCGCACACCCTTGGGAGTGTTTGGGCGCCATCCTACATAGAAAATACTGCCGCTGCGCGGCGAGACGCCCTAAACCCTAAACCCTCAACCCTCAGGCCCTCAACCCTAAACCCTCAACCCTAAACCCTGGATTCTTTGCGTCCTGACTGAGCTCGGAGTCGCTCTCCGAAGCTCCGCCGGGAGCGCTGGGCCGACTGCCCTCCGCCTTGGAGCTCGCTTTAGGGTTTAGGGTCTGAAGCTCTCATAGGGTCTTTAGGGTCTTTATTTAGTTACTCATAGGGGTTGAAGGTTTAGGGGTTCAGGGTTTAGGGGTTTAGGGATTGGGGGTTAAGGGTTTAAGGTGTACAGCACATCATATATCCAAGGGTAAAAGGAGGGACCCTTAATAAGGACCCCTAGGTATATACCCTTAATATAGCTATTGTTTTGACTGCAGCAGAAGCCAGAAAGTTGGAACATCATTATCCTCATGCCCTTAAGGTCAAGTATAAGGGATCCTAGCACTAATCCTCCTAAAGTCATGCTCCAACTTGCTGGCTTCTACTATAATATAGGCGCCTTAATACTGCTTACCTTTTTAGGGTTCCTTATTATGGTTTCCTTATATAAGTCCTTAAAAAAAGTAGGTTATTCCGGGTTAAGGTAGGTTCTACTTGTCGGGTCTGATATGGGTGGCTGTCAAAATTATGGTCTCTTGTTGGGCACCTTAAATTTTAGATGCCGTGTTATAATAATGACCCAAAAAGGGACCATGATTTTGACAACCACCCATATAGGCGCCTTAATCCTACTTGTCGGGTATCAGGGGGAACTAAAGGTTAACCTTTTTGGTTATATAGGGATTACATAGGGACTATACTACCCAAGAAAAGGTTAAAGGTTACCTACTCGTAATACTGTAATCAGAATAGGATTTTGGGGCCCATTCTAGTATACGGTCACTTTATTACTGCAAGCCTCCCTTTTGAAGTTGATGATGCTCTATATATGGAATCAACATTGAGAGGCTGAGTCCATCCTTCCCGCTCCAGGCTAACCTGGCAGCGCCATGCTCTTATCTTGCTTAAAACCCATCTCACAATTGCTGCAATTGCATGAGTAGTCATATTGCTTATGGGTAGTTTTCCAAATTTTGGTCCCTTTTAGGGTCCTTATTATAATACGGCACCTACTATTTAGGGCACCTAAAAAGGGGCTCCTAATTCTGACAACCACCCTTATAAATTTGGGGGTGGAGGAGTCTCCAGGATGTGAGTTTCAGCTTGTGGCTTTTGGTCCTCTAGAAACTGACAAAAGCGATCGAAGCAGGATCTGGGTATAGTGAACACAACACTCACATATCGGCATGGTCGAAAGGACGACGGTGCTAAACACTCCCAAAGGGTCCAAGTATCATTGTGGTATATACTTATAAGGTATTGTGGGGGTCTGAGTATATACCATAATGATACTTGGACGCTTTGGGACTGTCACTACTTCCCTAAAAGTCTTCGTTCCCTATGTTCGTCCCTGCTAGGCAACAGCAGCGACTAACAGCTTGCGAGTAGCCCTTACGCGGCTGCTCCAGGCCCTAAACCGTACCTGCGAGACATGAACCAAACCTTCCATAAGTAAAAAATATTCCTTTTCGAGGGAGGAAACTTTTGCCCTGGAATACTGGACTCTTTGTATTGTAGAGCAGACAGTAGGCCTGACAAAACCAAACCGACAGTCGCCGTTTAAACAGAAGTTTTCGGAATGGGCGTTTCCGAAAATAGGGGGCCCACATATATAACCCTAAATAGTAGGATCCTTATTATAAGGACCCCAAAATGAGGTACACCTAATTTTCGGGACTCCCGGAAGATTCCTGTTGAATTATTAGGAGCCCGACAGACTCTCGAGCTCTACCAAGACACCGACACCTGAGTAATACAACGGGGCCATACAAAACACGGATGCCAGGGAAAACCTTAATCTTAAACCCTGCAACCCTAAAACCTAAACCCTAAACTTTAACCCTGAATCCCAAATCCTAAACCCTAAACCCCCAAACCCCCAAACCCTAAACCCTAAACCCAGAATCCCAAAACCCTGACACAACTTCAGCTTTGCTCTGTTGGCCGATCTTGCCTTCACCCACACAAATACACAGCCCAGGCATTTCTTGGAGTTTCAGGGGTAGGGTTTAGGGGTTTAGAGGTTTACGGGTTCAGAGGTAGGGTTTAGGGGTTTAAGGTATCTAGGGGTTTATGGGTTTCGGGTTTAGGGTTTTCGGGTATTTACGATTTTCGGGTTTACTTGGAGGTTCAGGGGTCGGTATAAGTGGGGTTATCAGTCCCCTAAATATGGGTGATAAGTATAGCTACCTTACTTATAACCCTACTGATAACTACCCATGGACCTCCAAGCTGGGCAATGCAGAAATGGGGTTTGTGGTCTGCCACCCTGACGTTCTGATGTGTCAGCGCCAGGTAGGACAGTCTGTTCAGACTGCCCAACAGGGATCCTAAAATGCTCTTGCTCCATGTACCTCTATGGTATATATGTTGGCCATAGAGTGGTTCTGGCAAAGGTAGTTTAAGGTCTAAGGACATACGGTATAGACTACATAACGTGCACATGGAGCATTTGAAAAAGGCTAAACCCAGAAGAAGTCCGTCTCTTGGGCCTTGCTGCAAAGGCCTTCATCGAGTATATCGGCATTACTTAAACAAGGAACCCTAAGGAGTACAGGAATAACGTTGGTTACTATTCCGGTTGTTTCCTGCCCCTCTGCTCTCTTCTTCAACAACCTGGGCCCCGAAGGTTCTAAGATAGAGCTACTATATAAGGCCACAAAGTTTAAAGTTCCCCTGTTCACTATCTAAGTCTGAGAGTGGCCACCCAGGGTCAGACGCTTGAAAGACTTGCGTGGAACGGGTGAAACGGGGGAACATCGCCACAGGAGCCGGATGAACCACGAGCCCTTTTGTGAGGTCAGGGGTGGAAAGATGAGGGTAGGGTTTCGGGTTTAGAGTTTGGAGCTCAGGGTGTAAGATGGTGTAGGGTTTCGGGCTGAAGGATGATGTAGGGTTCTAGCAGTGATGCTAAATCCCGCAGTCCAAGCAGTGGCTGGGAAAAACACGCAATGTATTCGGATGCGAGGCACCAACTGCACCCTGGCTTAGCAACAATTCTAATTTTAGTTGCTTCTCAGGGATTGTAGGATCCAAAGAATTAAATGACTATTTCGAAGTACCCCTGAGGATGGCTTTTTCCCAGGAGCGTTGTATTCGGGTTTGGGTTCTAGGGCTCCTCTGACAGGGTTATAAGGCCGCTAGCTTGAAAAGTGTTTGGCTGTTGGGGAGGACATTCTCGGAAATTCAGAACTAAAGGGACCGGCATACAGACCCAGCAAGACCAACTACTGAGATATCCGCATGAAAGAGCAACCTTCTCTGCTAAAACCGTCTTCTCAATTGCCAAGTAGGAAAACAACGAGGCGTTAGGGTTCAGGTTCAGGGTTGTGCTAGAAAACCAATCCTGACCCCAAAACCTAAATCCTTGAGCGATTGCTCCAGAACCCATATCCTGACCCTGAGCCGGTAGTGTCAAAACCCCAAAGCCCAGTAGAGATTTGACATAGCCTCAACCCGACAGTAAAGGCTAAAGCCCAACCAAAACTCTGTTGCCCCAAACCTAAACCCTACAACGCACATTCAACCCTACCCTAAGCCATAATTCTTACGGTAGGTTATGGGGGGGAATGGGATACGGTCACTAGAGAGTTATTCTCGTCTTCATTGGTAGTTGTCCAAATTTAGCGCCCCGAAGGGGACCCTACTTTAGAGAACTACCCTTCTACTATCATGGCAACTCACCAGCATCCAGAGGGCTGATGGGTTTGAGAGGCTGGGGGTCCAACGGGGAAGGGGTGGAAGGGTCCACCCTAAACCCTAAAGCCTATAGACCCTAAACCCCTAAACCCTAAACCCTATAGACACTAAACCCCTAAACCCTAAACGCTTCCAGGCTTCAGTTTTTCAGGGCTTTCAGGTATTAGGGGTTGCATATTCCTAATAACCTACATCCTAGGGTTTAGGGTTTATGGGTTTAGGGTCTAGAGTCCTAGATACTCATGAGGGCCCACTCTTCAAGGCTTACAGTAGGGGGGTTCCAGGGTTCACGGCCGCATCTTCCTTAGCCTGCATCCTAAGCGTCCCTAAGCCCTCAAGCGCATAGTTTGGGTACGGCCCCATACAGTAACAGTCTATAATAGGGCTACTATTAAGGGCCTTATATATCTATATTATGAACATTATCCAACTGTTACTGAGTGGGGGCCGTACCCAATTACTGTTTTCAGGGCTCAGGGCTCCAGGAAGAGGTGATCGCTGAAAAAAGGGGGCCGTAAGAAGTAGACTGGGGGTTTGGGGATATGCTATCCTAGAATTAGAAGAAAGTATATACCCTGAAACGATATTGGTAAAAATTCAGGCCTCTGTACTTAAAGGATCATGGGGCTTAGTAACTAGGGCTATGATTAGGGTAACTATACTTATAGCTACTCATCACCCCAATTAAGGTACTTATAGCCTTACTTACTAAGTCCCATGATCCTCCAAGCAGGCTTCTGTGTTGTTGCTGCGAGGAGAAAGCTCCCGGCAATGAGCCAGTCTCTGGTTTAGGTTTCGGGTTTAGGGTTTTGGGTTTAGGGCTTCTATACCCTCTTAGTAACTTAGAACCATCACAAAAATCAGATTACACATAACCATCTTGGGATTTCGCTGAACGAAAACAAAAACTATTCCTAAGGAGACTATAGGCTCAGGGGCCAGGGGCCAAGATAGTCCAAGTCTTGTCTTGCACTCGCCCTGAAGATGCAACTTCCTGAACGAAGGATAGACTCTCCCGGAGTGGAGGACGTACGATTTAGGGTTTGGGCCATAGGGGTCTACTCATAGGACTCTCAATAGTAGAGCACTACAACACTCAGGATGCTAGCAACTTCCAGCAGCTAGTGCGGTGGTGTTGTCTTCTTCGGAAGCCAACCTTTATGTGGATGAGGCTTGGTGACACATGCTTCTCGAGCAAAACTCTGTCGGACATTGTTGTTGGACCCTGTTCCATAAAGCAGGCCACCTAGACCGAAACACATCTTCAACCCTCCATAGCTCGTTTCCCAGTGTTGTCAGGCGTCAGGAGCCACCGACTATGAGCAGGCTCTCAACTTACACTTGCAATATAGGGGCCATAAAAATTGGAATAGGGTTTTGAAGCCCAATGTACCATAATTACAATAAGGAACCCTAACAATAATATTGGTAATTATTGCGGCCTTTGCAGTAACTCCTTCGCTTCAGAAACCAAGGCACCCTCACATCGAACCCTCGAAAAAAGCGGCTACCTCCTTATGTCCTCGGTCCACCCGAGCCGCTCTATCTCCTACTTGACCCGACCTGTGCAACATTCCGTGGCGCCGGAGACTTAACGAACTAGACCCAAGAGTAAGCTAGGAACAACAAGGGTGCCACTTTTGGTTTAAAGGGGCTTAATTTGAAGGGAACTTGAACCCTAAAAAGGGGAATAAGGGCCTACTCTAGTACTAGCGAACGAGACACCCGTAGGCCAACATTGGTACCAGTAGCACGGTTGCCAGTTCTCGTGGTATCAGCGTCATGAATCCAGCACGTGACTTGTCAATGCTGTTGTCACCCACGTTGTGGTCGCTCATGGCACTACTATCGTCAGTAACGTGAGTGAACAATTTGCTGATGCCACTGCTGCTACCTCCGTTACTATGATTTGCAGTAGACTGCCCATAGGCCCCATAGTAGTTCCTTTTGGGGATCACTTTATAGACTTCTAAATATCAACGCCCAAAAGGGACTACTATAGGGCCTATATGGTGTTCATTACTGACTTGAAGAACTCCTGTGCAACGGCCACACAGCTAGTGTCGCCATGACATGTTTACACGTAAATGCCATCATTTGTCCTTCCGTTGTTGCCTCCGGCGTCATCGTAGTTTTGCTATCGATAGCAGGAAGGAATCCCAGTCATCGGTTTACTGCAATAATAAGAGTGTGGAAAGAGGTCCAACAGCGCCAACGCTCAAAAATAATACTTCAGGGATCGTGGGACTTGTAGCAAGGTTATGTTTAGGGAATTTGTGCTTATCATTGCTGATGGCCCCAACTAAGGCGGCCATATCCAAACTTACGAAGTCCCATGATCGGCCCATGATCCACCAAGTAATTTCTGTGCCTCACACTGACACGGTGTCATGGCTAGCGACTGGATCATCTTCGCAGTGCTTCCCAGCGTCGGCGACCCGGTGCTCTACAACGCTGGCTGACACCATCATGCGTTCCGCTTGTCTGGCCTGATATCGAAGCGCCAGCCATGATGTCATAGCCAGCATCATTGAACCCAACATCCAAAGAGCAGACGAAGAAGCATCCTCCACAAGCAGGGATGTCCACTGGCCCAGAAAGGACAGTGCCGTCAGCACAAAGGCCACCAGAAGGCTCTTAAGCCTGTCCTGCCAAACCCGGCTCTGCTTTCGGCGGAAGGCATTGGCCAAGAGTAAAGTGGCTTGAAAGACGAGTGGAAACAGGAAGAGACACCATGTCAGGCCGGCGAAAAACACAAGTGCAGCCATCTTCCACTTTCCGTCCCGAGCACGTGCAGCACTAAAATCCGCGAAGCCCCACAAAAGAGGCAAGGCGCCAAGGACTTGCCAACCATACGGAAACAACAATCCTCCCAACTGGCGGTACAGCATCTGCCTGACACGAGTCCTTATTGTCACCTCGAAGGCCTCGACGGACCCGTGCCAGCTTCGAATGCATCGCTCGATGATCGCACGGTCGCAAACATCGGCACAACAAGTCTCTCCGTTGTTGCAACAATGACATTGGGCATCTCGGATGGTAAAGTCGGAAAGCTGCGTGAGCAACACCTCCGTGTTCCGAAAATGATCACGCATATAGGATGCCGCCATGTATAAGAAGACCCATCGTGACAGCACAAGGACCAGAGTGTCGAGAGGAGATCGTTCATGAACCAAAACCTGTAACATTGATGCCCAAAGGGCAAATCCAACTCCCAAAATGCAGGGAGCCATGGCTGTCAGCCTGATCGTCACTTTCTTCTCTGGCTGTTCATGACTTTTCAAGAAGGCCGCCAGCTCCAACAGGCACCACAAACGCCCAGCATAAGTGCAGTCCCAAACAAGCAGAAACTGCTGGGAGTACTTCACCATGGCACCAATGCCGATGACTCCACGCATTTTCTGGTGTGGATTCTTCTGATCGATACATATTTGGTCGAAGAAAACTAGGCACCTGGATTTCCATAGCAGAAGAACCACGACAAAGACTAGCCCGGCGCTCAGTGTGCACCAGGGGCCAAATACCATCTCCATTCCTCGATCCAGCGGCGTGGTGCTCACTCGCAGGACACCTGGCAAGAGTCCAGCGATGTGTAGCCACATCCTTACTACCCCAATAAGGCACAGAAATGCAAGGTTCAACTTTCCGATTCCTACTAAACTATAAGAGCCCAAAGAGTTTATAAAGGTTAGGTATTGGGGATCTTCCCTAAACCCTAAACCCTATAGATCCCCCTAAAGGATCCCTTAAAGAGACCCTAAATCCTCAAAGGGATCGTTTTAAAGGTTAGGTATTGGGGATCTAAGCATCATTAGCAAAGCTGTGAAGGTGGCAGCAATCGCTGCAGCTGGCCCATTGTAAAGCAACAGCAGCAACAGCGTCTTCCTTAGCTGCCGAGTTCATAAGCCCCCCCAAAAGTGTACACTTTCAGCTTTATAGTGGGCAATATTATCCCGAAAAGTGTAAAGTGTATCCACTCAGCTACTAAGCTTCATGTAGTTGTTGCCATGCCAACTGTGGCTCCAGAAAACTTGGATCAAACTCACCGGAAAGCTGCGTTCGTAAAGATCCTTCGGGGTCCACCGCAAAGCGGCGCCGAAGGATTGCAGCACTTGCCATGCCGGCGTGGCTCGGAGGAGATCAGGGCATACAGGTTCCATGCTGGCCACTTGGCCGGCCATGTCGTCCAGAAAAGAGTCCTCATCGTTGCTGTCGAACTGTGACTCAGTTTCACTGGCAGCTGCCATGGTCTCGGGGGAAGTGGCAAAATCTTCGCCTGACAGCACCCTACGCTAGGAATGCTCCGTTTAGCTTAGGGAGTGCTGCAAGACTCATGCCCCATAACTCGCATAATGCCCGATAATTCGCATTTAGGCGGTTGTCAATATTAGGGTCCTTTTCGGGTCCTTATTATTAAAAAATACGGCACCTAGTATGTAGGATAATTACCCAGAAGGGGACCCTAATTTTGACAACCACCCACGTGTTCGGAGGTGCGCAGATCCGATCCAAAGCCTTGAGCTGACGGGGACTCAACGCTGCAGCAACAGATCACCCCTATACTGAACTTAGAACCCTGGCAAAAAATACAATTTTAGCTGTTTCTTAGGGATTATAATAACCAAAAACTAAAAAAATATTTCTAAGTACCCCTAGGAGGGACCCGTGGAAACATCGCTGCCGCCCAACCCCGAGCCTACCTAGAGTCTCCGTTGTAGTTCCCCTTTTGGTTCACCAGCTTTATGGTTGAGGTCCTATCATAGAGATTTTGGTTTACAAGAAAAGGAACTACAATGGAGACTATGGGTAGTTCATGGTTGGGATAGGACTAAACATATACGCTTTTATTCTTTATTGGGTTTAAGTACCCATAAAGATGTAAAGCGTCACCCAACTGTGATAAAGGAACCCATAAACCTCAACGTCTAACAGCACTGCTACTGCTACTGCTACTACACCTCCACGCCCGTTCCAACTTCGAGAAGTTCCTCAGAGCCCGGCAATCTTGCCCAGGATGTCCTCACAAACCCATGGCCCAAGATCACCAAGATCCTACCTAGACCCCCCCCAAAGTACAGTAGGTAAGATAATGGCCCCAAACCTATAAAAGGCCATTATTCCACATGCTTTTGCGGTCCAGGTATACACGCCTTACACATGCAAGCGCACGAATCAAGCCCAAGGCTCTGAGAAGCACGCACGAAGCGCGTCAGACGTACAGCTTTAAGTGCTATGCATACTGTTGACGGTAACCCTAAGGGTCCATGTAGGGTAAGGCTTTAACACGTCCGTCTTTGGGGTTACGGGCTGTCGGGTTTAAAGGTTCGGGCTTTTGTTAAGGTCTCAAGGCTCCCTGGAGCGACTGAAACAACATCCTTCCTGCGGGATTCGTGGCGGTTCAGGGTTTAGGGTTCACGGACACAGGGACGCTGAAGCCTTAGTTGGGGGGGTTGTAGGACAGGAGACTGAGTAAGTGGCATCGGATTTATGTACGACGGTTTTGGGGCAAACTGTAAGAGCAAAGTGATGGGGGCTATGGAATGGCAATGCCCTCCTACGTGGTAGCTACATTCTAGCTATTCTTCTGTCGTCCCACCTGGTAAGAAGAAGTTATCAGTTTGGTGCCCTACAGAGTTTGAGATGGGTTCAAGGCATAGTGGCACAGTGTGTCACGGATAGTTTTCAACCCAAAGGGCCCATATAGAGTTTCGGATCCAGGGTCTAGTGGTCGAGGGCTTAGCGGTTTTGGGGTTTAAGGCTTATGCTTTGGCCCGACATTTTGTACCGGAGCCGTACCCTAAGGGTCCATGTACCAATATAGTATATACTTTGGCCCCAATGTACCTATATAGGGACTACTTTAAGGCCTAAGTATATACTACATGGGTACATGGATCCTTAAGGGTTTTGAGACCTGCAAGAATGCACAATGCACAGCCTGAGCTTTGAAGCGTGAGCCCGACGCCGTAAACCTTGAGTCGTAAGCTCTACCCATAGGCCCCAAAGTAGTTCCTTTTGGGGGTTCATATATAGAATCCTATAAGGAAATTTTAAAAAGGAACTACTATGGGGCCTATGGGTAAACCCTAGAAGCCTTAAACTTCAAACTCTCTACCCTCAACCGTTCCCTCAAGGTAATATTCCACGGCATTCCACGACCCTAAACCCTAAACCCCGAACCCTAAACGGGCGGTTGTCAAAATTATGTCCCCTTTTGGGTCCTTAATATAATACGGCACCTAATATTTAAGGTATCCAACAAGGGACCCTAATTTTGACAACTACCCAAACCGTACGGAGGGCTTCTTTCAAGACATCGGGAGAGGGAGCTTGGAGCCCAAGTTGGTTGGAAGTCTGGGGCTTAGAATAGGGTTCATTTAAAGGGGATCTATAAGGGCTACTATAAGGGATCCATAAGGGTGCTATATAGTAGAGGGGCCTTAACAATAAGAATAAGGAGTTGGGAGGGTTCCTTGTTAGAGTAGTTCTAGTATGATATACCCCCAAATATACGCAAGTATTCAGGCCCCTACATCAAGGCTTATAGGGCTTAGCTTGGGCCTCCCGGATTCACGTAAACTGCACCTGCAGTAGCCTAAGCCCGGAACGCCCTCTGCCAATACTGTGCATCCCACATGGCTGACGCACAAACGAGAGGGCCTTCACAATTAGAACAAGGTTTTGGGGGCCCGTTATACTATACTCTAGGCCGCTATGGTACACTCTCCATGGATTCCGTGATTTCCCTCCAAATCTAACCCGACTCTCTGTCCTTGAACACGCTGTCATCACAGCAAAGCGTCTGCAGCTCGTCCGGACCTTCTCACGGATGCGTCGAAACCTATAATACTATAATGCTCGCCGCAATGTGACACTCTGTAAACTCCAAAAAACAAACATTCCGCACAGATCCCGCTTTAGTCACGAAGCCGTCTCATGGAATTGCTAGCAATGGATTGGCAGCATGGGCTCATGATATGGGTGGTTGTCAAAATTCTGGTCCCTTTTTCGGTCCCTAGTATTGTACGTCACCTAACATTTAGGGTACCCAAAAAGGGACCTTAACTTTGACAACTACGCATATCTTCTCGTGCGCTTTCTGAAGAGGCCTAAACTCCTGGACCTTGACATGGACCTATAGTCTCCATTGTAGTTCCTTTTTGTGGTTTAACCAATTACGCTAAGGGTCCATGTACTCATATAGTCTATACATTGGCTTAAATGTAGTCCCTATATAGGTACTTTGGGGCTCATGTATCTCTATATTGGTACATGGACCCTTAGGGTTATATAGTAAGGATCTTGAAAGGTAATCCCAAAAAAGGAACTACAATGGAGACTACAGGGAGTCCTCAAGCCTTTCAGCCCTAGAAGTCCTCAACCGTTACATGCATTAACACCTTGGACCATTAGTCATACTGTTCTCTTCTTCAACAACCGGGCCCCCAAAAGTTAGGGGTTTAGAGTTTAGGGTTTGGGTAAACAGAAATCAAGCTCTAGCAGGGTTGATAGTGAGGGATCGCGATCGGTCTAGATTCGGATCGCTGCAGGGAACACAACAGTTCGTGGCACTGCTACGCTACGACTGACAAGAAAGGTTAGTAAACGCACTCTAACCTCGGGCACTTGCCACGAAGCAATCATTATATTATTATATGCTCGGCCCTGAAAGTAACCCCACCCATGCAGCATTTTGGGATTGGGGTTGAGCCCGTGGAAACAACTTGTCGGGCACCCTGTTGACTTGTTGAAAGCCACGTCAGGTAGCGGGACCTCCAACGCAAATCCCGTCGGCCAAACACTTCGCGATCACAACATGTAAACGAACACAAGAGCCCCCCGAACATGGTCGTACGCCCCTTTTATCATGGGTGCCCATCTGGCCCGCGACAGGACCCCTCTGTAAATGCTCGACCCTGAACCCAAATTAAAAGCCGGGTCAGAACCCTAAAGCCCCAAAAGCCCTAACTCTTAACCCCCGAACCATACACACTGCATGCCTTCAGCCAAGCAGAACAGGTCCCCGAATACTTTGGGTGAAGTGGTCTGAGGGCCAGGCATACAAAATCTCTCCTGGGTGTTTAGGGTTTAGGGTTTAAGGCTTAGGGTTTAGGGTTTAGGGCTTTGGGTTTAAGGTTTAGGGGGCGTTAAAGGGCCTAGTGTCCATAGGGTTTGAGGTAATATAGGAACCTCAATAATTAGAATAGGGTTTTGGCGCCCATTATACTACACTGAAAAGTGTATATAAGAAGACACCTCCCCCCCCGAACAAAAGTAATATAGGTAATTATTTAGGCCCCTATAGTATCAGGAAATGTCGAACGTTCTGATCCTGACTGAAACCAAAGGCCTACTGAAACCAAAGGCCTCCGGCAAGAACACTGGCAACAACACAGGATGATGGTAAATGAGGTTCATAATAAGTATAAGATGCTATAGTTATACCAACAAACATTCCCAAAGGGTCCAAGTATCATTATGGTATATACTTAGACCCCCAAAATACCCTATGAGTATATACCATAGTGATACTTGGACCCTTTGGGTTATTACAAGGAACAGCTATTGCTAGAAGTTCTGTGCCAACACCGGTGGCACCAGAACAACCCTCGGCATCCCTGGCAACAAGCGAACCCCCTCTGGCCCTTCCACGCTCAACACGGGACCCTGACGCAACAACCCCTGACCCTCGATCACTGGAGCTCATTGATCGTGGACTTGTGCGCTCGTTTCAACGCCTCGTGCTAAAACCCTAAACTTTAGGCTTAGCCGCCCTTAGAAGCAGAATACAAATAACATTATTATTAATGCCCTTAAGTTGTATTCTAATAAAACTAATACATAATTCCCAAGAGCAGTAATGTAGGGCTTGTACAGGGTTTAGTGTCCCTAAACCCTAGACCAGGGGTTCAGGGCGCCTTCTTCAGGATAATACGGGCCTAAATAATTGCCTGTACTACTTTAAGGGCTCCTTGTTATGAGTATAGTATTATGTGCCCCAGAATCCCTATTCTTGACATTAAGGCCCCTATCTTGGGCCTCCGCAAGAGAAGTCTGCACCCCAACAATCTGGGAAACCGCGCGCGGAAGCGAGAGCTCTAAACACGGAAGATCACGAGGTTTCATGCACTGGGATTCCGGAGCCCTATACCCTATAAATCTTGAATGCTCAGGAGGAGCACTTAACGGAACCCGAATAGGCCAGTTATCGCGCCTTACTGCATCTTCAAAGCGTAAGCCCCAAACCCTAAGCCCTGAAGTGTACCTAGAGGGCCATACCCTAACCCCTTTTTAGGATACCTATAGTTTTATGGTTAGGATCTGTTATATAGAAAATTAGGTACCTTAAAAAAAAGGGGTAGGGTATGAGCCTCTAGGTAAGGTTAAGCCTAAACCCTAAACCCTAAGCCCTGAAGTGTAACTAGGATGCCCAGTAACCTAGGAATAAAAGGGGATCCCTTTTTGGTATTGTGTAACTTTATAAGGAACCTAGAGGCTACTACTGGGCATCCTAGGTCAAGTAGACCCTAAACCCTAAACTAAACCCTATATAGATCCCTTTAAGGAACTCTATATAGATCCCTTTAAGGAACCCTATAGATCCCTTTAAGGGACCCTTCCGGGAAAGGTTGCAAGAATGAGCCCGGGATCGCTCCCTGGAGGCTTGAATCAAAGGGGAAAAGGAGGGACCCTCAATGGGGACCCCTAGGTATATACCGTATATACCGTAATCTAGCTATTATATACCCATTATATAGCCCATTATAGTGACCTTTAATAAGGACCCCTACCATATCATGGGCTATATTATGGGTATATAATGGCTATATTAAGGGTATATACCTAGGGGTCCGTATCAAGGGTCCCTCCTTTTTACCCTTGGGTTGAAGGATTGAAAAACGGCCTGGCCGAATCTATACCCCCCTCCTTCGAACCATCATAAAAATAATGTGTTTAGTTTTCTCTTGGGCATTATATGAACAAAAAACAAGTTCTAAGGAGTCCATAGCTATATTATACGACTGGAACCTCAGGAATAGTTTAGTCATGAACCCCTAGAGAAATCCTCAGAAGAACCTAAAGAAGGAATAGCAGTACCAGATTGTCACATCGGTTATCTGAGCGGCTGAGTACCCGACCCCAAAAAGGTTAACCTTTTCAATGATTGTGGTTTATATTAACCCCAAAAAGTCAAAGGTTACCTACTCAATTACTAAGTCATACAGGTAGTATGAAGGGATATACACTGAAAACACAGTAGGATCCCAAATATTATTTGAGGCATATTCTTCCATGATGGGATGCTGGACGGCCTGGGAAGCTACCTAGTCTTCATTGTAGTTCCTTTTTTAAGGCCCCTGTATTTTAAACCCTTATAGTAGCCCTTATAGTAACCCTTATAGACCCTATTCCACCCACAAAGGCCCCTATATTGAACCCTTTTTGTAATCTTTAAGCAATTTGACAGTCAGGATCCCATAGCATACGTTTGGCTAACCAGATCAGGGAATTCCAGTGGAGACGACAGCCAGTATAGGAGCCCTAATTGAATAGGGTTTTGGGGCGCCCATTATACTATATATATAGAAGAAGGAACCCTCAAACAAGTATTGGTAATTATCTTAGTTGCTGACTTCATAAGCCCCCAACAAGTGTACACATTCAGTTCTATAGTGGGTAATATTATCCCCAAAAAGTGTCAAGTGTATCCACTCAGCTACTAAGTTATTTAGGCCCCTACAGTACTTTCCAACACAGCCGAGGTGCGCCCAGTTCAAGGCCTGCACCTGAAGGAGTCTTTGGGGGCGGGGGGGGGTGGGGGCCGGGGTCGGTTTCGGGTGTAGGGTTTATAGGTTTTCAAGCCATAAACCCAAAAAATCAACACACATGTAGGTTCATGTAGATATCGATATAGATACAGATTCAACTGTAGATGTAGATATAAGTGTAGCTATAGGTAAAGATGCAGATATAGATATATATATATATATAGATGTAGAAGTAAGCTTTAGATATCAACATAGATGTAGATATAGTTTTAGTTTTAGTTGTAGACATGGATACAGATAGAGCCATATGAAGATATATGAAGATATATGACAATCGCTGCATCTCCATACAACATGTTTTCATGTTGACTGGTTGTTCGGCATACGTGTCTGTATATACGCTGCCACTATGCATGGCACGTTAATCGCAACGGGGCGTGGTCTAAAGAAGCCATGTGTGGTCTGTGTCATGTAGCATTGCACGTTCACACGATTGCCGCTACATTCTGTGCTGAAATCTCTCAGCCTGAGTAATTAAGGTAATCGAGGCATGCGTCGTAGCACTTCGTACCTTCAACTCTTAACGTTCTTGCAGGATCAAATCAAAGCCTTTGCACGACAGTTGAGCTATAAGACTCCATCAAGTCATTCCAGTGCATGTCTACGAGAATCCTTTTCAATAAACTCCCTGTGGCTCCATGACAGTTTGTTGACGTCATCCTGTCATCCTCTACTTGGAGGGTCGGGGGACTTAGTAACTGGTTATTTTAGGGACTTACAAGTACCATAACCCCAATTAGGGTCCATTTTGGGGTACTTATAAGTCTACTTACTACCCACTTACTAAGTCCCTGAACCCTAAACCCTAAACCCTATAGCCCAAAGACCCAAGTAGCACCCAGGTGGAAGTCCCCGTCTTGCACAGTGCCTTCGTCACACGAAGGTTGGCGAGAGCGAGGAGGGATCCGCGTCGCGTTGCCTCCGCTCATGATCATATATGGGTAGTTGTCAAAATAAAGGTCCCTTTTTGGGCACCCCAAAATGATAGGTGCCGTATTGTAATAGGGACCCGAAAAGGGACCATAATTTTGACAACCACCCAATAGGTCTGAGGTGTCTAACGTTACGAGCGCAGAGTTGCGGGTTCAAACCCGACTACTGTATACCGTATCTTAACCCGGAAGAAGGAACATTTTTCAGGACTTATATAAAGAAATCATAATAAGGAAAGGTTGTTCATGATTAAGTTATACCCTAAACCGCCAGGGAGCAGGCAAATGGCATGGAAGTTCTACGAGATACTCACGGATAAAGGCTGCGGCAGTTGTTGAGCAGGGGTTTCTGTTCAGCTGTTTGGCTTTCCTTTTGGAAGATTCTTCAAAAAGCCTTTTGGGGTTCATGCCGCTTGGGTTTTGCAGCTTTCTGTTTGGCTTCAGATGCCTGATACTGATGCGAAACGTTTGACGACTGTACTGGTTCTGGATCTTTACTGTGAGCACCTGTTCAAGCCCTACAAAAGTGGAAAGACGACAATTAAAGACCCACCCCATGTAAACATAACACATACACAAGTACACATATTCTATATTGTTCTTATGAAGTGTGTAGTCCCGCCAGCCAAAACCCGTAGTAAAGTCTTCAATCGTAGACAAAAGGTAAAGTTCCGCGATTGAGAAACAGGCAGGCGAGAACAGTCAATGAACTGGTCTTCTCATAGAAACGTCTCCAACCAGAGATTGCTATGAGGGTAAAGTTAATCAGATATGTTTGGCAATATACAAGTACCTCGGTGGCATGAGTAGTCACATCGCATAAACACTTGTCAAATACATTAGAAGCTGCCCCCGCCCTGTAAGAGTGACTATAGGGAATATAGTAGGGCCCTATTATATTCCTAGTATACCACTACTACAGCGTGGGGGGCCCCTTCTAACAAATACATAAGCGAGTCCTCCATTGTGATCGAAGGCGGTTTCCAATGGTACAATGCAGCGCCTAGGCTGAACTAAAGAGGCTCCAGACACAAACCGATATGGGTGGTTGTCGAAATTCGGTCCCTTTTGGGGTCCTTATTGTAGTACGGCACCTACTATTTAGGGTACCCAAAAAGGGACCATAATTTTGACAACCACCCATATTTCTAATCCAACTATGCTGCCCTTAAACTTTAAACTTCTTATAGCCCAAACCAGTCTACAGCTTCACTGGGATGGTCTGTCGCTGCGAGAGGGTGCGTATGTAAATGTATGTATATGTACCACGGTAAATATGTCACGGTACTAGTCGTGCAGGAAATTACAACATAACACAACATAGTCATGACCGAATATGCTATACAGTTATATATCCCAGCATGTAGCCATGTTAGTATATTCACATATTCACAAGAGTATATCAGCAATCATCCTGTCCCAACGCAATCCGCCTAACAAAAGCTCACACCTCAGAAGGCAAGTGGCGACAGCCCTCAAGTATTGCTCTCATCGAAAAAACCCCCACCGGGACTTCAGTGACGACGAAAAACACAACAGTGTTTCGGGTTTAGGGTTTCAGGACCTTTGATGCAGTTTAATCTTAAGCGTGCAGGGGAAATGCATCGAAGCTGTACGCTGCAGATCCCGATTCCTGATGCTGTTCTTCTGGCGTCTTCGAACACACTGTTCAACCCGGAGCCAGAAGGCTCAAATCTGAAATACTTGGGAGTTTCCGAAAATTAGGGGTACCTTATTTTGAGGTCCTTCTAATGAGGATCCTACTATTTGGGGTACTATATTAGGGTCCCCTATTTTCGGAAACTTCACTTATATCCTCCGAGGAACCGAAAACCTCAAAACTCCTGTCAGAAGGGCTTTGGTTTTACTTAAGGGATCGTGGGGCTTAGTAACTAGGGTTATAAGCAAGGTAACTATAGTTATATCTACGTATAACTTATAACCCAAGTTAAGGTACTTATAACCCACTTATTAAGTCCCATGATCCTCCAAGTAGGGCCCCTTCTTATGACTTGCTCGTCGGACTCCTTTCCTTCCATAAGTTGATTTTGGGGACCTTATTAATCAGCATTGTATAGGGTTTTTGGGCCCAATATACTGTAGTTATGATAAGGAGTCCCCCCAAAATAGTATAGGTAATTTTAGGGACCCAGAAAGCACATAAGCATAAGCATTTTATGGGGATATCCCTACCTTATCGGCCTTCAAGGGGGCTTATATGGGATATCCCTACCTTCATTTTTGCCTATGTGCTTTTCTGGGGCCCCATAATTTACCCCCCGCAGAGTAGGCTTTCTAATGGGGTTTCACGGAGGCCACGGCGCGAAGAAACTCAAGTAAACAACCCTTGTACCTAGACCTTCCACAAGCCCTTAATTAGGGAACTTCCTGAAATTAAAGTAGGATCACCCCAGTATGACTTAAGGTATACCGTAAGGCATAAGAGGGATCCTACTGAAATTCTCAGGTACATTCCTTAATTGCATGATTTTGGGACGTCCGGATAAGCTGCCTGGCCTGTGCAGCCCCCCTGGCACTGCTACGCAGAGCCAGTTCCGCGGGGGCCTGGGACGGGGTTTGGGGTTTAGGGCCTCAGGTTAAGGCCCAAAGGGTCCTATGCACCGATATAGTAGAATGTAGGGTTTCCATATTAGGAATTACAAATACGACTTTGGGAAGTATCCGCCAAAAACAGTAATTACATAGGAATGTTTGGGAGGGATTGCTCTGAAACGTTGAGGACGTTTTAAGGTTCAGCGGCTTCTCTGCTATGCCCTTTGACGTGTTCTGTTTGACTAGGGTGTTGACTTGTTCAACCACTCCCTGAACCCAAAAAACCGAAGACTTTGCACGCAGGTTTACCAGTCCTGTCAGCATAGGCCCGAAACCCATCAACATCAGTATTGCGTAGTATTGAACCCTGAACCCGTGAATATCTGTATGTGGAAGGCAGCAACCTACTTGAAGGGCGGGCCTTGCCAAAATGATGACGATGACCCAGGATTACACATGGGTAGTTATCCAAATTAGGGTCCCTTTTTGGGTACCAATAATACATTAGGTGCCGTATTATATTAGGGATCCAAAAAGGGACCATAATTTTGATCACCACCCACATGGCCGCTTCAACAAACGAAGGCACTGCAACGAACTTGCACACTACACCTGGACACGCCCACACACCTCAAACTCCTTCGCCTCGCACCACCGCACCCGGACACACCTACGGCCGGAAACAACCTACCCCCAACAGCACCACGCCCCTACTAACTTACTGTACTCTGCGGCCCCCCGACATCGGGACATGTGGTGGGTATGACGTGTCGCATCTAGAGGCTGGCGGTTGAAGCTGCACTGCGGCGAAAGAGGAAACTGTGCTGGCGTTGGCCGAAGGAAGTGTGTATACATGCAAGCTGATATGCAAGCATCCATACGTCTGTATAAACACCGACACACCGGGAAAACAAGATGTGAAGGTGTGTACACGCACAAGCAGTGTGCATGACAACTATGAAGATCACACGTGCTACAACAATCATATGTATCCATAGAGTGTACCTGTATTATGTATCTTCACACACACTCACAGACATACATGCACACATACATGCATCCAGGCAGGCAGGCAGACAGACACATATATATATATATAATTTTGATTATTGCTATTCTTGTTATATGTATATGCGAGTGTGTGTATTACAGGCACATTTGTATACTGCTACACATGTGTATATCCATGATGCACGCCCTCATACACGTTGCATACACACATACATATACATACATATACATACGTGCATACATACATACGTACATACACGTACTTACAATACAATACAACACAATACCATGCGATACGATCCAATACATAGATAGGTACTTACGTACAGACATACATATATATATATATGTATATATATATATATATATACATATGTGGTGTGTGTATACACATTATATCTTTACTTCCCAAACAGCGTGATAACACTGTGGGGTCCTTGCATTCGAAATCTTTCTTAGACTTGATTGCCTGCCGGCGTGGCTCGCCTCGCAAAAGCAATCCCCGCCTCCCATCGGGTTGCCGCATCCTAGCCGTGCATAGTTTTCGCTGACCCCCCTGTATTTGAGATGAGCGCGTGTTGGGTCCAGGACTCATTTTGAACAGCTTGCTCCCCAATATCTTGAATCAGAGCGTTACTCGAGGGAAACGCAATAGCTAAACGGGGTAGCAGGAGTGTCGCAGTCCCGAAACGTGCCACTGCTTGCGGAATGCACCTCGAGCCGCCAGTTCTTGGCGGAGAGCGACTTCGCCGTGCTCAGGAATACTGCTGAATCCCGCCAATACTTGGGGAACAAATCGGGGCGTGGTGCTCCATGCGCCAGAACTTGGTGGAAAACATGTTGGCAGCGTCGCAACATGGCGTAAATGCTGGCAAGAACACAGAAGGCAACTGGTTACAACCTGTCGATCCCCTTTAGATCCCTTTAAGGGGCCCTTTAAGGAACCCAAGGTTTTTTCAAGCAATTCAAGCCCCTTCGCATATGACACTGGTCGTGACTGTCTCATCCTCGTGACATTTTCTGGTCGTTTACTGCTTGGGGATCTTCGCATAATTTATATACATGTGAGTTATATGTGTGGCGGCGTGCTTGTGTGTATACATATATATATATATATATATATACATATATAGCTATCTATGTGTATATATATATATATACATATATATGTATATATACATCGCATATACACACATACATACATATATATATATATATATAGATATATATATATATATACACATGATTCACATGATATATATATATATATATATGATATACGTGCGTGTATATATGCTGAATCTCTGATACTTGCTGTTACGAGCACTGCCATGACTTGTCAGCCTTGCAGCAGGGTTCTGGGCCTCTAGAAATGTAAAGATGCGCCCTGCGAACGCATCAAGCGAAGCCATTCGGCCGTCGGCCAGATCGCGGTGATATGGTTCAACCTACCAGTCGCTGTAAAGGGAACTCCAGAAAGTTGGAATATGGATTAATGGTAGGATCCCCTATAGTTTACCTTAAAGGGGTTACGATCATGATATTCCAACTTTCTGGCTTCTACTGTATGGCTAAAATGAGCCAGTGCAAATTGATGATAATGGCAGTCATACTGTTGCCACTAATGCTGTGAATTGTGTGTACTGTGATGTCACCACCTTGGATTTTGTGGTGGTGCGTTTAGAACTTCTGTCTGTTAGATGTTAGGATCCAGCCGCCTGGATCGTAGATTTGCTTGTTAGGAACTTCCACCAAGGTTGCTGAAGCTGGTGTTGGCTCTGCCAGTCTCACCGTCTTTGAACCGATACAGCTGTATGAAGCTGCTTGAAACTACCTTTTGCATGGTTCGGAGCCCCAGACAAACAAAAACTAAACCTTGAGAACCTAAAACCTCAAGGCTTGTTCTGCAGAAAAACATCGCGCCGCTTCTTGTGGAAACGTTTGGGATCGTGTAGGACCTCATCCAAAAAAGGTTGCCAAAAGCCGCACCCGCCGATACCAGACTGGCATCTTCCCAGCCCAACCAACCTCCAGTCCAGTCTCTGAGGCGCGGCACAAACCTTCAAGAAACTCAAGAAACCCTGGCGTGACCCCTAGCTCCCAGTTGAAAACCACGAAACCCTGAATCCTGACAACTCAACCCCGAAATCCGTAATATAGGGGCCTGAACAACTAGAATAGGGTTTTGGGGCCCATAGTTAAAACACGGAACCCCCAAAATACCATTGGAAATGTTTAAGGCCCCTAGAGTAACCCGGCAAGCTCCGGAAACTCTATTGAGGATACAGGCGAGGCAGCCCAAACAAATCTCAGCTGACGAAACCTAATAGCAAAAGCCCGAAACCAAAAGTGACATGGAACGACGAAATAAAAGCGTTACAGTGCGCAAAGTCCACCTGAAGTCAAAAAGCAAGGAGTGTAAGAGAACCGAAGCGATGAAAATGAGGAGCGCATGTGCCGTGTAAGTGCAGCCACTCAAGCAATTCCCCTAATGGTCCATGTACTCAAAAAGTATATACGTTGGCCTTAAGGTAGTCCCTATATAGGTACTTTGGGGCTCATGTATCTCTATATGGTACATGGAACCTTGGGGTACAGTATATAAGGTGAAAGGAAGAGACGCAGAGGGTCCCAGGTACTGTTATGGGGGATACTTCCCCAAATCATACTAGTAACCCCTCATATAGAAACCCTACATTCTACTATAGGGGTACTTTGGACCCTTTGGGAGAAACAATTAGGTCAAGTAAAGCGAGAAAAGTCAGTCAAGAAACGATTGGAAAGCAAGCAATCAAGTGCGTAAGTACGCAGGCAAGCAAGAAAGTTGGTGGGTACGGGGTGCAGGCAATTAAAAGTAAGAAAGTAGGCAGGTATGGAATTGTGTGCAAGTTGTTGAAAACAGAAACACAAACTTGACTAATCACTAGCAGGATCAGTATCGAAACTCAGTGCGCGCTAGCAGTCGTCGTGACTGCGGCGGTGGTGATCTTCATCGACAGCAGAAGATCATGCGGATTTGGTGGTGGTGACGTGGGACTCATGGCACGCAATACCCGTGGCAGTGGTCTCTTTGAACTACAATAACTGACCTTAAGATATAGGGTATGCTGAAAGGCTGAAGCAGCAGAACTACAACCGTCTAAACTCTAAGACTTTAACTATAGCATGCTGTTGATGCCATGGCTATTGCTAGGCAGCCAGCCATTCTGAGTTCTTTCCGAGTTACTTGGAGACCAGAACATCTCAACTCCTGCTTAGCATGCTGTACCACGAGGACGACAACACTTCAACTCAGAATTAAAGAAGGTCTCTGATCAGACTTGACAATACCCACACTCCGCCCTCCTTTCCTGCACTGCGATCAAGTCGGGTGTCATAAGGTCTGGCTGTTGTGCTGGCTTTGCTTTGCTCTTATCTAAACTCACTTGATGTGTCTTGAGGTCGGGAAAGTTCCGGATCACCTCACCAGAAATTCAGGACCTACCACCCCGAGTTCCTACATGGGAGTTCCGAGAATGGGGGAACCTATTATATCACCCTAAACAGTAGGATCCTCATTATTACGACCCCCAAATACGGTGCCCCGAATGTTCCGGAAACCCTAAACCCTGTAGTTATAAGTAGGGTTATAAGTGGGGTAACTATACTTCTAACCCAAATTAGGGGACTTATAACCCCACTTATAACTACCCCCTGAACCTCCAAGTAGATTCCTTAAAGGAACCTTGTAAGCGGAACCCGAAGGTTGCTTCGGAAACTCCCACCTGAAAAAAACCCAAAACGCAGGACTCTCCTTCCTAATAGGCAACCTTATCTTAGCGGCTGAGTTCCTAGGCCCCCCAAAAAGTGTGAAACAGTTTTATAGTGGGTAAAATGATCCCAAAAAGTGTAAAGTGTATCCACTCAGCTACTAAGTTACTAATAGGCACCCTTATAAAGGTAAGGGGAGGGGGTTGGGGAATATACTTCCTTAAATAAATCGTACTAAGTCCTCAGTATGGGCATGGCATTTAGAGCCCCTACTCCTCTTATAGGGATTAAGAAACCTTGGGTCTGTATTAAGGTTTCTTACATGAATCCTACTATTTTGGTGTCTGAGTTGTCCTTTAAGCCCTTGGAAAAATAGTTACTATTATGGTTCTCTACAAAATAATACGGGAAATTGACCCAAAGGACAACGCAGGTGTTAAAGGCCCAGGCTTTCTCGATCAGGTTCCTACATTACTCTCAAGGTCGGTCGTCCCGTCCTCAGCTCACTTGGGACGTCCTCGGACACGGTTCCGGGCTCAGAGTTTCGGGTTTGGGGTTTAGGGCCGGGTTTCGGCTTTAGGGTTTCGGGCTCAGGGTTTGGGCTTTAGGGCCGGGGCATAAGGCTCGGAGTTTAGGGCTGTGGCTGCGCTGTTGCAAAGAATCGACTCCTACATAAATAACTCAGCGCGGAGCCTCCAAAACGGCCCCATACCCAACTACCCCGAGACAAGGAGCTGAGGGAAGGAAAGGTTGGTGGGTGCAGGGCCAGAAAGGTTTAGGGTTCCAAGTATACAAATAGTACCTACTTTGGGCTCTAAAATCTATAAATAGGACCTACTTTGGGCTATTTGGAGCCCCAGGGGAAAGGTTTAGGGTTCAGGGGTTTAGGCTTTAGGGTGTATGGTGTGGAGGCTTACGTAAGCTTCAGGATTATCATAACGAGCTCAGGGCTTTTGGGGCTGCTCCAAATCATGCGCCTGCGACCCGAAAGGAAGCCTAAGTAAGAACAAGGCTAAACGTCGTCAGAAAGAATGGCCGTTGGAAATACAAGTCCCTATGCGGACATTCTGATCCGAAGGCTGCGCATCTTGTGGGCCGGTTTGGTGCATTGGACCATGTTAGGAACTTACTTGGAGGATCATGGGACTTAGTAAGTAGGGCTATAAGTACCTTAATTGGGGTTATCCGTAGATACAACTATAATTACCTTACTTATAACCCTACTTACTAAGTCCCATGATCCTCTAAGTAGGCTTTGGGCTTGGTGCTATCAGGTGGTGAGCTTCCTCAAGCAAGCACTTTCCTGGACATCGTGCACCTGGTGTGACGGACCGCTGGGGCACATATAACCCCCTTGACAAGCCCAGGGAGACGGAGACACGGCTTAAGAGGTGTACCTGGGCACTATAAAAACTTTCCTTATTAGGGATCCCGATTATGACTTCCTCATATAAGTCCTCAAAATGGTAGGTTATTTGATGTCCAGGTGGGTTTAGCTTGTTAAGATCTGGGTCACCATCTTCTTTGCCACTCTCTCGGTTTGAAGCTATGCGAGGATTCTGAGTTCAGTCCATCATCTAAACAAATGAATAAATAAGTATATCTATATATATATATATATACATATACACTCACTGAACTCACGGCACTCTGGGTGCCTGCTTTAAATGCTTGACCTAGAAAATCATCGAACACAGGTGCGTTGCCGATTCTCCGTCGGGAGAAAAGGGCCGTGAACATCAACAACTGGAACACTCACTTCAAAGCTCTTTGGCACCTCGGACAACAAACATTACAGAATCGATACCAGTTTTGCTGTGACATCCACACATGCGAACAGATTGGTACTGCGACGAAAATCGTTACCAAGCACTACCAGTAGCAGCTAGAAATGATAGAAGAACGGTTGCTATAATGACGGGGGCGACTACTTCTACCACCATGACCACTGCGACTTCCCCGAGTACCAATGCTAGGACGACATCAGCATCAAGTAGTACTAGTGCTACTGTTACTGGTACTCGTAGCGGTACGGGTTCGAGTGAGAGTATTACTCCTCCTCCTACTCGTGTTACCAGCACCAACACTAAGATTAGCACAAGGGCTGATGCCAGCACAGATAGTAACAGTTCGACGACGACACTGTACTACTCCTACTACCACTGCGACAGTTTCTACGAGTATTGCCCGTGCGACTACTGGCAGAGCCACAATCTAATCATGGCGAAAAGGACATCAACGTGGACGACAGCTGCTACATTTGTGCAAAATATGCGTCCAATACCTCAGTTGTGAAGACCAGGACCGAAATTCCTCCGATTTCAACGCGGCGGAAACAAAGTTCGTTACGGCATCTTGGCTCCTTTGCTCCATGCGAAGAACCGGCATGTCGCGAAAGAAACATATATGTCGGATACCTTCAACCTTGAACCGTGACGACCAACACTTCAACAATACATGCATTGACGAAACCCGAAACCGAGAATTCAACAACGTCTGAAACTTTGCCGTTGTGTCACTCCGAGACCTGAACCCCAAAATAAGATCGCCTAGAAGGAACATGAGACCCGAAAGCATCAAAGTATGAGACCATCGACCAAAGGTCGTCGGAGCGATTACACTCCACAAGGGCAAGGGCCGGAAAGCCTTCTTTGTGCCCTGT